GGAAACCTATGTCCTGTAGGTCAGTAATGTTTATGTCTATGTCTATGTCTATGTCTATGTCTATGTCTATGTCTATGTCTATGTCTATGTCTATGTCTATGTCTATGTTTATATATTTTTGGGACGCGGTGGCTCCATAGCTAAGATGCTGAGCCGGTCGATCGAAAGGTCAGCAGTTCAGCAGTTCGAATCCCTAGTGCTGCGCAATGAGGTGAGCTCCTGTTACTTGTCCCAGCTTCTGCCAACCTAGCAGTTCGAAAGCAGGTAAAAAATGCGAGTAGAAAAATAGGGACCACCTTTGGTAGGAATGTAACAGCGTTCCGTGAACCTTTGGTGTTTAGTCATGCCGGCTACATGACTACAGAGACGTCTTTGGACAGCGCTGGCTCTTCGGCTTTGAAATGGAGATGAGCACCGCCCCCTAGAGTCAGGAACGACTAGCACATATATGCGCTATACCTTTACTATTTGTATTTGTATTTGTATTTGTATTTGTATTTGTATTTGTATTTGTATCCCGCCTTTATTCTTTTTTTTATAAATCACTTAAGGCGGCGAACATATCTAATACTCCTTCTTCCTACTATTTTCCCCACAAACACCACTCTGTGAGGTAAGTTAGATTGAAAGAGAAAGGAGTGGCTCAGAGTTACCCAGCTGGCTTTCGTAGCTAAAGTGGGATTAGAACTCACAGTTTCTATAGTGACAGAATCTTGCAAGTTTGAGTATGCTTCTCCCATCCCTTCCTTTTAGCAACAGCAACACCACATAGACTTATATACCGCTTCATAGTGCTTTACACCACTCTCTAAGTGGTTTACAGAGTCAGCATATTGTCCACAACAATCTGGGTCCTTATTTTACTGACCTTGGAAGGATGGAAGGCTGAGTCAACCTTGAGCTGGTCAGGATTGAACTCCAGGATGTGGGCAGAGTTAGCCTGCAATACTGCATTCTAACCACTGTGCCACTCGGGCTCCTTCATCAGAACTAGGAAGGGGCTTCTCTGAAATGCTTACTCACATTAAATTCTTACCCAGGATTCAGATCCCTGATCTCTGATCACTGCCTTGTTAGTGGCTCTTTCTTCCTGTCCTTCAAGGCCATTCCCGCTGTCCTCTTCAGCTTGAAGGAGAGATGTGGTAAGGCCTGTGTCAGTGGCAATTCATGCAGCTGTATTTTGAATCAGGGAAAGTTTCTGAGTGATCTTCAAAGGCCTGCCCATTACACTAGTCCAAAAGAACATGGACAGGCTCCACTACTTTTAGAAAAAATGGAATGACTGTTAGTATTAAACTTATTTTGTGGCCGGATTTGCAAAAACTGCTACATTTAAGATCTAAAAATAAACAATCATCAGAACTTGAGAAGCCCCACTGGATCTGGTCTGAGGCCTGTCTAATCCAGCATTCTCCACCACACAGTAGCCAGTCAAGAGTTCTTGGGAAGCTCAGAGATGTAGTAAGGAGAGCTGCAGCTGTCCTTCGTTTTCACTTTCCAATAATTTAAGGTGTTAAAAGGAAGCTAGAGAGTCAGTATGAGAGGCAGATGCAGAAAAAGGAAGCAAGAAAAATATGCGGATGTCCGGTGTGTCTTACTAGCGCTGATGTCATACTAGTTGTTTGCCAACCAATGGAGTTCCCCACTATTCACAAGTCAGGATATTGCCCCCGGGCCTTGTCAAAATAAACATTCACACACTGAGTTCTACCTGTGGTAGAATAGAATAGAATAGAATAGAATAGAATAGAATAGAATAGAATAGAATAGAATAGAATAGAATAGAATAGAATAGAATAGAATAGAATAGAGTAGGGTAGGGTAGGGTAGGGTAGGGTAGGGTAGGGTAGGGTAGGGTAGGGTAGGGTAGAATGGAATGGAATGGAATGGAATGGAATGGAATGGAATAGAATAGAATAGAATAGAATAGAATAGAATAGAATAGAATAGAATAGAATAGAATAGAATAGAATAGAATAGAGTAGGGTAGGGTAGGGTAGGGTAGGGTAGGGTAGGGTAGGGTAGGGTAGAATGGAATAGAATAGAATAGAATAGAATAGAATAGAATAGAATAGAATAGAATAGAATAGAGTAGAGTAGAGTAGAGTAGAGTAGGGTAGGGTAGGGTAGGGTAGGGTAGGGTAGGGTAGGGTAGAATGGAATGGAATGGAATAGAATAGAATAGAATAGAATAGAATAGAATAGAATAGAATAGAATAGAATAGAATAGAATAGAATAGAATAGAATTGGAATGAATGGAATGGAATGGAATTCTTTATTGGACAAGTGTGATTGGACACACAAGGAATTTGTCTCTGGTGCATAATATTGTTGCAGGTTTGAACTGAACAGGAATCTTTGTGAGTGGGTGAGCTCCTGAACATAAGCAGAGGGCTAAGAGAATACTGAGAAATGAAGTTGCAGAATGCTCCACTGAAAAACAAAAACAAAATGTTTATAATCTAGACATTTTTCATCTAGACAAGTGTTTTTTAAAGTGCGGTCTGAGAATTCCTGGATGTCCCACAAGACCCTCTTAGAGGTCCACAAAATCAAAATTATTTGCCAGGTATCGAAGATACTTGCAAAAAATTAAATCAATGCCATGCATTATTATCAATACAGGGTTTTCTTCCCAAAGTATTTTATATATGTTAATATCTAATGAGTTTAATATTGCTTCTTACACAATTCAATAAATATTCTAGAAATGCATCAAGTTTAATTTTTAATACGATAGCATGGATAAATATATTCCATACAAGCAAAAAGCTCTTTCGGGACCCATAATTTTTAAAAGTGGGAAGAAGTCTTAAAAAACTTTTAAGAAACACTGATAGAGTGTTATGGGCTTGGCAGTATTACCAGTCAGTAGTGATTACTGTTGAAATAAAAAAACTATATTTATTAGTTTTTATTACTATATTATAGAGACTCTAGAAAGAATGCAGAGAAGAGCAACAAAGATGATTAGGGGACTGGAGGCTAAAACATATGATGAACAGTTGCAGGAACTGGGTATGTCTAGTTTAATGAAAAGAAGGACTAGGGGAGACATGATAGCAGTCTTCCAATATCTCAGGGGCTGCCACAAAGAAGAGGGAATCAAGCTATACTCCAAAGCACCTGAGGGCAGGACAAGAAGCAAAGGGTGGAAACTAATCAAGGAGAGAAGCAACCTAGAACTAAGGAGAAATTTCCTGACAGTTAGAACAATTAATCAGTGGAATAACTTGCCTCCAGAAGTTGTGAATGCTCCAATATTGGAAGTTTTAAAGAAGATGTTGGATAACCATTTGTTTGAAGTGGTGTAGGATTTCCTGCCTAAGTAGGGGGTTGGACTAGAAGACCTCCAAGGTCCCTTCCATCTCTGTTATTCTATATTCTATATTATGAAATACATGAGGACAGAAATGCCTGACTTGACCAAACCAATCCTTAATCAGAGAGATTCAGGATGATGGCAGCTGACTCAAATCTATCATGCTAAAGGCGAAGTTCAAGCTGAGTTTTTATTGTGTGTGTTCTTTCAAAAGCTGTTTCATAATATTAGTAAAACCCTGAAGTATTCATAAAAGTGACTTTCCTTCTTCCCCAAAGCAATGTAAAGTAAGTTGCATCATTACTATGACTCTTAGTATCTTCTCATTTTAAAATCCATTTGCAACACGGATTCTCCAGAAGTGTTGAAACTATAATATCTAGATTAGTGTTTCTCAAACTCGGCAACTTTAAGATATGTGGACTTCAACTCCCAGAATTCCCCAGCCAGCCATGCTGAATTGAAGTCCACACATCTTAAAGGTTGTTAGTCTGAGAAACACTGATCTCAGAGTTTCCAGAAAGCAGATGCTCTCTAGGAAGTTGAGTTTTGAAAGGCACTTGGCGTTCGATGCTGAGCCGAGGTAGTGCAGTGGTTAGAGTGCAGTACAGCAGCCTACTTTTGCTGATCACCAGCCTCAGCAGTTTGGCAGATTGAATCTCACCAGGCTCAAGGTTGACTCAGCCTTCCATCCTTCCGAGATGGGTAAAATGAGGAGCCAGATTGTTGGGGGCAATATGCTGACTCTGTAAACCGCTTAGAGAGGTCTGTAAAAGTACTATGAAGTGGTATATAAGTCTAAGTGCTATTGCTAAGTGCTATTGCTATAGAGAGGGGTGGACAAATTTTGAAGGTAAGTTGTCCCGGAGGTGGAGACCATCACTGAAAGAGTTTAAGCAGAGGGATCCTGAAGATGACATTCTTTTCAGTTTGGGGTCAATCAAACCAGGATTTCCAGGCTGGGAGATTCAACCTGGCAAGGAGAGAGATATCCTGATCCTGAAATGATGTGTGGGAAAGGCCTTGGGAGACAGGATGAAGAGATGTTGACTGGGAAACAGTTAGATAAGAGATAGCATAGGCTGCAGCTGCATACTGGGTGGGTCAAAAGGCTGAAAAGGGCCCTTTCCTATTTTGGGGGGCTGTAAAGGAGATAGCCAACTCTGACCCTAGGTTCTTCCTCAGTTTACCTTTTCCAATAAGCAACCGAGCCAGAAGATCATTCAAAAGCAATTTATTATAGTACTCTGATAAAGTGGGATCTCCCTACGAAAAGGGGGAACCCCGAGACCTATCTTACATTCCCTTTTATAGTTAAAACATCAAAGAAAATGCAAGAGAAAAGGTCAGTTACATGTAGTCAAACATGTTACATATTTGCAACCCATCTATCCTCACATGTGCATTAAAATGAAATGAGATGACAGAAGGAGTATAAATTTCAGGATGTTAATAAGCAAAAAGTGGTCTGGAATTCACGAGACAAACCAGATGCCAATTAGTGTCAACAAGCTCTCTCTCTTATCAGGAGATATTGTCCAGACAAGCTATCAATCAATTCATACATCAATAGCAGAGGTGGTGTTCAGCCAGTTCAGACCAGTTCAGGCAAACCGGTAACGGCAATTTTAACTGGTTCGTCGAAATGATAAATACCACCTCTGGCTGGCCCCGCCTGCTCATCGGAGCAGAGCAGCAGGCAATGGAGTGCCCATGCATGGCCAGCGCAAAGAACAGGGTGGCAACTGTGGCGACGGGACTGACTGAAGCTCTTTTTCAGCGTGTTGGAGAAGCGGAGGCCGGTAGTTTTTGGCACAAGAAGCCTGCAGCCAGCTGCCACTGCCGGCTCGGTTCCATCTGGCAAAGAGGCGACTGGGAGGCTTCTCGCACCGAAAAAAAGATGCGGCGGCTGCAGGCATCTTGCAACAAGGGGTGTGTGTGAACAAATGCGCGTTGGCAGGAAGTCCAGTGGTGACGACTTAGACCTGGTTTACCTTCCCTGGCAGCCAGCTGCAGGAGAAAGGTAAGGTTGCGGGACGCGGTCGTGGGGAAGGAAGCGAAGAGATTGAATAAGGGCTGGGGCCTCTAAAGGAGAGGAAATGGGGCGATTTGTGGCGAAGGGAGAGCAGGTGGCATGCAGGAGGCCTTTGACAGATTCTGAGTTTAGCCACCTCAGATCCTGGGTAGAAAATAGGTAGAAAGGCTGCAATAGCTGTAAATTCAAATTTTTTTCTTATTGGTTTCTGTGGGCGTGGCTTGGTGGGGGTCATGTGATTGAGTGGGCAAGGCCAACACGATGTCACTCACAGCAAGATACCACCTCACCAAGCCATGCCCACCAAGCCACGCCCACAGAACCGGTAGTGGAAAAATTTGAATCCCACCACTGATCAATAGGATAAAAATTTCTCCTCCATTCCAGTCTGCAATGACCCAATAAATTCTTATCACCATTTTCAAATGGATGTCTCTCTTTTTTCAAAGAGAGAAAAATAAGTCAAGTTAAAATACAAAGTAATTATGTTAGTGAAGAATATTACAAAATCCATATCATGTCCATACCCCACCCCCATCCCTGGGCAGAGATTAGCACTGTCAGACTTGCAAGATTCAGCTTTACAATAAAGCAGAATTAGCTCATCTAAATCGTGTTTTTAATCTGGTCTACCTCCTAAGACTACCTAATCACAAGGGTCTCTAAAGGAGATAACTCACCCCTTGAATTGCACCCAGAAGCTGACTGAATGTTCTAAAAAATTGGGAATAACATGAAATTGAGAGGAAAGATCTTCCTGATGATTGCCAGGTCCCTTGAAGGGTCCCACCCACAGAGAAGCTGCCCTTCTGTTCCCTTCTCCTTTCTCATGCTTGTTGACAACATTTGTGGTTTCTCTTTCCCCTCCAGCTTCCCCAGTTCCTCATTACAACTGTCCAAAGCTGTGCCTTGTCTCTATTTCAGCCTTTACCCACCAATGAAGCCCTTTCTCTTCTTAATTCCAGCCGCCGTGGCTGCTCTCACCCTGGCAGGGACAACTGTGTGGCCTCTTCAAGGTAAGCTTTCGGTCCTTGGGGAAGGCCTCTTCAGCCCAGCCCTGTCCAGGTTGAAGGTAGCTTCAGGCTGATACAGCTGGGTGGCATTACAGGTGGGGACCATATTTTAATTTGGAAAATTAAAGGATGAGCCAGTTTGATCTAGTGGTTAAGGCACCGCTAAATCCAGTAAATAATTGAATGTTGCATGGCACCCAGAGTTGCTCTTTCGGCGATGGGCAGCCATATAAATGTGGCAAACAAATATATCTTGTCTTGTCTTGTGTCAGAAATGCAGGAACTAGAAAAGGGGAATAGGGATGATTAAAGAAAACTATAGGAAAGAAATAAAGTACTAAATATTACACATAGTCACTGCAGCCAGATTGGCGTTCGCCCAATATTGGAAAACTGATCAACTGCCAGCAGACCAATTGATAATCCAAAAGATCTATAATTGTGCGGAAATGGACAAATTAACGTTTGAAATGAAGGATAAGGTAGACTCAAAAGGTTATATAGCGTGGAATAGGTGGTATAATTGGATAACTCGTAGAAATGAAATGTAAAATTCTGTACGAAAATAATAATTAACAAATATGCACCGTTAATTAGATAATGGACGTGAGACCAAAGTCATTTTTTTAAATGTATTCTCGTCTATATTAATATATGTATTTTGTATATACATGGTATAACATTTTACTTTTTATATGTTTAATAAAGTTTTGTTTTTAAAAGAAAAAAAAAAGAAAAAAAGAAAAGGGGAATAGCAACAGCAATAGCACTTAGACTTATATACCGCTTCACAGTGCTTTACAGCCAGTTGTGAAATCCAATTTTTTTTTACTACTGGTTCTGTGGGCATGGCTTGATGGACGTGGTGTTGCTTGGTGGGCGTGGCAGGGGAAGGATACTGCAAAATCTCCATTTCCTCCCCATTTCTGGGGAAGGATACTGCAAAATCCCTATTCCCTCCCCACTCCTGGGGAAGGATATTGCAAAATCTCCATTCCCACCTCACTCTGAGACCAGCCATTTGCCGGTTCTCCAAACTACTCAAAATTTCCGCTACCGGTTCTCCAGAACCTGTTAGAACCTGCTGGATTTCACCCCTGTTTACAGCCTTCTCTAAGTGGTTTACAGTGTCAGCATATTGCCCCTATAATCTGGGTCCTCATTTTATTGTCCTTGGAAAGATGGAAGGCAAAGTCAACCTTGAGCGGGTCAGAATGGCTCATTAAATTATTAATTTAATATTTAAAAATGTTAAAAGCTTTGATCAAATATAAAGTTGCAAGGTCTAAATAAATTGCGGTAAGTGAATTGGATCCATGGTTGAGATAGACTGAAAACTCTCTGTTGCTATGGTTCTTCTGATGCTTGGCCAGAGATTGTGGTTGGCCAAGATGTTCACCTTGGAGAGTGAAAAAAAAACATGTGGATTTTGATTGTAGGGTCCAGGCTGCCATCTTGACTGTTTTGGCATCTCCTCCCTTCCCTGGTGCAATGCCTCAGAATTATAGAAAAATTGTGATTTTGGCATTCGGGGCTGGCTTTGTGATGTGAGTGTGTGTGTGTGTGTGTGAAGAATGATTAGTTAACATTTTTTATCCTCATAATTTCAGAAATAGTCAATGCTGGAGGTGAGATTCAAATTCCATGCGACCGGAAAAATGTCCAACTCATATGGTACTGGATTCCCCGTTACCCCATCTGTGCAGGCCTAAAAATGGGCCGGATAGAAATCTACCGTGTAATTTCTAACGAGATGCACATTAATGAAAATCTGGAGAGATTTCAAGGGATGATGCTAGAAAAAAATAATGGAAAGTCCGTCCTCACCGTCCCGCTCCAACACATGAATGACTCCGGCACTTTCTATTGTTTCGATGGAAGAAGTAACTCATCCTTTATCTCAGTCGTTGTGAAATCTGGTAATAAAAAACGGGGGCATTTTAGGGCTTCGGGAAGTAGATATTGAATATCCTCCTGGCACCAAATGATGGGTGGAAATAGCAGCAGGCTGTTTGAAAATGGCTCTGACGTCTTCCAGAAGGCCTCCACACATCTGAGTGGTCTAGCCAGGTGTTGGCTTGAAGGAATGTCAGTGTGTGGGCCTTAATACACACCCTGGGTTTGAATGGTCCAAACTCGTAAATTTAGACCAGTACCTTTTAGACTTGGCAACTTTAAGATGTGTGGACTTCAACTCCCAGCTCCTGGGGGTTCGCAGGGATTCTGTGCAGTTTGGAGAACCTCCAAATCCCACTCCTGGCTCGCCCTTCCCACCTGCCCCCACCCAGGAATCCCCACGCGGCCCATTTTGGATGCAGGTAAATGCAGGGCATGCACGGAGGCTCAGGGAGGGTGGAAAATGGGCCTACTGGAAATTCGGGAAGGCATTTTTCCGGCCTCCAGAGGGCCTCCGGAGCCTGGGGAGGCTGTTTTCGCCCTCCCGAAGGCTCAAAGAAAACCTCTGGAGCCTGGGGAGGGCAAAAATGCCCCCCCTTCCGCCGTGGTGCAGGAGGCCAACTAGGTCACGCCCACCATGGCCATGCCCATCCAGCAACCGGGCAGAGAACCCCTTGCTAAAATTTTTGAAGCCCACCCTTGGATAGATGGATGATAAAGATCTTCAAATATCTAAAAGGCTTTCCTTAGAGGATAGGCCAGATTTGTCCTTTGCTGCTCTGGAAGACCCAGCTAGAATCAGTGAATGGTCTAGTGATTATAGCACCAGAATAGAAACCAGGAGACAGTGGGTTCTAGTCCCACCTTAGATGTGAAAACCAGCTGGGTGACTTTGGACCAGTCACTCTCTCTCAGCCCAACTCACCTCACAGAGTTGTTGTTGTGGGGAAAAAGAAGGACGAAGAAGTATTAGGTATGTTCACTGCCTTGAGTTATTTATAAAAATAATAAAAGCAAGGTAAAAAAAAAATCTAAATAAATAAAGTGGAGAAAAAAAAAACCTGGGATGAACAAATCCAAATAAATATTCCAAATCTAGTGTTTGATTAAAAAAAATGCACAGGTAGGTTCCCATTCACTGGAGGCTTAAACAAAGACAACCTGGCCATTTGTTTGGCATATTGTAGTCATAGATTTTACTGAGCCAAGTCTAGATGATCTCCAGCACCCCTTCTACCTGTCTTTGACAGGAATGCAAGGACATGATGACAATGGTTTCATCCCCAGCATCTGATTGACAGAGAGTATATTTTCCAAATCAAGAAGCTTCTATGTAGATATTGATGATACAGATAGTCCTCAACTTATTCATTTAGTGACTGTTAGAAGGTATAACACCACTAAAAAATGTGGCAACTGTTTTTTACACTTACAAGTGTTGCAGCATCTCCGTGATCACATGATCAAAATTCAGACACTTGGAAACTGGCATGTATTTATGACAGTTGCACTGTCCCTGGGTCATGTGATCACCTTTTGTGACCTTCCCAGGCAAGCAAAAATCAACGAGGGAAGCCAGATTTGCTTAATGAACAAATGATTCACTTAACAACTATGGCAAGAAAGGTTGTAAAAATGGGGCAAAATTCACTAAACCAGCTCCCTTGCTTAGCAATGAAAAATTTGGACTCCGTTGTGGTCGTAACTCAAGGACTACCTGTATAGCAGGGGTGAAATCCATCAGGTTCTGACAGGTTCTGGAGATCCGGTAGCGGACATTTTGAGCAGTTCGGAGAACCGGCAAATACCACCTCTGGCTGGCCCCAGAATGGGGATTTTGCAATACCCTTCCCCTGGAGTGAGGCGGGAATGGAGATTTTGCAGTATACTTCCCCTGGGAGTGAGGTGGGAATGGAGATTTTGCAGTATCCTTCCCCTGCCACGCCCACCAAGCCACACCACACCCACCAAGCCACACCCACAGAACCAGTAGTAAAAAAATTTGGATTTCCCTACTGCTGTATAGCCATTAACCTATTAAAAAAAATAAAGTCTGCTCGCATTTCTCATTTCTTCAGATGGATTCCTTCATGATTAGATGATGAACCTTTGCCTGTCTGATTCTCCTAAATTTATTTTGATTTGCTGGATAGCCAAGTGCAATACTATAAAGGAGAGAAATTTCCTTCCACTATTCTCCCTTGTACCTCACGTCTCCTTTTACTGGGAGTATTTCACTAAATGCAGTATGGAATTCTATGTGTAACCAGGTAATAACGGATAACTTAAACCTCTCATTCAGATCTCAGTGTCTCCCAAAAGATATTCCTTACCTCTCCCAAAGACGCTTTTCCAAAAGGCAGCTGGACTCCCTTGATTTTTTTTTCTTTGAAAACATTTCACTTCTCATTGAAGAAGCTTCTTCAGTTCTAACTTTTTTCGGTTAGAACTGAAGAAGCTTCTCGGATAAGAAGCGAGATGTTTTCAAAGGAAAAAAAAACCAAGGAAGTCCATGTTGCCTTTTGGAAAAGCACGACCTGGATGATTAGGAATCTCCATAAACATTTATCCTTCCCTCTGTAGTTGCAAATCTTTGAAGGAATAACATGTCGGTATTTCTGACAGATAATCGACATGGGATGACAGTTTCCCCTCCTGAGAAATCCCAAAGAAGCAAACGGCTAGTAAAGCTGACCTGCAATCTTTGTGATGACAACATGAAAGGCCAAATTCATGGAAGCTCTACCATCGCCTGGACTATTAATGGGCAAGAATCTTCTAAGCACATTTTTAAGCCCCTAAGAACTGCAATCTTAGTGGAAGACAGTCCCCCAAATTATGGTCTCTGGAAATGCAGCAATTCCAGATGTCCTACACAATCTGACGGCTACTGCTTCGAAGATGAAGTCAGAATTTCAGAGAGAACAGAGATGGAGGAAATGTTCTGGTCTACTCCAGCACCATTCTGTGAGTATAAGAGTTATTCCCTGCCCATATCACAACTACCATCTGCATGGATTATGGTTCAGTTAAAATCATATAACACAGGGGTGTCAAACTCAATTTCAGTTACTTTTGCCATCTCTGTCATCTCTATCAGTTTGAAGCTCTGGATCTTTATTATTAAACCCACACACGGGGAGAGTGGGTAGGGATTCCACCACATGACGGAGGCTGCCATCTTAACTTTCTTGAGTGACCTGGAATAACCCCCTTTTCTCCGTTCTATTTTATGCCTCTCCAAAGATAAAGAGAAGAAGTTTATGATCCAAGTCATTGGCGGTTGCGTGATAGGAATTTTCGTTCTCCTATGGATGGGGGTGACTATATTTGTTCTCCGGGAGAAGCTTCCATCACGGAGAACCAGGTAAAGATTTTTTAAAAAGGAAAGAATGTCTCCCTTGAATTCAGTTCAGTTCCTGGTAGGTGTAGGCAGAAGTGGGCTGCTGCCAGTTCGGGCGAACCGGTAGTTCCGGCCAGCAGCTGGGCCCGTCTACCCACCCTTGTGCTATCCCGTTCCTATATAATCGCTGTTTTTTCAATGCCACGTGCATGTGCGGAAGGCGTGCATCAGGGATGGGTTCTACTTACCTCCGCTACCGATTTGCAACAGGAGTGCTCGCATGCTCACTTTGTTCGCGCACGCACACTTCTGCACTTCTGCACATTCATAATAACGTCTGGGCAGGTGGGTGGAGCCTCCCACCACTATTACTACCGGTTCACAAGAACCGGACCAAACCGGGAGTAACCCACCACTGGTGCTCACTAGCGAAGCCAGCATGCATGCACACTCACATTTTCGGTTCTAGGCGAACCGGTTGTAAAAGTAACAGAGTTGGAAGGGACCTTGGAGGTCATCAGTCCAACCCCCTGCTCACGCAGGAGACCTATACTAGGGATTCGAACCGCCAAACTGCCAACCTTTCTGATCGACAAGCTCAGCATCTTATCCACTGAGCCACCTAGCCAGGTTGTTATAGTATGTAATGCCCACCTCTGGATGTAGGGATGTTACTTCCTTGATTTCCATGGTGGTAGGAGGCTGGGCAGAAACAGTTCATGATTGTCTTCTTCTTGGGTGAAATCCTTACAATCTGGCCAACCAAATGACATGGAGCCAAAAGAAGAAGACCTCGATGGAAATATGTGAGCTCCATTATCAAAGTGATGAGGAGTGAAAAATACATTAAGTCCACAACAGAGAAATCATATTCAGAAGAGAGTCAGATGCCTTCCTAATTCGGTGATGCATAAGAAGGGGAAGAAGGTACACCACAATCAGATATGTAAGATCCTCTTATTATAACCAATGTCAATAAAATAATTTTAGCCTTCCTGTTGCATTTCCTGGCTCGGTCAACTTAGTGGGAGTGACACAAGGTTTTATTTAGCATTTTAAATTGCACCCTGGAACAAATGAAGCTACCTAAATGCAGATGTTGTTTGGGAGAATTGAGTCTCTCTCGCATCAGGATGTGGGCTGTTGCACAGCTGTACTTGCCAGGTGATCTTCAAGGGCAGTCCCATGTAGCATCAGTTATAGTAGTCAGGTACTGAGGCGATGAGGGCTTGAGTGAAGTATTTCTGGTGATCTAGTAGGAACTGGGAATCCAGAAACACTTCCAGATTACAAACAGGTTTCTTTTAGGGGAGCACAGCTCCTTCTGGAGCTAAAATCAGAACCCTCAGGGTTGTTATAATATAAAGCTTAATTCAGGGAGCCAGCTGTTATCCGTGAATGGTGTGAATGAGTTTTTAATGTTTTTAATGTTTTTAATTTTTCAATGTCTTTTTATAATGATTTTTTAAATGTAGTGTGAGCCGCCCTGAGTCTTTGGAGACAGGCGGCATATAAATTTAATGAATTAAATTAAATTAAATTAAATTTAGATCAGTGTTTCTCAACTTTGACTGTTTTAAGCTGTGTCAACTTCAGTTCCCAGAATCCCCAACCAGGCTGCTGGCTGGAGAATTCTGGGAGTTTATTTATTTATTTATTGGTTCAATTTATATGCCGCCCTTCTCCGGAGACTCAGGGCGGCTTACAATGCATTAAGCAATAGCCTTCATACTTTTGTATATACCTGCTTAGTAGGGCTTTCGCCCCCCCCCCCAAAGCGGTGTTCTTTTTTATACAAAGTCAGTTTATTGCCCCCACAATCCGGGTCCTCATTTTACCTACCTTGGAAGGATGGAAGGCTGAGTCAACCTTGAGCCTGGTGAGATTTGAACTTGCAGTAATTGCAGGCAGCTGGTGTTACTTTAGTCTGCTGCGCCACCAAGGCTCAGTTGAAATCTTCACAGCTTTATGTCACCAAAATTATGGCTTTTATCTAAACACTGCTTTAGATAAATAGAATAAACTTTCAGAAAGCTGAGATCATTAGAAAGGGATGGAAGTCTCTAAGTGAGTTATAGATAGAATACCTCAATCAATTTCCCTACAGCAAGGGTGTCAAACTGGAGGCCCATGGGCCAGATGCGTCATGCGCAGGCCACGCTCACCCCAGCTCCGCTAAGGGGAAAAATGTCATGAAACATCACATGAGGACAACGTGATGCAGTGAGTTTGACAACTGTGCCCTACAGGGAAATTTTTTTTTAATTGTTTGACCAAACCAGGGGTTGGGTTAGATCAGAGGTGTCAAACTTAAGGCCCATGGGCCGGATGCAGCCCGTGGGGTACTTAAATCTGGCCTGAGGGGCCGGCTTGGAAATAACAAAGTACCAGCCCGTGGTGCCTCTGACAGCCAAAGCGGGGTGCAGGGGGGCTGTGTGAGGCTCCCCGTTTTGACTGGCAAGGTGCTGCAGGAGGTCGTCCAGGCAGAAAACGGGGTGGGGTGTGTGTGTGAGGCCCCTGTGCCCTGTTTTGGCTGGCAGGGTGCTATAGGAGGCCATCCAGGCTGAAAATGGGGTGCAGGGGGCCTCACGCGCCATCTCCCATGCCCTGTTTTAGCCAGCAGGGTGCTGCAGCAGGCATCTGTCCTGTCCCATCCCTTCCCCACCCCCCTGGCCAGCCTGCGGAGGAGAACTACAATGCTGATCCGGCCCTTGAAAAAATCCAATTTGACACCCTTGGGTTAGATGATCTTTAAGGTACCCTCAGAGTCTAAAATCATTTGATTTTTCCATATTTTACCCTACATGTTCCAGCACTCATATTAAATATCTGATTTAGCGCAACACTGTGTTTTCCTTGTATGAATTAATCTTATAAACACCAGATATTTAAGAGGCATTTCTCTGTCATCCTTTTAAGCCCCAGTAAAATCGCAAAGGAGCCAAAATCACAAGTGATTCAGAATTCAGTTGGTGAGTACAGTATTTAAACTTCTGTTTCCCCCTTTTTTTCTGATCTATGACTCGCTTTCTTCCTTCTCCTGCTGCTGCCGCTGGAGCCAAGACTGCTGCTCCGCTGGGGTGTGCACGGGCAGCCCCAGGAGGGCAGGCAGATGTAAGGCCGACACTGGCAGTGGGGAAGGGAGACCCACTGTGCTCGGCCAAAGAGCCGTCTCGGGGGAACATGATGAGGCTCGCTCACCTTTTGGGCCTGCCGTGCTCGGCTTCCACCCACTTGCCTTCCCCTTGGGTCCCGTTGCCTGCATCCAGCCCATGACAGGGGATGCGCTGCTTCTGGGATGGGCCACCTGCCCTCCCGGAGTACTTTCTTCCTTCTCCTGCAGCAGCCGCTGCTCAGACCAGTTATGTGTGAGTGTGTGTGTGTGTGTAAGAGAGAGAGAGAGAGAGAGAGAGAGAGAGAAGAAAGAAAGAAAGAAAGAAAGAAAGAAAGAAAGAAAGAAAGAAAGAAAGAGTGATGTCATGTTGGCCACACCTGCCTGGTCACATGACCACCAGGCCACACCCACCAAGCCACGCCCACAGAGCCTGTGGCAAAAAAATTTAGATTTCACCACTGGACGAAAGGCTGAGTCAACCTTGAGCCTGGTGAGATTCGATCTGCCAAACTGCTGGCAGCCGGTGATCAGCAGAAGTAGCCTACAGTACTGCACTCTAACCACTGCACCATCGCAGCTCATTAAAAGCTGTTGACCAGGTCTTTAACAAATCAGAGTGAGTTGCTGTACCTTGTTCTATTGCATTTGCTAATATCTTTCAATCCTAGGAATAGAAAAACCCCTCAAGAACCAAGAGAAAGACGTAGAGATGAATGAGGTAAGTTTTGTGTTACTGCTCCTGTTTCTGATTGTTATATTAATTATTGAATAGAGTAATAGGCCACATTTCCAATACCAGAAAGAGTGGTACAAATGCGATTCCCATTCTAGTTTGCTTCTCAAGTGCAAGCCATTATAAATTAAAACCGTTCTACAAGTTAATTTACACATATTTGCATATTAGGCCAGTCTAAGTCTCTCCTTCAGAGGGTAATGGGTGTTTTATGCATCGTACTCTTCGGCTGTTTGTTTCCCAGGCATAAAGTGGCTGCAAATAATGCCAGTTTAAGAAATTGCTTTTCGGATTCTAATCTTTCCTTTGGACTCCCATGTTTCCCTGAAAATAAGACCCTGTCTTATATTTTTTTGAACCCTGAAATAAGTGCTTGGCCTTATTTTCGGGGAAGTCTTATTATTTTGGGGTGAATGGAGCAAGATGGGGCTCCTCTTCCCATCTTATCTGATTTCTGTGTTTAAATATTTTTGTGGAGAGCTTATTTTTTTGGGGGGAGGCTTATTTTAGCGTATGCACTCAAAAGCCCGATTGGGCATATTATCAGGGGATGTCTTATTTTCGGGGAAATAGGGTAGCAACAAGAAGCTTCTTCAGCTCTGACTGGATGGAGGGGAATAGAAAGATCCACCATCCAGTCAGAGCTGAAGAAGCTTCTTGGATGAGAAGTGAAACCTCTTCAAAGAAAAACCAGAAAGTCCAGTTGTCTCTTGACTATTAACCTTGAGTTTGCTGAAGTTGGGAAATGGTTAGTGTGAAGAGGGCAGGTTGCCTAGAAAAGCCATCACAGCTCATCAAGATAATGCTTGACTTACACCTGTCTGTTTAGTCACCATTCCAAGTTACAAACGGCACTGGAAAAAATGACTTGTGACTATTTTTCACATGACTGTCACAACATCCCCATGGTCACGTGATCAGAATTTGGGTACTTGTCATCTGGCATGTATTTATGTCCCGAAGTCACGTTTAACCTTCCCAGGTGGTTGCCGACAGGCAAAGTCAATGGGGGAAAACCCAGATTTGCTTAACAATCACATGGTTCAGTTAACTGCAGTGATTTTGGGCTCTTTTGTGGTCATAAGTCAAGGACTATTTGTACTTAAAAGAGCTTGTGACAGACGTTCCTTTGCTGCCACCTGGTGGTCTTCTGGATCTTCTGTGTCACATGAGAAAAATTCATCTTCCTTCCCCTGTCCTAACCACTTTCTATAGAGGGACAATCGAGAGCATCCTGTCATGTTGCATTACAGTCTGGTTTGGAACCATTACTGCTTCAGACAGGAAGGCGGTGCAGAGAGTGATGAGGACGGCAGAAAAGTTCATTGGCAGCTCACTCCCTTCTATCCAGGACATGGCACTTAAGTGATGCTTGAGCATCACTTTCTGCTTTTGAAACATTATGTTTAGCAACAATAAAAAAGAAAAGCTTTTGTAATATCATTTCTCTTTCCCTCCCCCCCTCTCTCTTTCCCTCCTCCTCTCTTTCCCTCCCTCCCTCCCTCCTTTTCTTTCTCTTTCTCTCTCTTTCTCTTCTTCCTCTCTTTCTCTGTCTCTCTGTCTCTCTGTCTCTCTGTCTCTCTCTCTCCCTCTCTCTCCCCCCTGAACTGGTGTTGGGTGGTGCGAATCTGACGTCTGTAGGCCGATGAGCCCAGGAGCAGTGCGCCGAAGCTCAGCTGGCTGACGGTGAGGCGGGGCATCCCAACACAGGCAGCTCTGCAGGAAAAGAAACTGGTTTTTTCTTTTGTTTTGCCAAGCCGAGCCGACACAGGGGTTGCATTGTGGCTCCACGTAGTAATGGGCTTCAGGAGGAGGAGGGGACGCGTCTTCCCCCTTTGTGAAGCATATGAGTGAAAAAGTTCACTCAATCAATTCCAACTTTGCGAGATCTTTTTCTTTCACGAGAAGTTGGAATCGGTGAGTGAAATGCGATGCGGAAACGTGATTGGAGCTGGGCTGGGGCGACTGTGCGCGTGCCCACAGAGAGGGCTCTGTGTGTTATGTCTGGCACACATGTCACAGGTTCGCCATCACGGCCCTATAGCATTCCAGACAAATAGTTGTCTAATCTCTTCTTGAAAACCCCCATTGATGGAGCACCCACAACTTCTGGAGGCAAGTCGTTCCGCTGATTAATTGTTCTCCCTGACAGGAAATTTCTCCTTAGTTCTAAGTTGCTTCTCTCCTTGATTAGTTTCCATCCATTGCTTCTTGTCCTGCCTTCAGGTGCTTTGGAGAATAGCTTGACTCCCTCTTCTTCTTTGGGGCAGTCCCTGATTTGCACGTCACTATCCTTAGATCTGAGTTCTCCAGTGAGAAACCATCAAAATAACTCTTTAACAGATTAACAGAGTTGGAAGGGACCTTGTAGGTCATCTAGTCCAACCCCCTGCCCAAGCAGGAGATCCTACACCATTTCTGACTGATGGCAGTCTCTTCTTGAAAGCTTTGACTATACGGTGTGGTCATTAACCTGAGCTAAAATTCAGTAACTTTGATGGTGGTTGAAGGAGTTTGCTATATACTGACCGCAGGGGCTTTGGTCTTTTGATCTCTCTCTCTTCCCCCCCCCCTTCTGTTTTTTTTAGGGAGGAGAAGGAATCCAGTACTCAGTACTGCAATTCAAGGAGCCTGAGCAATGCCAGAGTCAGAAAAAGGAGGGGACCCCTGCTATCATCTATGCAGAAATGCTCTAGAGCAATTGTTCAAAAAGCTGATCTGTCCAAAAGGAAGATATACGATCCTTCGGTGCAGCGTTTCTCAACCATGGAAGCTTGAAGATGGTTGGACCTCAATTCCTGGAATTTACACAATCCTTTGGTGTAGTGCAGGGGTATCAAACACAAGGCCTACGGGCTGGATCTGTCCCATGGGTCCGTCCCGTGGATTCGTCCCACGGGGTGCTGAAATTTAGTGTGCTGAAGCTGATGCCCCACCATCCCCAATCTCAACCTGACCAGGCTAAGGACTAGCCAAGTGAATACCTGGTAGGCAGAATCCATCCCCATTTTCTTCCCCAAAAACTAAGGTGTGTCTTATACTCCAGTGCGTCTTATGCTCCGAAAAATATGGTAAGTCCTAAGGTGTCTTTTGGAGCAAAAATTAATATAAGACCCGGTCTTGTTTTTGGAGAAACATGGGTAACTCTAAAGGGTCACTGAATGAAGTGTTGTAAATCGAGGACTACCTGTACAAGCAGGATGACATTATACCAGTAAACTTCTTTGGGATTAAGAAGGCAGTCATTCAACAGCGGACTTGGAGGCAGGGGGGATAACCTGTAGGAATGTAAAATACAAAATCTATTTTTTTTTTGTCCCATTTATGATATTTTTGTTTTGCACAGTTTTTCCTTTATGTCTAAATAAATGTTACTGGGCCTGTCACACAACTAGTCACTCTGTGCCAGTTCGCTCAAGAGTCATTTTGTTCTGGGCAATTTATCTTCTAGGGATAACATTGAGGATTGCACTTTCCATTTGCAAAATCAGACCTAGGATAGAAACTTTCCTTTGTGTTTCTGGTGTATTTTGTAAATCAACAACATATACAGGAAGGAAAGAAAGATCTCAATTCCCAGGAATCCGTGGCTGGTACTGGATATTTATTATGTTTATACCGCTACATTAGAAATGATTTCTGTTTTTCTGCTGCAATCATAAATTTACATTAAATTTACAAGGTGATAAAAATACAGGAGCCCCAAGTACATTTCAATCTCTGTGGTTGTAGGAAAGTAGCAATAGCAATAGCACTTATATACCGCTTCACAGTGCTTTACAAGCCCTCTCTAAGCGGTTTTACAGAGTCAGCATATTTGCCCCCAAACAATCTGGGTCCTCATTTTACCAACCTCGGAAGGACGGAAGACTGAGTTCAACCTTGAGCCTGGTGGGATTCGAGCTGCCAAACTGCAGGCAGCTGGCAGTCAGCAGAAATAGCCTGCAGTACTGCATTCTAACCACTGTGCCGCCATGATAAGGCGGGAACCAAAAAGAGAAACGTGGCAATGAAGATTCTCAAGTCCTCCAGGTAGAGATGTCTGGAAGTTGAGTTATGGAAACTGGACTTCTTTTCCTGTTGGTTTGAAACGTTTCACTGCTTATCCAAGTAGCTTCCTCAGTCTGAGTAAGTTGGCTAGGGGGAATGGCAGTGGTGGGTTTCAAAAAATTTTTACTACTGGTTCTGTGGGTGTGGCTTGGTGGGTGTGGCATGGCTTGGTGGGCGTGGCAGGGGAAGGATACTGTAAAATCTCCATTCCCACCCCACTCCAGGGGAAGGTTACTACAAAATCCCCATTTCCTCCCAATCAGCTGGTACTCGGGAGGCAGAGAATAGATGGGGGCAGGGCCAGTCAGAATTTTTACTACCTATTCTCCGAACTACTCAAAAGTTCCGCTACCGGTTCTCCAGAATTGGTCAGAACCTGCTGAAACCCATCTCTAGGGAACGGGTTGCTCAGACTGAAGAAGCTACTTGGATAAGCAGGGAAACATTTCAAATAAACAAACAAACAAAAAAGGAAAAGAAAAGTCCAATTGCCATGATTCAACTCCAAGACAAGAGGAGAAAGCTTTTCTCTGTTTTGTTTCGGCTTTTGGCAAAAATGCCCTTGTTGTCTAAGGACATCTCAAGAACTAGCTGTAGAGCTATTTTGCATATAGTTTGGATACATGTACATAAGGAGGTTTCTATTAACAGGCCCAGGGATGGGTTTCCAATATTCTTACCACTGGTTTGTTGCACGTGTGTGCCTTCCGTGTACGTGCCAGCCTTCCGTGCATGCACTTTGCACGCACACCTTCCGCACATGCGCCCAGCTTTGAAAACTTGGCTAAATAGGAAAGCATTACGCTGGGGTGGATTCGCCCAAACCAGTCCGAACCGGCTGAATACCACCTCTGAACAGGTCCCAAGAAAGAAGGGGGTGATATTATCTCCTTGCACTTTGGTGTTGCTGCATGGGCATAAATTTTGTTAGGCGTGCCAAAATGGATATTGTAGTTCTCAAGCTTGCTGTAACCCACCCTTCCAAAGGTAGTACTAATATTTATTTTATTTTATTTTATTAAATTTCTATACCGCCCTTCTCCCGAAGGACTCAGGGCGGTGAACAGCCAAAAGATAAAACACAGAGATACAAAATTTAAAATAGATTAAAACAGATTAAACAATTTGGCTAAATTTTAAAAATATCCCATAATTAAACAAATTAAATACTTTACTATGTCTTATAGCAATAGCGCTTAGACTTATATATCGCTTTACAGTGCTTTTACAGCCCTCTCTAAGCAGTTTACAGAGTCAGCCTATTGCCCCCCAAACAATCTGGGTCCTCATTTTACCCACCTCGGAAGGATGGAAGGCTGAATTCAACCTTGAGCCAGGTGAGATTTGAACTGCTGAATTGCAGGCAGCCGGCAGGCAGCAGAAGTAGCCTGCAGTACTCTAACCACTGTGCCACCACGGCTCAACTATATCTTGTCCCACCCTTCTGCAAGGAAACATGTAGTCAAGGAACATGCTCGTTCAATACTTGGAGCTGGGAAAACCTGCTAGGTTCTGTGCCTGATGGGCTCTATACCCTGCTGTTAGAAGCAGAACCCAACTGAAGCTTAACAGGTAACAATACAGTCAGGTAAAAGATGCAGACTTCAAGTGCATGTAGGAAGGGATGAAAGATAACATCAAACGATCACAGCATATACTGTGGCATTGTCTGGAGTCTGAACGGGGGGAGATTTTCCTTGGAGAAGTTGCAGCTGAGCATAATAAAGGGAAGCCGATCTCTGGAAAGGAAAGCAGCATTAGATAAATGGTTAGAATACTAATACTGGCACTGATGATATTACCTAGTGGGGTAATGAAATGTCTGCGAGAAAGCAACAAAGCTCAGAAATCACCAAGGGGTCCCAACTTTCAACTCTAAGCTACAAATATTCTCGTTTATTGGTTAGACCTGTACATTTAAAACATAGGTGGGCCTCACACGATTTAACAACCAGTACACCTAGTGCAGAACCAAAAATGTGAGTGCGTGCACACACGAGCGCTTCACTAGCGCATGCAACTTCTGCACTTGCGCGCAGCTTCAAATCCAAGGCAATTTCATGCACGTGGTTTCCAGCACACCTTCTCGGGCAGCCGCAGTGAGTAAAGAGGGCGAGGTGCGGAAATCAGCTGGGCTGCGTGGGCGGGGTGAGCGAGCCAGAGAGTGGATATAGGACAGTGATGGGTAACCTTTTTGCCATCACGTGCCAAAATCGGAGGGAACACAGGGGGCGGGTGTTGTGCACATGCGTGCCCACGTCCATAATTCAATGCACACTTCGCCGTGCATGCGTGCGTGGCTCCCCCCCCGCTTTTGGCACACGATGGCACGGTGGGCCTGGTAGGCCTGTTTTTTGCCCTCCCAAAGCTCTAGAGTCTTTCTTGGAGCATTGGGAGGGCAAAAACAGTCTTCCCCACCCCCCCGGAGGCCCTCTGGAGGCCAGAAACAGCCCGTTTCCCGACTTCCGGTGGGCCTGAAAGGCCCGAAAATCAGCTGGCCGGCACACGCATGCGTGCTGGAGCTGAGCTAGGGCAATGCTCACATGCCCACAGATATGGCTTCGCATGACACCTGTGGCATGCGTGCCATAGGTTCGCCATCACGGATATAGGATATAGGATGGGATAGGACCGGGGCGGGTGAGTGGGCCCAGTCGGTGGTCGGAACTACTGGTTCGCCCAAACCGGTCTGAACTGGCAGCAGCCCACCTCTGACTTAAAAACAAATTTATCAGGCTGCAGCCCCTGGATATAAGTCAAGGAGTAACTGTACTGAAAAGATAATATTTGTGATGAGTTCAGTTATAGAAATATGGCATAACACTTTGAACTGCCCAGGTTTATTCTAACTGTACTGTGCTCCCAGGAACATCCCGCTGGTATTTACCTCATCCAAACTCTCTTGTTTGCCTATTTTCTCCTTTCTGATGGGATTTCTCGCAGAAGCAAAATCTTGAGGTTGTGGAGTCACAATGAGCAAGATACGAAAAAGGAAGAAATGAACATAGTGACAGGAGAATAAAATAACGGAAAAGATGGCAGTACAGATTTGGTCTAGAAAACTTCCAAGGTCTCTAGAGGTAGTCCTCGACTTACAACCACACTTGAGCCCAAAATTTATGCTGCTAAGCGAGAAATTTGTTAAGCAAATTTTGCCCCATTTTACAACATTTATTGAGTGAATCACTACAATTAAATTAGTAATACGGTAATTAAGTGAATCTGGCTTCCCCATTGACTTTGTTTGTCGGGAAGTTGCAAAAGGCAATCAGATGACCCTGCAACTGTCATAAATACGAGTCAGTTGTCAAGCATCCGAATGTAAATCACTTGACCATGGGAACACTGCACTGGTCATAAGTGTGAAAAACAGCCCACAAGTCACTAAGTGAACTGCTGTAAGTCGAGGACTACCTGTATTAACTCAACTACTCTAGGACTGTAGGAAGGAGCAACAGGTAAGATTCAGTTCATTTTGCAAATACTGAAAATGTTCCATTTAAAAACAAAACTATCACGGAAGGAGAGGGCTAGTCCAGAAATGATGCTTAAAAAGAATCTGTGCGAAAGACTTCTCCATTCACTCCTTACCTGTATGCTCCATTCTTTCACCAGTCGCCCTAGAAATTAAAAATAAATTAAAGTGGTGCTATATTATAATCATATGGCAAGTCCAGCTAAAATAGCATCTTTATCCTTATTAAACTCCTTTCTCAATAAGCAGACTTGGCAGCATTTCCTACCTTAGAAGCAGGGGGTTCACAGGGGTTCGGGAGAACCTCTAGCTAAGATTCTGTGCAGTTCGAAGAACCCCCAAATCCCATTCCTGGCTGGCCCCGCCCACCCCACCCCTCCCAGGAGTCCCCACATAGCCATTTTGGATGCAGGTAAATACAGGGTGTGTGTGGAGGCCCGGGGAGGGCAAAAAACGGGCCTACTGGAAGTTCAGGAAGGCTCCATAGGGCCTCTGGAGCCTGGGGAGGCTGTTTTCACCCTCCCAGAGGCTCGAGGAAAGCTTCCAGAGGCCGGGGAGGGCAAAAACATCCCCCCCCCCGCCGTGGTGCAGGAGGGCAACTAGGCCACACCCACCATGGCCACGGGGTTTGCCACCAACGATTGTCGCCCATCGCCACCACCATGCACCCCATTTTCGGCCTCTGTGCACCCCATTTTCCACCTGTTCTAGGCAGTGGGGATTGCCACCGCCGCCTATCACTGCCACCACCTCCATTCAGCGGTGATAGGTTGCAGCGGCAATCCCCGCTGCCTGGAATGGGCCGAAAACAGGATGCATGTAGGTCGAAAATGGGGCTCACGGAGGCTGAAAATGGGGCGCATGGTGGTGGTGATGGGCGGCGGCGGCGGCGATCCTTGCAGCCTGGAACAGCTTATGGGCGGTATTCCGGGAGGCCGATCCAACCACCAATCAGCTACTCATGCTAAATCAGGCTGCGCTGAAACTGACCAGGCTGTTTGCTGTTTGCTGCAAGGAGGCAAATTTCTGGGAGGCAGAGGCCAAAAGGTAGGGGATGGCAAGTGGGCAGGAACAGCAACATTTGCTCTATAGGACGCACATTTCCACCCACTTTTTTGGGGGGGGGGGAAGTGCGTCTTATCTTTTGCTCCTTCATAGTTGCCATGTACTTGAGGAGGGGAGTAGATAGACTGTCTTGCAGACATAACAATAAGCCTTCCCCTGGGAACCAAGGTCATCCCAACAGGTGACAGTTGAAGGAGGAGAGGAGTGACCGGGGAGCCCACCAACTGTTTTAATTGGACAATATGACTTGGGGAGGGAAACAGATGCTCTTTTAATTAAGCTATTAACGCAGGAAACATCAGAGTTGGTTTTCACTAGCCGTGCCAATATGATGCATGCAACAAACATGTTCTTTGAGGGACCTACCTGCCTCGGAGTTCTGATTTCTTTGGATGCATTATTTGGAACACTGACAACAATAGCACTAGCACTTAGACTGATATACCGCTTCACAGTGCTTCACAGCCCTCTCTAAGCAGTTTACAGAGTCAGCATATTGTTTCCAACAATCTGGATCCTCATTTTACCCACCTCGGAAGGATGGAAGGCTGAGTCAACCTTGAGCCTGGGGAGATTCAAACTGCCAAATTGCAGGCAGCCGGCAGTCATCAGAAGTAGCCTGCAGTACTGCATTCTAACCAGTGCGCCACCACAGCTCATAAAACAACCAATGAAATCATTCCTAAAAAACAAGGTATATTTCCAAAGCCCACTAAATGCAGCCAGTAATAAGGAGCACAACGTGATGGTATATTGAGAGAATGCTTTTAGGGATGTCCCTCTAATAGCTTTTGGAGTTAATCTTCTCCATGGTCTACTAGAAGAGCTATGAGTTTCTATATTTCACAAGCATTCTAATGATTAATAATTTCATTTTGATGACCAATGGCAAATGGGAGAGAAAGGAAATTAGAGACAGTCCTCAGCTTTCAACAACTGGGATCCGAATTTGTGTTGCTAAGCAAGACAGTTGATAAGTGAGTAAGACCTGATTTTTTACAACCTTTCCTGCCATGGATGTTAAGTGAAACATTGCAGTTGTGAGTCAATTGTATGGTCCTTAAGCAAATCCAGTGTCCCCTATTGACTTTGCTTATCAGCTGGCTGGGAAGATTGCAAATGGCAGTCACATGACCCCAAGACACTGCAATCATTGTAAATACATGCCTGTTGCTAAACTCCCAAATTTTGATGACAGGACCATGGAGATACTGTGATGGTCATGAGCGTGAGGAGGGAGAAGTGTAAATCACTTTTTTTTCAGTGCCGTTGTAACTTCAAACGGTCACTAAATAAATGGTTGTAAGTTGAGGATTACCTGTACAGTAGCCAGAATAGAGAGTGGAGTAATACATTCAATGTTCTTCACAGAAGCACCTTGACCCACCTGTTTGAAAAATCTTTTTTCCAAAAATATAAGGTCACACTCAGGGCAGCTATGATCAGAGCCAGACCAGCTAACAGCAGCATCCAAATCCAGGTAGCAGTTCTATCCACAGCATGGTGTCTCTGCACAACTTCGGTCGTCTGAATGGTAGCAGGACTTGACCAATCAGATAATGCTGACCAGGTGGGCTGAGTAGAATCGATATATTCAGGAACTGTTGGGAGAGCGACAATGGAATAAAAAATACATGATTTTTTTTTTTTAAATTTGATTTATATGCCGCCCTTCTCCGGAGACTCAGGGCGGCTTACAATGCGCTAAGCAATAGCCTTCATCCTTTTGTATATTTTTATACAAAGTCAGCTTATTGCCCCCACAAACTGGGTCCTCAATTTACCTACCTTAGAAAGGATGGAAGGCTGAGTCAACCTTGAGCCTTGGCGAGATTCGAACCCTGCAGTAATTGCAGGCAGCTGGTCTTAATAACCAGCTTAATAACAGGGTGCCTTAAACCCCTGTACTACCAAGGCTCTGATATATATGATATATTGTCTATGGAGATTCTCAGTCATCCAGATCATGGTTGCACCAAAGGTGCTTTTTTTTTTCAAGAGGCAACTGGACTTTCTGGTTTTTCTTTGAAGCTCCTTCAGCTCTGACTGGATGGTGGGGAATGGAAGGATTTATACTCCTTGCAGATAGGTGGACATTTGCATTCGTTTAGCAAGTCATTAAGGTCACCTGGAGGTTTTATCTGTGTCTGTTCTGACCTAGGCTTCTGTAGGAGGTTAGCACCCACCCCTTTCCTGGAAGAGTGAAATATTTTAGGAAATATGAAAAAGGCAGAACATTATATTTCCCTGGATGAGAAATGGATAAGCATGTTTTGAAGCAGCTCCCATCTTCCTGCCCCCCCCACCCTTTGTCAATGGGCCATTAAGGCCTGGGCCAATCTATTCTACCTAACAAAGATCTACCTCCTTCAGGCAGAGCCATAGTAGGAATTGCCCAAGATCCAACAAAGATAGGATTAGCCCTCTACACAATAGCAGCAGAAACTCACCACATGTGACCTGGGAAGCACATGTGACCATCAGCCAGCAAGGCTAGCTAAGACCCCCACCCCCTGGGAGTCTGACAACCAATCAGGATACTCTTTCGGGGCCCCAAGAAATGCAGAGCCAGAGAGAGCATAAAAACCCGAGGATTTACTGTATCTGCCCTTTTCTGTTCAGGAACTCAAGCCATGTGATCCTGTCCACCATTAAACCATCTTTCCAAGCAGTCTCCATGTTTCCAGGGCCTTTTCCCCACTTGGAGCAGAACCCAGAAGGATGTTTCTTCCACCACTTCCTTAGAAATTAAACAGCACAAACTTAGTCCCGGCAAACCTCTTTAATTTATACGGCTGGAAATTACTTTCATTTACAATCCGCCAGGCTTGATAAAGAGTCTTTCAGGGGAAGGTTATCAACACCCACCTATCTCACGTGGAATGCTGCCAAAGAGCTAATTTCCATACGCAGGGCAAGGCCACACTTGGCACAGAGTCACAAACAGAAGTTTCAAATCTTGAATCAGCCAGACGAACTAATTGCTTCCTGCAAAAGCTCACGTCCTGTTTGCTTCTCTTCTATGTCTTATGGGAGGGGCCAATCATCTCCAAGCCTTACTCCCAAGTCGACCCTGTTTCCTTAACTGTTCCTGTCTCCTGGCAGCTCTGCGCATCTGCACACTGGGAACAGGCTTACACTGTTCTTCTGCCTCGCTGGAGACTCTGGAGGCAGCAAAGAACTATCAGATGGCTCTGGCCCCGTCTCTGCCTCTAACGTAGAGCCCTTGTCTGAGCCTTCCCCAGACTCCAGGACTGGCCCATGTTCCTCCCCAACCTCCTCATTGTCTGAATCTGCTGCCAGATCTGCTGGCTACTGGAGGGCCACAACACTGCCATCAGAGTCACCTGAGTGGTGCAAATGAGTGTGGAGCCTTCTTGGAACTGCTGAAAGGACAGTGTTGTACATGATATATTATTTTTCAAGCACTATGGCCTCTTTCCATCTTCTGACAGGGCTTCAGATTTTAAGGTGGTTTTCATTACAGGTAGTCCTCAACTTACGACCACAATGGAGTCCAAACTTTATGTTGCAAAGTGAGAGATGTATTAAGTGAGTTTTGCCCCATTTCATGACCTTTCTTGCTGCACTTGTTAAGTTAGTCAGACAGTTGTTAAGTGAATCTGGCTTCCCCATTAGCTTTGCTTGTCAGAAGGTCGCAAAAGGTGATCACATGATCCTGGGACACTGCAACCGTCACAAATACGAGTCAGTTGCCAAGCGTCTCAATTTTGATCACATGACCATGGGGTTGCTGCAATGTTCATACGTGTGAAAAACTCACTTTTCTGGGTGCCGATGTAACTTTGAATTTACTACACAAATGTAAGTCGAGGACTATCTGTATGGAAACCAGATAGAGAAATGGACAGCGACAGTGGTGAAATCCAAATTTTTTTACTACCAGTTCTGTGGACGTGGCTTGCTGGGCGTGGTGTGGCTTGGTGGGCGTGGCAGGAGAAGGATACTGCAAAATCCCCATTCCCTCCTCACTCCTGGGGAAGGATATTGCAAAATCTCCATTCCTATCCCACTCTGGGGCCAGCCAGAGGTGGTATTTGCCGGTTCTGTGAACTACTCAAAATTTCCGCTACCGGTTCTCCAAACTGCTTAAAATTTCTGCTACCGGTTCTCCAGAACCTGTCAGAACCTGCTGGATTTCACCCCTGGAAAGCGATGGTTCTCTAGAATGAGTCTGAAGGACTGATTGTCTCTCTTCAATATCTGAAGGGGAAATCAAGTCTGGAGGACTTCAACTCCCAGAATTCCCCAGCCAGCAAAGAATTCTGGGAATTGAAGTCCTCCAGGCTTAAAGTTGCCAAGGTTGGGGACCCCTGCTTTAATGCACGCAAACCACTGTGAAAAGCAAACCGTTTATCCCCAACTTACTTTCATCCGTCTCTCCAATGGGTGAACTCAAGCAAATTTCAGAACTCCACTCAGGATTGAAAATAGACTGGCACTCCCAGCGTCCCCATATCTTATCCCTGATGGGATGTAATAATACCGAAGAGCCCATGTTGCTTTTCTTAGCCCAACGGTGGTTGCCTAGTCGCTTGGAGTTGAACAGCCATCGGAAACTGTCCGTATTCCGGTTATTGCAAAGTTGGCATGTGAGCCGCAAATAGGAGATACTGAGCCAGTGGGAGGAGACCAAGATATTGTTGTGGCAGCCTGAAGAAAAACAAGGAAATACAGGTAAATGGCAGGATTAAGACTGGATTCCGCTTGCCAGTGTAGGAAGTTAGCACCCACCCCTTTCCTGGAAGAGTGAAATATTTTAGGAAATATGAAAAAGGCAGAATATTATATTTCCCTGGGATAAGCATGTTTTGAAGCAGCTCCCACCTTCCTGCCCCCACCCTTTGTCAATGGGCCATTAAGGCCTGGGCCAGTCTATTCTACATAACAAAGATCTACCTCCTTCAGGCAGAGCCATAGTAGGAATTGCCAAAGATCCAGCAAAGATAGGATTAGCCCTCTACACAATAGCAGCAGAAACTCACCACATGTGACCTGGGAAGCACATGTGACCATCAGCCAGCAAGACCCCCACCCCCTGGGAGTCTGACAACCAATCAGAGTACTCTTTCTGGGCCCCAGGAAGTTCAAAGCCAGAGAGAACATAAAACCTGAAAAACTCGCTGTATCTGCCCTTTTTTTCTGTTCAGGAACTCAAGCCATGTGATCCTGTCCACCATTAAACCATCTTTCCAAGCAGTCTCCATGTTTCCAGTGTCTGCTTCCCCACTTGGAGCAGAACCTAGAAGGATGTTTCTTCCAACACCAGTAAGCATGAAGACCTTCAGTTCCTCATCAACAGAGTCACAGAAATATCTGAAAAATACGGCTTGAAGCTTAACACCTCAAAAACCAAGATCATGGTCATCAGCCAACAACCCATTAATTTGCCATTGATAACTTCGGAAGGAATACCACTAGAAAAAGTTGAAAGGATCAGGTACCTCGGTTCTAATTTACATGAAAGCTGGGACATGACCCCTGAAGTAAAGACAAGGATAGAGAAAGCTCGAACAGCATTCTTCAAAATGAAACAGGTCTTCTGCAGTCACGACATAAGATGAAAATCAGGCTTGTCAGATGGTACATCTTTTCTATCCTGCTCTACGGAGTAGAGAGTTGGTCTCTGACAGAAAGCCCCTTGAAGAGACTAGAAGCATTTGAAATGTGGATTTACAAACAGCTGTTACATATAAGATGGGTTGACAAAATCAGAAATGAGGAGGTGATAAGCCGCCTGGGAAAGCCAAGGGAAATCATCAAAACCATAAAAAAGCAAGAGTTAGAATATTTTGGACATGTGATGCGACATCTGGAAAAATACGGCATCCTTCACTTAATCCTCCAGGGAAAGATTGAAGGCAAATGAGATCCAGGCAGAAGAAGAACACCATGGCTTTGACAGTTTTGTCGAGTTTTGTTTCGACAAAATTTAGCAGCACTTTTTCGTGTGGCGGTTGATAAAAATAGGATTGCCAACAGGATCGCCAATGTCCGATGATGGATATGGCAGAAGGAGGAGGAGGAGGAGGAGGAGGAGGAGGAGGAGGAGGAGGAGGAGGAGGCTGGATTTGAAGGAATCCTAAGGCATGCTAGGAAATCAGGAATGCTTTGTCTCCCATAATAATCCCAACATAGAACTAAATCCTCTTTCTGGGGCCAGGGAGCATGTTTGATATTGTGGGAAGCTCCCTCCGCTCCCAGAGAATGAAATATTTGGGGGAATAATAAAAGAGGCAGAATATTATATTTCCCCAAAAGAGAAATGGAGAAAAATCTTAACAAAGGCAGAAAACAGCAGCCCCAGTCTTCCTGCCATAGGAAAACAGCTTCAAACTAAGATTTAAGAGCCTCGCCTTTAGGAATGCAGATTTTGTATCCATTCAGAAAGACTGGGCCAATCTATTCAGAAACAAAATTCTTTCAGCACCAGCTCCAATTGGAGCTGATGGGATTAAGAATTTACATCCCCCACCCAAATTCTAAAGACAGGACATGACCTTTAGGACACCGGTAGGATTAACCCACATCATTGAAATAGTAAATGACACAAGGCTCACTACATTGCACAACCCCCTGGATCATCTCAATCACAAAACCCCTATAAAAATCCACCGACTCAGCCATTTTCTCAGCCACCCCAAAAACATTGCTGCTGTCACTGAAGTTTCTGGAAACTTATAAAGCTTATTTCCTTGCAATCAGCATTTTATTTCCAATGCCTTTCTCCTGGCTTGGAACCGGACTGGATTTTTCTTCCTACAGTATTTTGTTGCCACCATGGGCAGATTTGGTCCAGCTTGGTCTAGTGGTAAAGGCTCTTGACTAGAAACCAAGAGATTGTGACTTCTAGTCCCATGTTAAGCATGAAACCCAGCTGACTTTGGGCCAATCACTAAAAGGCTGTGAGTTCTAGGCTCGCCTTAGGCATGAAAACCAGCTGGCTGATTTTCAGCCAATCACCAGGAGGCTGTGAGGTCTAGTCCCTCCTTAGACACAAAAATCAGCTGAGTGACTTTGGCCCAGTTGCTCTCTCTCTCAGCCCAACCCACCTCACAGGGTTTTTGGTTTGAGGAAAATAGGAGGTAGAAGGAAGGAGTATTAGATAAGTTGGCCACCTTGAGATATTAATAAAAAAATAATAAAGGTGGGATAAAAATAAAACCAAACATTTTTAAAAATATGAGATGTTTACCAGACGTTTTTCAGATGCTAGCAAATTTTCTGCACATCCCAACTCATCCTTTGAGAAATGTGTGAGCATCATTCCAAGCAAAGGAGTAGAATCCCTTACCCAATTTTATTTTCAAAGAATGTGTTGGGTTTGAGGTAGAAAGGAAGAGAGTCCTAAAGACTAAGGCTTTGCAGCGTATCATCTTGATTTTATTTTTTAAAAATTAAATAGAATTAGATGGGGAAGAGAACCTGGAAGGCCTGAATGAGTGATAATCAACATCTTTTATGAATTTAGAATGTTTCATAGCAAAGTATGCAAATGAGAAGCTGATTAAATTACTGAAAATAGGGACGGCATCATGTAAGCCTTACATTCTCAGATATTTTCATCTTCTCAAAGTGATTAGATCTTTGATCAAAGGATCTGAGAAAGCAACATTCCATGAAAAATGGAGATAATTTACTGCACCATTTTTTGGATCTTTTCATTTGGGTCTGGGGTGAAAAGCAAACCTCATCTCTAGGGGGACGCATGCCCATCTTCATGAAATTAACTGTCAGAGAAACATTTCTGTAATTATTTGAGGAATCTATTGCTTTTAACATTCTCCCACTTGCTGAAGCCTTTTCCTTCTGCTGCTGCTGATCCATCTGGGGAAATGAAACCGTGAGACAGAGCTAGAAATAACACGAATCTCCAGACAGAATTTGGTTGATGTACACAGAATCCATTTTCCCCAAATGAAAAAAGGGAAATTGTGGTAACAGTTGGGATGGGACATAAAAAGAGACGACTTCTATGAAGTCCAAATCAGACAAGAGGGAAACTCCTAAGCCTGTGACCAAATTTGGTGGCAAACCACCTTTTTTTTTTAAAATTGATTTATATGCCACCCTTCTCCGGAGACTCAGGGCAGCTTACAATGCGCTAAGCAATAGCCTTCATTCTTTTGTATATTTATACAAAGTCAGCTTATTGCCCCCACAAACTGGGTCCTCAGAAAGGATGGAAGGCTGAATCAACCCTCAGCCTGGCGAGATTCGAACCTGCAGTAATTGCAGGCAGCTGGTCTTAATAACAGGGTGCTTTAGACCACTGTACTACCCAGGCTCTTCCCTTCCCCTTCCCTTAAAATTAGTTATTAAAATTCTGATATGTTTAAGACTTTGCTTAAGACAATTAAGATTTTGGTACCTTTTAATCTATTTTACCAAAAATAAAAGACTTCTCTCTAAAAAATTGATCCCAACTTCCAAACTCTCTTCAGCTGGTGATGTCATCATACTATTTCTATCCTCCCTATGGCTTTGGAGATGAAGCCTCAATCATTATGGAAAAAAGTCTATGTGGTCCTAGAAATAAAAAAATGACTTGATGACATATAATCAATCAATCAATCAATCAAAAGTACAAATTTGACAATCTGCTTCTTCTGTTATCCCACTGCATTTTGGACCAATGAAGGTTTCTGAGTCATCTCCAAAGGCAAATTCATGTAGCATTCAGGTTACAGCATTCATGAAGTAATGAAGGTCTGAGCAATTGCTTCCAGTGGATTTTATGAAGGAAAATCTTTCTGAGACCTTCAGCAAGTGGGATTGCTTTCTCTCACAACAAGACTGATAGCTTGCAACATGCATTGGTTAGTTAAACCAGGAGTGAAATTCAGCAGGTTCTGACAGGTTCTGGAGAACCGGTAGCAGAAATTTTGAGTAGTTCGGAGAACCAGCAAATATCACCTCTGGCTGGCCCCAGGAGTGGGGAGGGAATGGGAATTTTGCAGTATCCTTCCCCCAGGAGTGGGGAGGGAATGAGAGCTTGCAGTATCCTTCTCCTGCTATGCCTACCAAGCCACACCCACCAAGCCACACCACACCCACCAAACCACACTCACAGAACCGGTAGAAAAAAAAATTGGATTTCACCACTGAGTTAAACTATGTGGCCTATCTCCCTTCACATTTGCAGGAATCAATATCCTTGACCCCCTCTCCATCAACCCAAGTTACATATTTGATTTTCCACCTTGAAAAGCTGTAATGATTCTCCATTCCTCCGAAGAAAAAATGTTGCAGAATTTGGAGACAAATTCTGGAAAAAAACACACTGCCCATGATATTAATTGTAGTTATATCTTTAGCTCTTCTTTTATTAATTACAGGTCTATATATATAAGCAGGTCAACTTAATTTTACTAGACTGTGCTGGAAAGCCTCCCCTGCAGTCATGACCCATATAAAAATATCTTAACCAGCTGTACATTTAAAAAAAAAAAAATCCTATAGGCTCCAATGGAAACTATTTTATATATAAACCTCTTAGCAACACATAAGATTGTGCAGTTGCGTCCTAAATGGTAATGACGGGCTGTATGCTAAAATAAAGCCAGGCCATGACACACACTTAAATTAAATCAGTAAGACTGTAATTGTGGAGTGTGTCTGGCAAGAACAAAGAATGCTTATCTACAGGACATATGCATGTGTAAATCTTGTAATAATTCTGGGTAACAAGAGTTAGACAACTTGCAGGCTTCAGCTAAAAATTAGGAATACAGATGGCCTGCAGCCAATAAAATGTGTATTAGATAACTCCTGAGGCATTCATTAGCCAAGGTTTAGGAACAGGGACAGCTAGAGACCAATAGAACAAATTGTAGAATTATTACTAAAATGTTTATTAGATGATATTTCTTATTATCTCGCCTTGTCCTGCCTTCTCTTTCAGTGAAAATGTATAAAGCTTACTTAATCCTTTGTTCTTGGCTCTCTTGGCATTTTGGCCAGGTGCCCTTTTCCTTAGAGTACTCCAATAAAAAGCAATCAGAAAACCTGCACCTAGTGTCTGGCGTCCATCATTGGCTTTGGCACCAGGCTCAGACCTGAATTGGGCACAACAGTAAGTGTAGTAAGTAGTTTGTCCTTGAGAATTCTTTTTTAAGTGTTAGAATGTAAGTGCCCAATTATTGGAGATTTTCAAATAAAGATAGGATAGCCTTTTATCTGGGATGAATTTATAATTCCTGTCCTAGACAGAAAGCTTGCCTGGAAGATCAGCCTTGCCAAAGCTATGATTTGATGTGATTCTAGATATCCTAAACCCCGGATAGGTGTCAACAGACTTCATGGTGGTGCACACAGAGCTTTTTTTTCTCAAAGACTTGTGTTATTTTTATTTTTCAAAAAAGACAAGGAAGATTGAAAAATGAGACAAAACTCACTTAACAAATGTTTCACTTAGCAACATAAAAGAAGAGTAGGGGTCAAATTCTTGTCCAAAGGACCAGAGGGCAGGACAAGAAACAATGGTTGGAAACTAATCAAAAAGAGAAGCAACCTGGAATTAAGGAGAAACTTCCTAACAGTGAGGACAATTAACTAGTGGAACAGCTTGCCTCCAAAAGTCATGGGTGCTTCATCACTGGAGATTTTTAAAAAGAGACTGGACAGTCACTTATCTGAAATAGTATAGGTTCTTCTGCTTGAGCTTAAGGTCCCTTCCAGCTTCTATATTCTATTCTAATTGTGGTCCTAAATCAAGGACTACCTGTACAATCAAAAATCCAATTCAAATAATTCCACTCAATACAATTCAATCCAATCAATTTAATTCAATTTCAACCTCATCTTCTTACTACAGGTAGTCCTCAACCTACAACCATTTGCTTAATGACCGTTCAAAGTTACAATAGCACTGAAAAATATGACATGCGAGTTTTTCACATTTATGACCATTGCAGCATCCCCAACTGTCAACTGGTTCATATTTATGACGGTTGCAGTGTCCTTCTGTCAAGCAAAGTCAATAGGAAAGCCAGATTCACTTAACAATGGTGTTACTAACTGAACATCTGCAGTATTTAACTGTGGCAAGCAAGGCTGTAAAGTGGAGCAAAACTCACTTAACAAATCACTTAACAACAGAAAATTTGGACTCAAAATTTGGGTCATAAGTCAAGAATTACCTGTACTGGGAATGGTATGGTTAATAGTTCATGCCTGAAAAGTTATACAGTAAAATAGAGTAGAGTAGAGTAGAGTAGAGTAGAGTAGAGTAGAGTAGAATAGAATAGAATAGAATAGAATAGAATAGAATAGAATAGAATAGAATAGAATAGAATAGAATAGAAGTAACAGAGTTGGAAGGGACCTTGGAGGTCTTCTAGTCCAACCCCCTGTTTAGGCAGGATACCCTACACTACTTCAGACAAATGATTATCCAACATCTTCTTAAAAACTTCCAGCATTGGAGCATTCACAACTTCTGCAGGCAAGTTGTTCCACTGATTAATTGTTCTAACTGTCAGGAAATTTCTCCTTAGTTCTAAGTTGCTTCTCTCCTTGATTAGTTTCCACCCATTGCTTCTTGTCCTGCCCTCAGGTGCTTTGGAGAATAGCTTGATTCCCTCTTTTTTGTAGTAGCCCCTGAGATATTGGAAGACTGCTATCATGTCTCCCCTAGTCCTTCTCTTCATTAAACTAGACATACCCAGTTCCTGCAACCGTTCTTCATATGTTTTAGCCTCCAGTCCCCTAATCATTTTTGTTGCTCTTCTCTGCACTTATTCTAGAGTCTCAACATCTTTTTTACATCGTGGTGACCAAAACTGAAATGCAGGTATTCCAAGTGTGGCCTTACCAAGGCATTATAAAGTGGTAGTAACACTTCATGTGATCTTGATTCTATCCCTCTGTTTATGCAGCCTAGAAATGTGTTGGCTTTTTTGACGGCTGTATCGCATTACTCACATTTAAGTATATTGACTCTTAGGGAAAAGTAATATTTTGAATGCACTCATGCAAACATACCTGTAGTCACCTCCAGGATGGTGTGAGTTTCTGAACCATTGGATAAGCGACAGATGTAAATCCCCGAATCACTCATGATGAGGTTCTTAAGGATTAGTAATTGTGGAGGCTGGTAAACCAGGCGCTGGTCGAACCGAAGAGGAATTACTTCATTCCTGGCGGGATTCCAGTTTATTTCCACTCTTTCTGTGCTGGTGTTCGCACATTTGGGATTCAGAGGGAGCCAAAACAAATGTGTTTGATAGCCCACCTCTTCACAGGGAATGGAGGCCTCCTCCCCAGGTTCATGAATGAGCTTTTTCACCAAGATGGCTGATGGAGAAGACAAGTTGATGTTAATCACCTCTTCGGCCAAAGACTACTTCCCATCCTACCTTTAAAAATCCCACTCGCAAGGAACCATTTTGATGCTGCTTTTAAGCAGTTTTTGATCAACCTCGTGGTGCCCACATGTAGTGGGCCACACACTTCCCATCATCCCCAATTAGCTCAGGATAATGGGCATTGTAATTTGTCTTGTGGAGAGGATTTTTTTTTAAAAAAAACAAGTTTTATTACATTTTTCTTTTACATACATATTTTATGAACAGACTATTAACCGGGTCACATCTTGTGCAACTTATAACATAGTTATGTATTGATTTTTATAATCTATTACAATCTTCTTTTTTTGTTTTTTCCACATACAATTTACATATTTCAATTTCTGCCATAATACTCTTTCCCCCCTACTTTTTAATCTTATCTTAATCTCTTCTTAATACATAATATATAAACAATATCACCATCCACCTTTCAAATCCTAATTTCTTAGCATCGCTTCAATTAATTATCTTATTTCTCCATTTATAACGTATGTTTCTCAAAATCCCCAGCACATTTTTTGGCTATAAACAATATATTTCATCTTATTCAATTCTTACATTGAAACCCTTTAATTGAATTGAATTGAATTGTGGAGAGGATTCTGAGGCACCTTTAGAGTTATTATTCTTGCTCTTTTTTTTCAGCATCCGACTCTCCTGCACCAGTTAGTAACCCTTGAGCAAACAGGCTTATCTTTCACGTAAGGAAATCCTAAACCTGCACCCACACCAAATTTGACTTCCCATTTAGACCCGCAAACGAAAGAGGGGGGATCACTAAAAATAAGACAAGTCTTTCCCCTCACCATATTCCTTCACCTCCAAGATCCAAGATGACCCCTCGGTAGCTTCGTTACCTTGTCCTTTCCTCAGGAGAATTATTTCCACCAATACATTCAGGAGAGCAAACTTCATATTTGCACCTTGTTTGGATGTTTGGCAATGCCTTTTACCATCATTAATTCCACTCAAGAAGGAGGGAAGCATTTTTGAACAAGTGGCCAAAATTAGCCCTCTGAAAAGGTTATCGCTTCTTGGTGGCAGTTTGGTTTTCCTCTTGTGAGTCAAAGGAGGAACACACAATTTTTTAATCATCTCCAGCCAGCCACGGTGTGGTTTCAGCCTTGCGGGTGGAGAAGGCCAGGCTGTCTCAAGTTGTTTTTGTTCATGTTCATGTCACACCAAGGCAGCAATAGTAACAGAGTTGGAAGGGACCTTGGAGGTCATTTAGTCCAACCCCCTGCTCACGCAGGAGACCTGTACTAAGGATTCGAACTGCCGAACTGCCGACCTTTCTGATTGACAAGCTCAGTGTCTTAGCCACTGAACCACCTAGTCAAGCTGATGGAAACCAAGGAGGAACCTTGCCAGAGACCCATAATTTACCTATCGCCTTAAAATACGACCGCTATTTCTGAAAACAACACAAAACGAAGCAAAAACAACAACAGAAAAAAACAGGCATCAGCTCAGAGAATTAGCAATACTCATTTCATGATTGCTAATTTTAACGAAAACTCTTCGTAGAATCATGGAACCAGGAAGCTGGAGGCATCTTGGAAGTCTTATAATTCAGGGGTGTCAAACTTCATTTCATTGAGGGCCGCATCAGGGTTGTGTGTGACCTTGGGGGACCGGGGTGGGTGTGGCTGGGGTAGGCGTGGCCAGCTCGACGTCACTCGTGTTGGGGGTACCTGTGGTGACCAAGTGCTAAGGCAGGACTTCCCTCAGATCTTCCCTCCCTCATTATAATCTCCTTCCTTTCTTTTCTTTTTCCTTCCCTTGTCCTTCTCCTTTCTTCTTCCTTCCCCTCTTTCCTTATTTTTCCTTCCTTGCTATCTTGCTATCTTTCCATCTTTCCTTATTTATTTTTCCTCTTTCCCTTTCTCCTTTCCTGTCCCTTCTTACATGCTCAAATGCAAAAGGGGAAACATTGTGAGCGCAACATTTTGTTTTGGTTTTAGTTGGTTTTGATAGCCCTCTGGCAGCAAAAATGGAGCTTGGGAGGGATGTGCACGGTGCCTGGGCGCCATTTTTGGCCATGATAGCCCCCTGCAGCCCTCTGCCAGCAAAAACAGAGCTCGGGGGGGCAGTTCTGTTTCCGCTGACAGAGGCACTGTGGACCAGATCTAAACACCCCGTGGGCCAGATACGGCCAGTGGTGGTCTGCAACCGGTTTAAAAACCGGTTCGGTGAGTGCATGTCTAAAGCGCTTGAATGTAGCATTCAAGATACAGCAGTTTGAAGCTCAGCTGCTTACCTTCTAAGGCAGCCCCGGTAAGTAGAACAGCGAAGGTGCGGAAATTAGCTGTGCCGTGTGAATCAGTTGAGCCAGAAAGAAGGAAATATAGGACAAGGTAGGGCGGGGGCACAGGGGCGGTGTCCCTACGTTTTTTGTGTTTGCCAGCTGTGCTCCCATTCTAAGACTTATGGTAGACTGATCTGAGCACCTTATCTCTAAACTACTGCGCATGTCCACATTCTTTCTCTTCTTCTGACTTCTTTGTTCGTCTGCCAGAACTTCTGCCGGCAAGGCAGGGAAGTTTGCCAAGATGTAATTAATAGCTAGTAAGATTGTTTTTACTTCTATAATAAAGTATGTTTTATTAGAATGTATCTCGGGTTTATTTTCTTAAAGTATACTTCAAGGAAAAGCCACGATCCGTCTCTAGTTAAGTGCAATTACCCCAAGGGGGTAACGGGATTAATTGCCACCCTGACACCTGGTAGCAGAAGGATGGCTTGGATTGATTTATGGCTTTTTCCTTGCTTGTTACTTTGATGATAAGCGTCTAGGCTAATTAGACAGATGATTAATTTAGCAACTGCGGAACGCCAATTTAATTACTGCTAAGATGCCCAAAAAGAAGAAAAAAAGGGAAAATGAAACTCAGAGCATTCTCTACAAGTGATTTGCTTCTCTCCGACGAAGAAGAGGCAGAAAGAAGGTTTTCAAATTTCCAGCCGCTCGCTTCAGCCACCCGGCTAGAAGGAGCCGTGGGAGGAGTAGAAGAAACGGATGAAATGCTCTTAAAGAGGCTTCAGGAGGAAGAGGACAGAAAAGCTGCTTTTGAAGGCGACGTGCTGCAACTGAGGTCAGTGACGTCCCCTTCTGATTATGCATGCTCTCAAACAATTCCTGCAGAAGCCCAAAGTTTTGAAAGGCTTGGTGCAAAGCCAAAAATTCTACAAATGGCTGAGCAGTTTTCCTCCCACACACAGAGAGAAGTAGTCTATTATTCTCCTCGCAGCTCTAAGCTCACCCAGCATGAGCAAGCTATGAAAAGCTATCATGGTCAAATAGAATTTTTTGAACGTGAGCTATACCAGGCAAAAATGGTTTTATTTATGCTCGAGCCAGATAAGAGAGAGTCTCGTGTTTTTCAAACCACTAAAACCTCCATCTTGCCTTCTTCTCCGAAGCCTAAGGCACATCCCCTAGAGGATATTGTGTCAGGCAAATCAGAACAGAGAGCTGTGTACACGTCACAATTGTCACATGACGTTCTCTCTTCTCAAAATACACATCATGCCATGAAGGCAGAAAAGTTAACTGAGCAGCCTAAAAGTAAAGTTGCAGCACCATCTCCTGGCAAAAGTAATTTACAAGATAAAGCTGAAATGCATTGCAGTTTGCAAGAACAATTACAAGTATTGCATAAGACTTCATCAAACATGACCCTATCTCACTCAGATATTCAGACTGCAATGCCACAAGTGTCTCCACAGGCCCAATCTTCAGCACCCCCTGGTGGTGCTGGTGTCCTTTTAGATGGAGCACAACAACGCTTAATGCAGCAAAGGCAAATGACTGCGTCTCCAGCAGGCCATGTTAATATTGCAGCTCAAATGCAACAGCTCCAAGCTCAAACACAAGTGGCAGCTGGAGCACAGCAAATTCCAATACAGCAGCCACATTTTCAAGTGCATGCACAAGTGCCTCCAGCCGTACAACCAGGACCAGCTCCTGGTCCACCTCCAGCGGCACAACCAGGGCCATTTTTTGGTCCACAACAAGCACAACAAGTATTTTTACCGGCACAGCCAGCATACCAAATGCATGTTCCTCAACAGGCATCTTCTGTTGTTCCACTAGCTGGTGAGTCGAAATTAAAGCGACCAGGACAAAATTATAAGGCCTGGGTCAGTGAGATTGGATTGTTACTTTGTAGAGAAGGCACCCACTGTATGGTCTTTAATCCTCCTGCCCAGCCATGGACTCTTGCAATAAGAGACGTAGAGACTAAAGCTTGCACAACATTATTGAGGTCCATGGATACTGAACTGCAGGTTACCTTTCCGCCTGATGCAACAGCCCAACAAATTTGGGTCCAATTGGAAAATTGCTACAGGCCTGTTTCAATTGAATCTTCATGTTTGCTCATGTCTGAGTTCCATGGTTCGAGATTGAAACCTGGTGAACATATTGGAGGACATTTAACCAAACTGAAAGGAATCAGAAGAGAATTGGGCGAAAGAGGCTATCTTATTGATGATATTCAAATGATCAGCATTATTATTAATTCATTGAATTATGAATGGAAAGATGCCATTACAAAGATTAATCAAGTGCCTATTGCTCAACGCACAGTGGATCATATACACAGACTTTTAATTGAAGAAGCAGCACTCATGTTAGCTACTCCACATGTGAGAGGACCACCCGCATCAAGAGCTCCAGCGAGGCGTCCCTTCCGAGGAAGAGCCTACGTTCCAAGGATGCCAAGATGCTACATCTGTAATTGTGTGGGACATGCCACCCGGGATTGTCCCCGAGTTCCAGCTCCCATCTCATACCAGCCCAGAGGAACGGACTCCAGAGGAGGCAGAGGCAGAGGCGGAAGACAAGGTCGTCGTGGTCCCAGGCGTGATCCACAAGCTCCACTCACCACATTGGCTTTAACCAACGATCCACAATCTCAACCAGAGTACGACAGACGACTCCTGTGGACTTTGGACAGTGGTGCAGTGTTGCATGTTACCTACAGAAAGGAACTTTTCACAGAGATGCACGAGCCTGAACCTGAACTACGTGAACTTTATTCTTTTTCCAATCATCCTTGTCAGGTCAAAGGAAAAGGAACTATTTATGTTGAAGAGCTCGATGCATTCATTCCTGATGTATATTATATACCAACAGCAAATAGTAATTTGCTTAGTCAGAGTCACTTGTCTAGAGTATTAAAGTTCCAGGTTCACCACCTTGAAAAAGCAAGTTACATAGTTAAAAATGGAGATATTGTTGCTGAAACCATGTTAATTGGTGGTATTTATTACTTAAAGCCAAAATCTAAACCGCAAACACAGGCAAGTATACCAAAAGAGGAGAGCACAGGCCCAGACAGAGATGATCCAGTGAGAGATCCTGTTGCTACTCCAAAGGCTCCTAAAGCCAACAAAAAGAAAATTAGGAAACAGGTTGCTCAAAGCAAGCCTGAGGTTCCTCATAAAACTGTTAATGTTGAAAATTCACTAACTGGTAAACCTTTGCATTCCAGGTGTATCCATAAATGGCATAGAAGATTGGGGCATGTCAGTTTCCGTGTTCTTAGGAAGATGCCGGAGTTCGCGAAAGGTTTGGATCTAAAGGGGTGTAAGGTGTTTTTGGATTGTGCTGTCTGCAAGAAAGCCAAATCCAAAGCAGCAGCCATTCCCAAACGTGCTACACTCCTGTCAACACACATTTTTGATTTGGTTCACACTGACATAGTTGGTCCTTTTAAGCCAACACTTGGTGGTAAAAAATATTTTCTAACAATTGTTGATAATTACTTTAGATATGGATATGTATATCCTATGAAAGAAAAATCTGAGACTTTTCAGATCTTTAAAGACTTTGCTGCTCGTTTCTATCCAACACCAAGTTTGCATCGCCAAAATCCAGAGTGATCGTGGTGCTGAATTCATGTCTCAGCATTTCCAGGCAGGAAGTCTTAAATCATCTTTTGCTTGAAAAACATTCAGGGACTCTCCGTCCCTGAATGTTTTTCAAGCAAAAGATGATTTAATTCACAATTCCAGAAGGAAAGCACCTCAGTTTATTTATTTAGAAAATTTATATGGCTGCCCACTCACTCTCGGTGACTCTGGGTGGCTTGCAAAAAATTACAATTCAATTCCAAACAATCGGGACATACCCTATTTTCCCAAAAATAAGACCCTGTCTTATATTTTTTTGAACCCCGAAATAAGGCTTGGCCTTATTTTCGGGGAGGTCTTATTATTTTGGGGCGCGTGGAACCAGATGGGACTCCTCTTGCCGTCTTACCTGATTTCCAGCTCTGCATTTAAATATTTTCAGGGAGGACTTATTTTCGGGAGTGGGGAGGCTTATTTTAGCGCATGCTCTCAAAAGTCCGATTGGGTTTATTATCAGGGGATGTCTTATTTTTGGGGAAACATGTATTAGGAATAAGCCTTTATTTGAAGCCCAAGAAATGAGCGCAGTGAAATTTTATTCAGGATGGGGGGACCTGAGAGTACATCACTGTACAGGTAGTCTTTGACTTATGACCATTCGTTTAGTGACTTTGAAGTTAGCACGGTGCTGAGAAAGGTTCAACAATTCGCTGAAGTGCTGAACCGGCACTTCAGTGGTTTGAATTCCTAGTGCCACATAACGGGGTGAGCTCCTGTTACTTGTCCCAGCTTCTGCCAACCTAACAGTTCGAAAGCACGTAAAAAATGCAAGTAGAAAAATAGGGACCACCTTTGGTGGGAAGATAACAGCGTTCCGTGAGCCTTTGGCGTTTAGTCATGCCGGGCACATGATCAGAGACGTCTTCAGACAGTGCTGGCTCTTCAGCTTTGAAACAAGAGATGAACACCGCCTCCTATGAGTTGGGAACGACTAGCACATATGTGCGAGGGGAACCTTTATCTTTAAATACTTATCGGTATACTTCCTTACTCTATCCTTGCTTTCTGCACAAACTCTGTTTTTTCAGCTAGTCAGATGCTCTCTTGCCCTTTTTATTTCTAAGCATTTTTCAGGATAGATAAAAGGCTATTTGTGTACTGAAATACTCCACTCAGGACAAACAGTTCACCCAGTGACAAGAGGATCACCCGCCATTTTATTAGGCTCCTATCAATCTAAAGGTTATTGCTTTTCCAATATATATATCTAGGAAGAGGCAGAAAAGATGTCCTCTAGCTGAATTTGATTCCTAGAGAGGATGGGACACTTGCATGCTGTCTCCTTGAAAACATCAAGGAAGTGGTATCCCGCTGCCTCCTCTTTCCACACACACACCCCAGCCTAAATTCCAGCCCTGTAATTTCTTGCTGTTCTCCCATCCAGTTTCCAACCGAGACCAAATCCGCTTAGCTTCCAAACAGAGGTGGGTTTCAGCAGGTTCTGACCAGTTCTGGAGAACTGGTAGCGGAAATTTTGAGTAGTTCAGAGAACCGGTAAATATCACCTCTGACTGGCCCTGCCCCCATCTATTCTTTGCCTCCCGAGTCCCAGCTGGGGATTTTGCAGTATCCTTCCCTTGGAGTGGGGAGGGAATGGAGATTTTACAGTAACCTTCCCCTGGAGTGGGGAGGGAATGGAGATTTTGCAGTAACTTCCCCTGGAGTAGGGTGGGAATGGAGATTTTACAGTATCCTTTCCCTGGAGTGGGGTGGGAATGGAGATTTTGCAGTATCCTTCCCATGCCACGCCACCAATCCATGCCACGCCCGCCAAGCCACACCCACAGAACCGGTAGTAAAAATTTTTTGAAACCCACCACTGCTTCCAACACCAGACGAGGCCAGCAGCTCCTGAGATCAGAGAGTCAGGAAGTATAAAAAATACCATCTTTATTGTGAACCCTGACAACAAGATGTGAGGGTTGGTGGTCAGAGGATCAATATTACAGGGGAGTGAAGCAGATTTACAGTGCGGGGGGGGGGGAGAAACGGTGATGGCCGTTTACGCGTACGCGTGCACAGGCGAAGAAAGGTGGAGGCGGGAGGACGTCGGAACAAGAAGCCGTGAGTGCAGGAGACGAATGGGAGGTGGTGACGGTGAGGGTGGTTGGAGGATGCTATAGGCTCCATGGAAGATGAAATTCTTGGGGTGGAAGTGGAGTGCAATGTGTCGCTTCAAAATTTTGCAGGTGCTTCCGTGCCTGTGGAATGGAAAAAAAAAAGTTACCTCAGAGGGGACCCAACTGGTAGCTTCTGGGCCATTCTCTGCTCTCCAAGGCCTGAAGAGTGGCCGTCTAATTGCCTTATTTTAAGAGGGCCATAAAATAAAGCCATTAGGAGTGGTGCGGTAGCCTAGAGGTGGAGCTCTCGCCTCACAATCAGGAGGCTGTGAGTTCGATCCTAGGTAGAGGCAAGATATTTCTCTCTCTGGGCACAATGAGAACGTATCTGCCGAACAAAGCTCCGCATTGGCGACAGGAAGGGCATCCAGCCATTAAACATCCTGCTAGTTCCATTCAGTTTTCCAGGCTTCACCCCGTAAGGGATTATGGGGTTGTTAAAAGATGATGATGGTAAAATAAAGCCATTAAATACACTGGAAAAGTAGTAACAATTGCCACTGGGTCCAGGAAGCTTTCAGCCCATTCTTGGGCATAACGCTGTCAGGATGAGAAGGGCTGAGCAAACTATGGGGTTAACGTACTGGACTCGAAGAAACAGACTGTCAGAATTGGGGGAGAATAAAGGCAGTCCTTGACTTACAACAGTTCATTTAGTGACTGTTACAATGGCATTGGGAAAAAAAAAGTGACTGTTGCGGTCTCTCCATGGTCACGTGATCAGAACTCAGATGCTTGGCAACTGACTCATATTTATGATGGTTGCAGTGTCCCAGAGTCATGTGATCACCTTTTACGACCTTTTGATGAGCAACGTCAATGGGGGAGCCAGATTCACATAACAACCGTGTTACTAGCTTATCAACTGCAGTGATTGACTTAACAATGGTGGCACGAAAGGTCATAAAATGGGGGCAAGGTTTACTTAACAATTGTCTCACTTAGCAACCAAAAAGTTGGGCTCAATTGTGATTTTAAATCCGTGACTACCTGTATTCCCTTTTCCTCAGGATAATTCTGGTGTTTTTCAATGGGAGCGCCTCAGAACACTTTGCTTAAGTTGTTGCCGAGCGTGTGCATGCACAAAATGGAGTTAATCCTAAAGGCATTACAACACTCTTATGAAACCTACCTGGTTGGATAGGGAAATGGTGGATGAAAGAGAAGCGGATGTGCTGAAACAATAGGGTATGGGGAGCAGCATATACAGTAGTGGCCAAAATTGTGGAAACCTTTTGAGAAAAGTGTATTTTTGAAGTTTGATGGCTAATAACACCACTTTTTTATTTTTGGCGTTTCAAGATAATCATATTCCACTGCTGGAATGGCCTGGGAATAGCCCAGCCTTTAACCCAATTGAAAATCTATGGAACCGACTAAAGAAACTTGTTAGTCAGAAGCGACCCAGCAATAAAACCCAGTTAATAGAAGCAATCATTAAATCTTTGTTTCACATTATATGAGCTGCAGAACTAAAAGACTTGGTTCACTCCATGGGAAGATGTTGTAAGGCCGTCATTCATGCTAAAGGTTACCCAACTATTAAGTGACATGGTGATAATTTTTGTATATCTCGTTTTTTTCTACGTGTTTCATTTTTCTTCTTTATACTGTAACTGCTATTCTAATAGCAAATCTTCCTAAAAGTTATTGCATTACATTCTTGATTAAATTATATTTCCATCGATATATAATTTTATGGTACTACTCCCCCCCCACAAAAAAGTGGTGTTATTAGTTAGTTTTAGAAAATACTGTATTTTTCGGAGTATAAGATGCACCTTTGCCACCCCCACCACCAAAGAGGGTAAAAATCTGGGTGCTTCTTATACTCCGAATGTAAACTTGCCCAATCTCGCAAACGGAGGTTTCAGAGGCTGAAAGAAACCTCTGAAAGAAGCTTCAGAAAAAAAGCCTCTGAAAGGCTTTTATCTAAAATAATATGGCAAGCAACAAAAGAAGAATCAGTAAAGGCTCTAACCAAACTATGGTAACAAATCTGGAGAATGACACAATAACCAACAGATCGGAAGAGGTTAATCTACATACCAATACCAAAGAAAGGAGATTGAACAGAATACAGATAGTCCTTCAGAATAAAAGCCTCCGAAAGAAGCTTCAGAAAAAAAGCCTCCAAACAGAGCTTCAGAAAAAAAGCCTTTTTTTTTCTGAAGCTCTGTTTTGGAGGCTTTCAGAGGCAGAAAAAAAGCACAGAGCTCACAACCAAGGAACCTGTTGCTAAAATTCATCTCTGGAAACAGCTGATTGGGGGTATTCCGGGAGGCCGATCCACCCACCAATCAGCTTTTTTCTTATTTTCCTCCCCAAAAACTAAGGTGCGTCTTATACTCCAATGCGTCTTATATTCCGAAAAATATGGTACACTTTTCCCAAAAGGTTTCCACAATTTTGGCTACTACTGTATGGGTGCAGGCTAGGAGAACTCACCAGGAATAGTGCAAGTTGTCGTCTCCCGTCTACGGTCATGTCTTCACCTGGTTTGAAAACAATAATGAGGTGAGTTGAGAAGGTTCTAATAGGGAGGCAAAGTGCAACAGAACCTCTGTTCAATCTATTTGGATTTAAAAATGCTGCTTAAAGCTCATATTCTTCTGGTCAAGTTGGTGGCCTATGGCGGCACAAAAATGGAAGGACACTTTGATCCTCACCATGGAGGAATGAATGGCTGCAAAAGCTGATGGAGTTAGCAGAGACGGCTAAATTGAATGCTTTGATCAAAGAAAAAAAACCACAAGTACTTTTGTTTCTACTTGGAAACCGCTTCTGTGCTTGAGGTGGGGGGAAAAAAAAAAGAAACTTTGGTTTTGGGTTTTCCTGATTAGATAGGTTTGTTATTATAACAATGGGAAGTCTGTACTATTATGTAAAAGTAAAAAGTTGAGGTTTGATGTTAATGCTTTATTCTACTGCACCAAAGGGAATCGGAAGTCGATGCCTTTTTTTTTCTTTCCCTCCCTTCTTTTCTACACTTCTTCCTTCGCCTCCCATTATTTTTCCTACTATTTGCTTTTGTATTATGTATTATATTTATTATTTATTTATTTATTAATCAAATTTCTATACCGCCCTACTCCCGAAGGACTCAGGGCGGTGAACAGCCAAGATAAAATACAGATAATACAAATATTAAAAAATCCCTTAAAATTATTAAATATTTCGGCCGAAACACAGATTAAAACACCCAATTTGTAAAATCACGAATTAAAAAATTTAAAAATTTAAAAGATGGGAGTTAGGCCAGGCCAGCTTGCTGAAATAGAAAAGTTTTGAGAGCACGGCGAAACGTGCGCAGGTCCGGGATCTTCCGTATCTCTGGGGGGAGCTCGTTCCAGATGGTAGGTGCCCCCACAGAGAAGGCTCTCCCCCTGGGGGCCGCCAGTCGACACTGTTTGGCCGATGGCACCCTGAGGAGCCCCTCTCTATGGGAGCGTACTGGTCGGTGAGAGGCTATTGGTAGCAGAAGGCGGTCTTGTAGATACCCCGGTCCGATGCCATGGAGCGCTCTAAAGGTGGTAACCAAAACCTTGAAGCGCACCCGGAAGACCACCGGGAGCCAGTGCAACTCGCGCAGGAGGGGGGTCACATGGGAGCGCCACGTCGCTCCCATAACCACCCGCGCGGCCGCATTCTGGACCAGCTGGAGCCTCCGGGTGCTCCTCAAGGGGAGCCCCATGTAGAGAGCATTGCAGTAGTCCAAGCGGGAAGTACACACTAACTAGCTGGATACCCGTGCTCCGCTACGAAACTATGTGATCGGGCTTGATAAATCGACACGTACAGCTTGAAAATTAATGAGTAGTTACGACTGGCTTCTCTTCTCACCCTCAGGCTTGCCCCACAGAAGCCTCCCCTATCCTATTCCCTCCTCTTCCCAGCCTTGTCCCACAGAAATGTCTCTTATCCTATCCCCTTCTCCCTCAGGCTTGCCCCAGAGAAGCCTCTCCTCTCCTATCTTCTCTTCTCCCTCAGCCTTGCCCCACAGAAGCCTCCCCTATCCTATCCCCTTCTCTCCCTCAGGCTTGCCCCACAGAATCCTCCCCTATCCTATCCCCTTCTCTCCCTCAGTCTTGCCCCCCAGAATCCTTCCTTATCCTATCCCCTCTTCTCCCTCAGTCTTGCCCCATAGAATCCTCCCCTATCCTATCCCCTTTTTTATTATTATTATTTTTATTATTCATATTTCTATGCCGCCCACTCTCTGAGGACTCTGGGTGGCTTACACCAGACAGTATACTAAATAGCATATTGCCCCCAACAATCTGGGTCCTCATTTTACCCACCTCGCAAGGATGGAAGGCTGAGTCAATCTTGAGCTGGTAAGATTTCATCCGCTGATCTGCTGAACTAGCAGTCAGCTGAAGTAGCTGCAGTACTGCACCTTAACCACTGCACCACCTCGGCTCCTCAGAGTCGGCTCCCTTCTCTCTCTCAGGCTTGCCCCACAGAATCCTCCCCTATCCTATCGCCTTCTCTCCAGAGTTATTTTCAGGTTGGGAGGGGGAGTAGAAAGTCTAACTAATTAGCATCAGAGCATGTTAATAATAATAATAATATAAGAAATACTAATGATCTGATGGTCATTTCGAAAAATCCTTTCTTAGTGAGCACCTAGCAGCCAAGAGGAACATACATGCCAAATTTCAAGTTTGTAGGCTTTACGGTTCTGGAGATTTCGTGATTATGGCGTGAGTGGTTTTCACTTTTAGATATATAGATAAAAACTGTAAACATAAAAAAGGTCAAGTTGCTGGTCATCAATGCCCCAAAAAATGGTAGAACTTTGATCATAACATCATAGCTACCAACTCGACTTTTTTGATCACACTCTGCGGACATCCTGTTTGCTTACTTAGTTGGCCAAACTGCTTTTATTGCCACCTCTCCTGTGTTCCTAAGAAGCCCAATGACAGTTGAGGAACGCTAAACCCTGTTGCAAGGGGTCGCTTCTAAAATAGAATATGTTAACAGTCAAGCTTTCCCTTTTCTTGCTGATGGACATATCCCACCAATCAGATGATAGTTCTACCTCTTCCGTTTTTCCCATTGGCTGGTCTGGTTTGGAATACGGTCATCATTATTGGACTAACTCACTTAAAAGTAGTTGTGGGAGGGCAACGTATCACTAGCTAATTCCAATAAGCCAGGAAGCCAGGCCAACATTATTGGGCAATCTTTCCTGTCTTCAAATGTCAACCTGGATCGCACATTCTTAAGATTTCCTCCAACCAAGAACACATGATTGACTTGGGGAAATTCCACGATCTTGTTTCCTGCCACGCCTAGTTTTCTGCTCTACGCGCTTCTCGCATTGGACTCACCAACAGACCACGGAAATTCATCACCGTCTTCGGCTTGGTACGACTTCAGTACAGACAGACACCAGTCATCTTCTACTTCATAGCGGCTATACATAGAGGCTGCAATGACAAGGAGTTGGTGTGAGGTAGAGCCCTCTGGCTTGAATGGCAGGGAGATGCAAAGGTGGGGCACTGCTCTGATGCCAAGGGTTTTCTTTCTCTCTCCCTCTCTTCTTTCCCCCTTTCCTTTCTTCCTTTTTCCCTTTCTTTTCCTTTCTTTCTTCCCTTTTTCCTTTCCCTCCCTTCTCCTTTACTTTCTTTCCTCCCTCCCTCACCCACCCATCCATCCCACACAAAGTGATTCTGGTCAGCATGCAGTACAATAAAACCAACCATTAAAACATTCTACTGAGCTGCATCTGGATCTATTTTGGAAAGAACTCTTGTAGTTCTTGCACGTGCATTGCAGGCTTTCTTTTGGTAGTATCAGAGCAACATTCCTGATTTAATTCCACCATTCATCTTTGGGACAGATCTTGTTTAAATGCACCTGACATTTCTGAGTCTTTCTGTTGAGTAATCAATGCCTGTTCCCGAAACCGTCTAGCGTTGGGGCCAAGAATTCCTTCACAGGGTGGTTAATATGAATCATCCAAACCCACAACAGCTCTGGCACCTGTCAAGACAAGCTTCATCATGTCACCTATCTGGGGTTAGGTTTAGGATTCAACCACCTTACCTTCTTCCATGGGTGTAGAAGCTTTCAACCATTCTCGGACGATTCTGATGCCTTCTTCAGTCATGATTTTGGGATACCTAGGGCAGGTAGGACTTGTTGAGAAAGAATCCTATCTGTTCTGGCTTAGGCTTCCTGAGTCAGTAAAACACACGAGTAGTCCCAAAAAACCTCTTTTGTTTCAACAGCTGTGAATTCTGTTCGTTCACAGATGAGTCCCAAATAGTTGTAAAGAGTCCTTCGGGATAAGGCTGATAATCACCCACCTTTATCTCCCTTGACACGCTGCCAAAGACCTAATTGGCAAAGCCACACGGAGTCCAGAATCAAACAGAGCTTCAGGCTTTAAACTGAACAGAATTAACAATGTTGCTTCCTGCAAAGGCCCACGTGCCTTTGCTTCCCTTTTAAGTCTTATGGGAAGGGCCAATCATCTCCAAGCCCTCTTGAGTCATCCCTTTTGTTTTAACTGTTCTTGCCTTCTGGCAGCTCTGCAGAAGAGCGCACTGGGAACAGGCTTCCTCTGTTCCTCTGCCTCGCTGAGGTCTGACTCTGGAGGCTCCGGAGGCAGCACGTACCTCCCAGATGGTCCTTTCTCTGCCTCCGACGCAGAGCCCTTGTCCGAGCCTTCCCCAGACTCCAGGACTGGCCCATGTTCCTCCCCAGCCTCCTAACTGTCCAATTCTGCTGCCAGCTCCGCAGGCCACTGGCGGACCACAACACCATCAGTTTCCACCACCCCAGGCAAAATATTTATTTATAAGCCTTTCCTCAAAGCGGTCAGCTAGTATGTTCAGTTCTACAGAAACCTATGTTTGTGGCCTCTGGATTCTCTGCCCTCAAAGACTGAATTTTAGCGGCATTCCTGCTGAAAACGGACAGTGTGTTTTCCTGACATATTGAGGTGGAAAACCCACAAAAGCGTAGTCTATAACTGAAAACTGATTTTGCTAGGAAAAATTTGGCAGAGGAAACCCAACATAGCCAGAGTTAAAATTGGGAAGGTTCTGCTCTCTATCTAACCTCAGCTATAATATTGATTTACCTGTGCTGTAATAACTTCAGCAGTAAGTCATTCCCTCTGTTAGACATTATATCTTCAGGAACCCTAGGAGGTCAGGAAAAAAAAGAAGAGTTAATGCCATGGCAAATGAGAGACACATGGTGTCAACCCTGAAGCTGACCTGACCATTTTTGACAGCTTCAGTTTTGCCACACTGGAGCTGAGGGATTGGTTGGGGGGGGGGGGGATTTGAGATAGAGAGAATTCTGTAGCCAAAACGAAGTATTTTTTCTTGGGAACCAAGGATATTCTCACACCTGGTCGGAGGAAGGCGGAGTGATGCTACCTGGTTGCCAGACTGCACCGTAATTGGACCATGTGACTGATTGTTTTGAGAAAGTAGATTTTTTTTTTTTACTTTTCATTAGGTAATCTTCAGAGTCGGTTTTCACCAGATCTGTGCCAATATGACATTTCCAATAAAGCTATTCCAGGGGTGAAATGCTACCGGTTCACACTAGTTCGGGTGAACTGGTAGCGGAGGGTGGTTTGGAGAACCGGCAGCGGCAGCAGCGCAAGGCTCTGCCCACCCATCCGGACATCATTACTTTCTAGTTTTAACCAGGAAGTAACCTGTTTTTTACCCTCTGCGCTTGCGCAGAAGGCTTTACGCATGTGCAGAGGGTCCAAAACCCAAAATCTAAAATCGCATGTGATACGTGCGCGCATTTCCGAACCGGTAGGGAAACTAAGTAGATTTCACCCCTGAGCTATTCTGAGGAATCTGCTGGCCTTGGAGGTTCGCTTGATATGGATTTATTACTTGGAACCCTGACTACATGGATCTTCTCTATTCTAAAGGACACATATGACATGAAAGCTACATTTATTTACTGCCTGAACCAAATTTGGAAAGGCTGGGTGGACATCTGGGCAATTTTCCTTGGTTGCTATTCTACTCACGTGGTGGTGATGATCTCATCTTTGGTTCTGCGGACCAGCAACACGGGACCCTGATACCTGAGGAGGATACCACAGGGAGACTTGGTTCAATATGGAGGCAAGCCAGGACGTTTCATCTAAACTTGCTACAAACACTGTTCTACAACTACTACATTTGTGTCAGAAGCAGCTACCAAGGCACTTCTGGGTTGAAAGGATTAGCCGGAGACATCACCGTTGCCCAGGGGACACCCGAGGGGGCTCTTTTCCTGTCCCTTTTATTGTTGCTTATCAGTGGCATATCACATTTTTGGAAGCAAGAAGCTTTCATTTCCGACTAGCCTGCTTGAAAATTGATAAGTTCTATGCTTCAGACAAAATGGAGAATTACCTGTTTTATATTAGGAAGGGAAGGGCAAAGGGACTATTATTAAGAGTCGTAATGGCTCAGTCGTTAGAATGCAGTATTGCAGGCCGACTCTGCCAACTGCCAGCAGTTCGATCGTGACTAGATCAAGTTGACTCATCCTTCCATCCTTCCGAGGTCAGTAAAATGAAGGCACAGATTGTTGAGGGCAATATGCTGACTTTGTCAACCGCTTAGAGGGCTGTAAAGCACTGTGAAGCGGTATGTAAATCTAAGTGCTATTGCTATATAGGGGGTTCTGCAAAATACAGGTAGTCCTTGAATTACAACCACAATTGAGCCCAAAATTTCTGTTGTTAGGTGAGACATTTGTTAAGTGAGCTTTGCCCCATTTTATGACCTTCCTTGGTACAGTTGGTAAGTGAATCACTGCAATCAGTAAATTAGTAATCCGGTTATTAAGTGACTCTGGCTTCCCCGTTGACTTTGCTTGTCAGAAGGGCGCAAAAGGTGATCACATGACCTTCAGGCACAGCAACGGTCATAAATACAAACCAGTTGCGAAGCATTTGAATTTTGATCACATGATCATGGGGATGCTGCAAAGGTCATAAATGTGAAAAACGGTCATAAATCACATTTTCCAGTGCCGTTGTAACTTTGAACAGTCACTAAATGAACCATTGTAAGTCGACGACTTCCTGTATTTTGCTTCAAAAGGTTTCAAGCAGGGAGTTTCACAGGGAAAACTCGCTGCTTGCAATAACAGTAAAGGTCAGAAGCGGAGAAGGCGAAAAGAACTAGGAAGAAACATGGTAAGAAGTGCTGATCTGCTTAATTCTGCATTCTCCATAGAACCCACTCTATTAAGTCTCTCTCTGTCTGGCATCTTCTAGATCAGTGGTGGGGAACCATGGCCCTTTTGTGATTTGTGGTGTCAACTTCGAATCGAATCTGGCAGAAGCCATTTTTCTATTCCTCAGCTGCCACACAGAGTGGAGAGGGGAAGGAGGATGAAAGGTGCTGCTAGACAAAGCACAGAATTTTCTCTTGGGAACCAAGGTGGAGGATAGAGAGGAGTAGTAGTGCTTGGAGAGCCCGCCAATTAACTTAATTGGCCAAAGTGACCTGTGACTTTTGGGGAGGGAGTTATTTCCTATTATAATTACACTGAAACTGTGGGAAACTTTTAGAGTTGGTTTTGCATTTGATTGTGCCGATATGATATATTCAATACAGAAGTTCTTTGAGGAAGACCTTAGCCTCAGAGTTCTGCTTCGCTTGGGTTCGTTAGTCAGAACCTTGACATGTGGACTGCAACTCCCAGAATTCCTGAGCCAGCCATGGAATGGCTCAGGAATTCTGGGAGTTGAAGTCCACAAGTCATTAAAGGGCCATGGTTCCCCACTCCTGTTCTAGATGTAGATTCCAGAGCTGAATCTTTGCGATGATGAAATTAACGGACACTTTCTCGGCTAATCTTCATTTCCCACTGGCCGCTGATAAGCAACAAAAGCAATGCCATAATGGGTTAAAATAAAGAAGGGGAAATCTGCTTCTGGCCAGATCTTTTGGATTATCTGGCCACTGGCCATGGGCTGGACTGGTAGTTGATTTTAAAAATTATCCAGAAAAGGGTTGGCATCATCCAACGTTTGTTTTGGGCAATGGCTTTGCTCCATGGTGTTTTGTCCTCTGAGTTGCCTACTTGCAGAGTTGTTCCGCGTTGTTCAGGTTTAAGTGCTGTCTCACTGTCCGGGTGACCAAGCTTCCTATGGAACAAAGAGAAGAACATTACATCACATTTCTGCCCAGCAATTAAGTCTCTAACCCAAACCAACTTCACATGGTTTTTCAAAATAAATTGCTATCCACCGTCTCCAACTAATCAGCTTAACCATTTTCAAATAACGGGTTTGTAAGGATCTCATCTCGCAAACAAGTGATGCAAAAGCTTTTACACAATGCTTTTCACAATGCATCCAACAAACAGGTTCTGTACACAGTTCACTAGTATAAAGGTAGTTCTTGACTTAAAAAGAGTACGTTTAGCGACCATTCAAAGCATACAACCGCACTGGGAAATGTGACTTGTGACCGTTTTTCACACTTACGGCCTTTGCAGCATCCCCACGATCATGTGATCAAAATTCAAATGCTTCACAACTGGTTCGTATTAGGTCACGTGATCGTTTTGTAACCTTCTGACAAGCAAAGTCAACGGGAAAGCCACAGTCACTTAATAACTGGAATTACTAACTGACTGATTACAGTGATCCACTTACCAACTGAGGCAAGAAAGATCATAAAATGGGGCAAAAGTCACTTTAACAAATGTCTCACTTAAGAACAGAAATTTTGGGCTCAATTGTGGTTATAATTCGAGAGTTTTGCAGAACCCCCTATATAGCAATAGCACTTAGACTTACATACCGCTTCACAGTGCTTCACAGCCCTCTCTCTCTAAGCGGTTTAAAGAGTCAGCATGTTTCCCCCCAACAATCTGGGTCCTCATTTTACCCACCTCGGAAGGATGGAAGGCTGAGTCAACCTTGAGCCGGTCAGGATCGAACTGCTGGCAGTCAGTAGAGTTAGACTGCAATAGTGCATTGTAACTACTGTGCCATTATGGCTGTTAATATAATCTCTTTGCTCTTCCCTTCCAAGTAGGATAAATTAATTTTTCACAGTTACGACCTTTGTGGCATCCCCAGGATCACGTGATCAAAATTCCAGATGCTTGGCAACTGGTTCATACTTATGACTTTTGCGACCTTCTGACAAGCAAAGTCAATGGGGAAGCCAAAGTCGCTTAACAACCAGGTTATTAACTTATCAACTGCAGTGATTCACTTAACAACTGAGGTCTTAAAACGGGGCAAAACTCGCTTAAAAATGTCTCACTTAACAACAGAAACTTTGGGGCTCAATTGTGGCCGTAAGTTGAGGACTACCTGTATTAAGTCATGGATGCAAAGGGCTGGCTCAAATACTGTCAGCGTTCCAGAAAAACCCCCACTCCAAGTAAAGTCTCTGAAGCAAGCATTTTTCAAAGTTCTATTTACTAGAATAGGTAAATTGGCACATCTGGGAAAACCTGAATCTGAGAGGTCCGTGTTTTCCCACAGTAAGTCAAAACCCCCAAAACCATCCCCTCACTCCTGTTGATCACATGCTCCAATCACCATCTGTCCCATCTCGAGACATCACTCCGACCACTCCTTCTCCAGATGCAGGATCGCCCTGACCTTGACTGACAGGAAGAATGCTATTATGTCTACAGACAACCCTTCTACTAAATCCCTCCTCCTACTTTCCCACACAGGAGAAGGTGGCAGCATGGAAGCTCCCGGCCTAATATGGCTTCCAAAGCTGACATATACAGCTAGTCCTTGATTTACGGCCACAATTGGGATGAGAATTTCCATTGCTAAGCAACTAGATTGTGAAGTGAGTCATTCCCCGTTTTACAACCTTTTCGCCATGGTCGTGAAGTGAATCCTGTGGTTGCTCGGTGAACCTGGCTTCCCCAACCGACTACTTTTCGGAAGCCGGCTGGGAAGTCACAAATGGCAATGACATGACACACTGCAACTGTTGTAAATATATGCAGATTATTATGAACAGTTAGGAAATGGCTATTGTCTAATTAGTTGGTCAGGCAATATATAAACTATCAATACATGTTTGTCAAAAGGTATTATATTGCTTTAAGACTGTATTGCAATATCCTGTATCCTGATTGGCTAAACTCTGTAGCCAATGTACTTAAGGGGAAGCCTGAATCATGGCTTGGGGACATACCCCATTTTATCTGCTTATTTGCTGTTACTCTCTACCTGTTCTCTCTGTATGATCACTGTTTGATCATTGCTACTTGTTGCTTTCTACTATTTATTGAATGTTTTAATACTGAACTTGTTCCTGTTTGAAACTCAAGAACTGTTTTATTGCATAATGACAACAACTGGTAAGAAGACTTTGTACTTGGAATATCCCTGAATTGATATTTTAACTATCGCCTTATCTGTGTATGACTTGGATTGTTATTGGACTTTGCTTTACTTTTTTCTAAAAAGTAAAAGACTACCACAACTCAATGTTTCAGTATATTAACTCTGGTTATTCACTCTCAGCCGCTTTTATGTGCATACTCAAGGGGTATTCTGCTCAATAACCCATAACATCGGTTATGAGCCAGGAATATCCTTAACAAACACCTGGATTATTGATCACGGGATCGTAGGGATGCTGTGACGGTTGTTAAGTGTAATGATTTATTTATTTGAATTGATCGATTCATTCGTTTCTTATAGCTGCGCAACTCAGCCAAGTGATTCTGGGGGCAGTTTACAATTCTAACATTGGTCGTAAGTCACTTTTTCAGTGCCAGGGTTACCTTTGAATGGTCACTAAACAAATGGCTGTAAATTGAGGACTACCTCCATGAAGGATAATCCTGACTATACTATCCCCGCATGAAAGATGTCATCATTCAGTAGAAGAGCACATAAATTATAGGTAGGTAGCCTCAAGTCCAAACCCTGACACCACTAGCTAAAACAATTGTAGGTGAAACACTTATAGATCTAGTAAGATTTCTCTCCTTAACCCAAGATGACATGCACCCCTGCACCCTGTCCTCCACCATCTAATCCGTGCGAACACCACCCTGTGAATCTGGCTGGGGTTGGGCTAAGAGTGAGGAATGGCCCAAAGTCATCCAGTGAGTTTCTGTAAGTAAGAGCAGACATCAATCTTCTGATTCAATCAGTCAGAATAAAGCAGGATGGGATCTTGGAGGTCTTCTAGTCCAGCTCCCTGCTCAAGTAGGAGACCCTACCGTTTCAGACAGGTGGACTGTCCAGTCTTTAAAAAAAAAAAAAAACAAACCTCCAGTAATGACGCTCCAGTAATGAACTTCTGAAGGCAAAGCTGTTCCACTGGTTAATTGTTGTAACTGTTAGGAAGTTTCTCCTTAATTCCAGGTTGCTGCTGTCCTTGGATTATTTTCCATCCATCATCCCTTGTTTTGCCTTCTGGTGCTTTGCAAAATAGGTTGTCCCTCCTCTTCTTTGTGGCAGCCCCTCAAATACTGGAATACTGCTATCATTGCCATCCCTAGTCCATCTTTTCTCTAGACTGGCCATACCCAATTCCTGCAACCATTCTTCACATGTTTTTGTCTCCAGGTCTTTAATCATTTTAGTTGCTCTTCTTTGCACTTTTTTTCCAAAGTCTCAACATTTTTTTTTGTAACGCGGTGGCCAAAACTGGATTCAGTATTCCAGGTGTGGCCTTACTAAAGCTTTACAAAGCGGTACTAACACTTCACGTGATTTTGATTCTATGGATTCTAAGGATTGTATTAGTTTTTTTGGCTGCTGCTGCACACTATTGGCTCGTGTTTAAGTGATTATCCACTAGGATTCCAAGGGCCCTCTCACAGTTACTGTTTTTGAGCCAGATTTCTCCTAATCTGTACTTGCACCTTTGGTTTTTCCTGCCTAGGTGTAAAACCTTGCTTTTCTCCATGTTAAATTTCATGTCTTCTTGGTTCTTATCCCATCACCTGCACCACTACTACATCACAATGACTCTCTTGGCAGTTTGTATACAGAGCACGGAAGGAGACAGAACAATCTGTGAAAAATAATGGGTGTTGTCTGTCTTCCAGCAAGTTCTTTTTAATTCAGTGGGCCTTTATTTCTAAATGAACATGCTGTCAACCATGAAGGTGACCTAACCGGAGCCATCTTGGAGCTTCAGTGTTGCCACACCGGAGCTGAGGGATAGGGAGGGGAGATTTGAGATAGTTGGGACTTTGTAGCCAAAATAAAATACTTTCTCTTGGGAACCAAGGACATTCTCACACCTGGTCAGAGGAAGGAGGAGTGATGTCACCAGGCAACCAGACAGAGCCGTGATTGGACCATGTGACTGATTGTTTGGGGTTGAGGGAAAAACTTTTACTTTTAATTAGGTGAAAACTGTGGGAACCTTCAGAGTCGGTTTTCACCAGATCTGTGCCAATATGATGTATCCAATAGAGTTATTCTTTGAGGAATCTACCTGCCTCGGAATTTTGCTTCTATTACTTGGCACCCTGACACATGCAAAAGTCTGCAGCCTTAACTTGGCATTCCATAATTCTGAACTGAACGCTCCCTGCTTGAACACTTATCTGTTCAATCTGAACATTTGTAAACAAACATTACAAGAACTTTGAGTATCTCGGGGGCCCTCCCCACTGAAGGGAAAATGCTTTTGACAATCTAACTGCCACCAGTTGCGAAACACACCAACGAGAAGCAAAACCAAGCGGTGAAGATTACACAGCCGCCGACCTCCATCGTGGTTAAAGCCGAAGACAAAAAATAAAATAAATTAAAATAAAGGAATTCCAACCTAAACCGTTTCTAAACATAGCAGCTGTTCAGGACTGAGGATTTTATAGCTCCATGACACCTACAACGTAATACACACCGACTGATTGATAGCAATGTTGTAAAACTGGAATTTCAACCTACAAGCTGAAATCAAAGCGACAGGATAATAAAACATTCCCTCGTAAACAAGGGAAAGAAACACAGGCCACCAGAGGACAAGGGAACTAACTTAGCGGTTAAAAGGAAGACGTTGGTTCAGCTCTTACTGACCAAGTTTTAACTGTCTCACGGACTGAACCATTTAGCAGTCTGGGAAACACATTCAAAAGAGGTGAAACCATTGGACCATAAAGAAGGATCCATTTCTTGTCCTTCCCCTTACTCCAGCTTTCCGGCATGACCTTGAGAGCGAGAGGCACGAGGTCATCAAAGGAGGCATCCAGGATGACGGCGCTGACCTCGGAGTAAGACATGGCTGCCCAAGTGGCTGTTGGGTGAGAGGAGAAAGAGAAATCCATATTTAGGGAGAGCTGGAAACTCAAGAAGGGATGTCATGAAATCATAAACGAGTAGGACATCTGTGCCTCCTCCCTCTAAATTTCTTACCATTGAGTATGTTTCCAAGAGATACTCGGATACTGTAGTCTATAATCATCTGGAATGTTATATAGATCAGGGGGTCTCCAACCTTGGCAACTTTAAGCCTGGAGGACTTCAACTCCCAGAATTCCCCAGCCAGTGAAGCGAAGCTGGCTGGGGAATTCTGGGAGTTGAAGTCCTCCAGGCTTAAAGTTGCCAAGGTTGGAGACCCCCGATATAGATTGCCTCCTGTGGCTTTAAAATCACCCAGGGTCAACATCCCCTCCAAATACTTCAATTGTTCTGTCTTGAACTGACCCCATGTACCCTCAAAACTGCATCATTCCAAACTCTAATCTCTTTATGTTCAACTACGGGGGCTACCTAGTATGGCAAACCTTGTTTCCATTAATACATAATTTGGAGCAATCAGTTGGATTGAGCATAATTAGTATAGAAAAGGATTGTATTTAGATATTTCATATAGGGCACCAAAGCCTTGAATGGATCCTCTTTCTAGATACATGAACTCGGCTGTGCCCATCTTGAGGTATCCCTCAAGATGGGCACCTCCTAAAATTCGAGTGTCTAACTTTAGTTCAGGCTGAAAGCTACATTTGGCCTTGGGGGTTTCGGGCCAAGGACTGCAGTGCAGCTGTAAAGATGTACAAGATGACCTCGATGACCCCAGCATGCTGGCTGGGGAATTCTGGGAGTTGAAGTCCACACATCTTAAAGTCACCAAGGTTGAAAAACACTGCCTCCCTTTCTCCAGCTTCTCCCTTCTGCTAGGAGTTCCTAATTTCCTTCTAGGCCTTGTTTTTTGATACCTGTGAAGCCCCCAATGGACCAGGCATAGAGGATGATGTCTTTAGGAAGGAAGCCCAGGCGGTGGATGGCATATTGCATCACCACGTCCATGGCGTTGGCCTCATTCTGTGGCAGGGGCACTCCCTAGAGACAAGTGGGGAAAATAGTTAACGCAAAGTTGCTGAGAGCAGGGAGACCAAGGAAGACAGGTCATGCCTGAGGGGAAAGACTAAGGGTTTCCTCCCTTCTTCCTTCTCTTCTTCTTTTCTACGAAAATTCCTTCCCAGGGGCCTTGCTTGTCATTCTGCACCTTTCTTTTTCAGTTTTTATTTTACAGTTTACAGTAGAATCTCTGGTCACGAACGCTTCTGACCATGACCAAATTGGATTCCGACCCAAAAATTCACATTTGTTTTCCGCAGCCGATTTCCCCTTCCGCGCCATTTTTTTTTGTAAGCGCCAAATTTCCAAAATTAGATTAGGGTCCCGACCAAATCGGGTTGCAACCAAAGTTATGGAACAAATTATGGTAGTGATCAGAGGTTCTACTGTATAATGTAGCATCCAAAGAAAATACAGAAGTAAATAGAAGGGAAAAGTGAGGGAAAGAAAAGGGAAAAAAAAAAGGCATTGACTTCCGACTCCCTCTGTTGCAGTAGAATAAAGCATTGACATCAAACCTCAACCATTTTTGGCAATAACAGGGCGCGCAGGTTTGGGAAGCCCGCAGAGGGCTGCTGGAGGCTGGGGAGGGCAAAACCGCCCGTTTTTGCAAAAAACAGACCCGTTTTTGGCCTCCCAAACCCCCCACGCATCACGTTTTTGCCCTCCCCAGCCCCCAGGAGCACTCTGCAGGTCTCCCAAACCCTCCACACATCCCATTTTTGCAAAAAACGGGCCTGTTTTTGGGAAAAACAGGACGCGCAGGGCAGGGTTTCGGGAGGCCAAAAATGGTTCTATTCGGTGTATAAGACACACCAACATTTCCACCCTCTTTTAGGGGGGAGAAAACGTGCATCTTATACTACGAAAAGTACAGTAATTGGTTGATTGGCTCAGTGGCCTGCAATACGCCCAATATCTTATTGAATGGCCAGGTCTACATCAGATTTTTTAAGAGTGTAGTTACTGGAGAAGTCAAAAATAATCTGAAATAAATCTCAGAATAACTCACCGTGCTGCCTGCAAACCCAGGATGATTCCATCCCAGCACAGAATATCCAGCTGTAAGACAGAAGGAGAAAAATCAACTGGAAAGGAAGGATCAGCGATAACTAGAATCCCAACCACGACAAAAAAAAAAAAAAAAAGAAAGAAAGAAAAAAAAGAAAGAAAGAAAAGAACCATCAATCTATCAGAAAAGAACTGGGAGTGATCTTGGAGGTCTTCTAGTCCAATCCTCAAGCAGGAGATGAAGAAGAGGATGAAGAAGAAAAGGAGCCATCTAGGGTTAAAACAAACAAACAAAAAAACAGGATCCCTATACAACATCAACTCGATCTGGTCCTAAAGCAGCTGTAATGATTTTGCAACTATAGAGGTCATCCTTGACTTAGGACCACAATTGGGTCTGGAATGACAGCCACAAATGGTGGCAGTCGTTAAGCGGATCACCATGTGGTCGTGACTGATTTTAACACACTTTTGTTGCAGTGGTTGTTGAATGAAAACTGCAGTTGTGAAGCGAGCCTCTTTTCTTCAATGGGCCTTTTTTTCTGTGTGTCTGTCTCTGTGTGTGTGTGTGCGTGCCAGAAATGGGAAGTAAATAGCAGAAAATCACACTCACACGACCACAGGATGCTGCAAACAGCCGTTAACGTGGGCTGTTTGCACAAAAGTACACTGGAATTCCGCAACCGGGTTATAAGTAGCTCTAGGGAGGTCTGTCGTAACTTTGAATGATTGCTAAGCAACTGCTCATTAAGCAAGCACTATGTGTAGCTTCCTAAGTAGTGTGGCAAGGTTTTCCCTGAACATGCTACAGGATCTAAATTAGAATAGAGCAAGGGTCAGCAACCTGCGGCTCTGGAGCCGCATGTGGCTCTTTCATCCCTCTGCTGCGGCTCCTTGTCACTGGTCGGCTCCACAATTGATAGGGCTTTTGGGTAGGACAGGTAGAGGAAAAAGGATGCCATGCTAGGAGGCGACTCTATGGTGGTGGTGTTTGGGGGGGTGGGGGAGAAACCAGACTTCCGGTCAGCATAGGAAAAAGGACGCCGTGCTAGGAGGAAACTCTATGGTGGCGGAACGGGACTTCCAGTTGGCAGAGGAAAAAGGACGTCGCGCTAGGAGGAGACACTATGGTGGGGGGTTGGGGGAAACTGGACTTCTGGTTGGCTCCAGAATTTAACAGGGGGCTTCCGGTTAGAATCTTTGTGGCTCTTTGAGTGTTTAAGGTTGCCGAGCCCTGGAATAGAGTTACAGAGTTGGAAGGGACCTTTGGAGGTCCTCCAGTCCAACCCCTTGCTTAGGCAGGAAACCCTATACCATTTCAAACAAATGGTTGTCCAATCTCTTCTTAAAAATTTCCAGTGTTGGAGCATTCACAACTTCTGGAGGCAAGTCGTTCCGCTGATTAATTGTTCTAACTGTCAGGAAATTTCTGCTTAGTTCTAAGTTGCTTTTCTCCTTGATTAGTTTCCACCCTTTGCTTCTTGTCCTGCCTTCAGGTGCTTTGGGGAATAGCTTGACTCCCTCTTCTTTGTGGCAACCCCTGAGATACTGGAACACTGCTATCATGACACCATCTCACCACTCTTCTGTAATGCCCAAAGAGGTATGACAGAACATGTCTCCATCACTTCAGCTTGGGAAATCCAGACAGGAGCTGAACGTATAGAACATCAATCACACGGTTGATCGTGCAAGTATATAATTAAAGCTCTGCACCAACCGAACTATTTCTCTGGCTGGGGTTGATTTCTCCCAGTGACTTAATTTTCATAGTCGTGCTTCTAAGATGCCATCCAGGCACCATCCACCTTTCCAGATTAAAAATGGATTTTGTTAAGGGCAATTTCCAAAATGAAGGCAGACTGTCTGCTGGACAGTCTTTAACACCAGACTAGGCTAGAAGGGAAGATCTTGAGAGCCAGCAGCTTAAAAGGAACAGGGAAAACCTTTCTGCATGCTAGCACAGGGTATGAATGGGAAAACATATCCCACAATTTGGGTCTATCCCAGAAAACTTTTTAGAAGGTAAACTCGAATTTTCTTGCAATCGTTTTATAGGAGAATCCCTCGTTTAATGCAATTCCAGGACATAAGGTAACAAAATAAACAGAGTTGGAAGTGACCTTGGAGGTCTTCTAGTCCAACCCCCTATTCAGGCACGAAACCTTATACTGTTTCAAACAAATGGTTGTCCAATCTCTTCTTAAAAACATCCAGTGTTGGAACATTCACAACTTCTGGAGGCAAGCTGTTCCGCTGATTAATTGTTCTGTCAGGAAATTTCTCCTTAGTTCTAAGTTGCTTCTCTCCTTGATTAGTTTCCATCCATTGTTTCTTGTCCTGCCTTCTGCTGTGGTTTGGTAAATAAGTTGACCCCCTCCTTCTTTGTGGCAGCCCCTCAAATCTGACTTGTCAGATAAATCTGTTATCAATAGCAAATTAATTCATCTAAAAGTCCTTTTCCTTGAAAAGAATGCAATAGAAGGAGATAGATCATACCATCCAAAGGAGTAGAGATACAGCCTACTTCATAGAAGCCTGCATTTCCTTCGCAGCAAATCACCTGAAAAGAACAAAAATAGGAACTTTTATCGCGCCAGCAATGCAAACGACAGGAAACGTGCTGTGCAACCAGCCAACATTCAGGAAGTTCCCACCTACTTCCTGCCCATGAACGTCCTGTGCATAAACTAGTAGCTGGATCTATCCAAACAGTGCTAAATATTGGGATATTGATGGGAATCGTCCTTAGAGAAACAGCACTGCAGGACCTGGGAATGAGATCAATCAATCTCCCCCATACAGAGCAACCATCACACGTCCAAACTTTTCTGTGGCACCCCTATGGAGCAGCAGATGCTGTGATCTCGGAATAGGTTTATTTTTGGTTGAGCTATTTACAAAACCATGGGTGCTTTTGTTGGCAACAAAGAATTACTTAAAGAAAATAAAACAAAGCCATCATGTGCCTTTCATTTGGTCCCTTAATACTTTGCACCATTCAACGGTCCTAGATCATGAGCTGACAACTTACCCCGTATTTTTCGGACTATAAGACGCACCTGACTATGAGACCCAACTAAATGTAGAAGAGGAAAACAAACAAACAACAAGATTTTGGCCTTGGCTTTTTTTGGGCCTTTTTTGGGCCCTATTCCAGTCTTTTTTCGGCCTGTTTCTGGGGATTTTTTTGGCCCGTTTTGGAGGCTTTTTTTTGGCCCGTTTTTGAGGCTTTTTGGGGTTGTTTTTGAGGCTTTTTGGGGTTGTTTTCGAGGCTTTTTTCAGCCTGTTTTTTCAGAAAAAATGCCCCCCCCAAAACCTCAAAAACGGTCTGAAAGAAGCCCCAAAAACGGGCCCAAAAAAGCCTTGAAAACAGACTGAAAAAAGCCTCAGAATTGGGCCAAAAAAAAGATCTGAAAAAGGCTGAAAAAAGGCCCGAAAACGGCATGCAGAGGCCGAAAAATGGCTGGTGGGTGGGTGGGGCTCTGGCAATATTCGGTCTATAAGACGCACAGACATTTTTGCCCCCTTTTTGGAGACAAAAAAATGTGTCTTATAGACCGAAAAACACACTAGTTCCCCTGCAAGGGAAGTATTTTTTTATTCAAAGGGGGACTTGTTGAATAGCAATAGCATTTAGACTTATATACTGCTTTTTTTTTTTTTTTTTGCTTTAATTTATATGCTGCCCTTCTCCGGAGACTCAGGGCGGCTTACAATGCGTTAAGCAATAGCCTTCATACTTTTGTATATATTTATACAAAGTCAGCTTATTGCCCCCACAATCTGGGTCCTCATTTCACCTACCTTTGAAAGGATGGAAGGCTGAGTCAACCTTGAGCCTGGTGAGATTTGAACTTGCAGTAATTGCAAGCAGCTGAATGTTAGTAACAGTGCTTTAGTCCACTGTACTACAGGCTCTTCATAGTGATTTACAGCTCTCTCTAAGCCAGGGGTGTTGTGTTTAACCTCAGGGGACCAGGGTGGGCGTGGCCAGCTTGATGTCACTCATGTTGGGGGTGCCTTTCGTGGCCCGAACGCTCTGCCAGCAAAAACGGGCTCCCGAGCTCCGTTTTTCAGCTGTGACGTCCTCATGCAACCCTCTGCCAATGAAAACGAAGCCCGGGAGGGCTGCACGCAGCCCTCCTGAGCTCCGTTTTCAATGGCAGAGGCACCGCGGGCCACTCCTTCGCTGTTTCTAGGGCAGCCCCGTGGGCCAGATCAAAGCATCCCGCGGGCTGGATCCGGTCCCCGGGCCTTGAGTTTGACACCCCTGCTCTAAGCGATTTATGGAGTCAGCATATTGCCCCCAACAATCTGGGTCCTCATTTTACCAACCCGAGAAGGATGGAAAGCTGAGTCAACCTTGAGCCGTTCAGAATCAAACTCCTGGTAGCGCCAGTGACTCAGCCCGCAATACTGCATTCTAACCACTGGGCCACCACGGCTCTGAATAAAAGAATGTACATCCTATGTTGTGCCCCCAAAATGTGGAGCTCTTGCTGGCTTCTACTCTGTGAAGCTTTACAGAGCTCCCCTTCAGTCCTTTTTGAGGTAAGCAGAGAATAAGAGGTAATGAAGAATAACAGAATAATAAGAGTTGGAAGGGGCCTTGGAGGTCTTCTAGTCCAACCCTCTGTATGTTACTCTCTGTATGCTACTGTTTGCAAATCCAGAAGAAGTGTTTATTGTTAACGACTATGACGACTGGTAAGAAGACTTTGTTATTGGATTATCCCTGGACTGTCGTTTTGGCTATCTCCTGCTTTATATGTGTATGACCTGGACTGTTTATTGGACTGTGCTTTACTATTTCCTGAAAGTAAACACAACTCAGTGTATCTGTGTGTTGACTGTGTTTATTCGTAATTACTCTCAATCACTTTCATGTGTACACCCTTGCTACTCAAGGGTTACTCTGCGGATTCCTTAACACAAATCTTGCCCAAGTTTATTCCAAGTGTAGGACAGTTTGAACCGAGATTCTCCCAGTGTTTATTGGATAGTGTTAATCTGTTGCCCCAGCTGCTGAGGAAAATGTCAAAGTGGAAGCAAGAGGCACCTCAGGCAAATCAGGTGACGGGAAGACTTTTCCACAGAATTACAGAGCTGATCAGCTTCTCTGAGAAGCAATCACACTAAGTAACAATTGATGAATACAGGCAACCAGGCATTTTCCCACAGGTGAGCCGATAGGATGATAAAAGGACAGGTGGATAATAGTTCCTGCTTTGAAGGCCATTTGATTTTGGTGTCAGTGATGTGGAAATGGGAGTCTGCTCTTCCCTTAGCAGCTTAGTAATTTTGGCACATTCTTGTGGTAAAGGATGAGCGGGAGATGAAAAACTAAGGGAGATTTATCAATAAAGTCTTTGAGAGTTAAATCACGACTTGGTGTCAACTCACTAGTTTCCTGCCTTGTGGCTCCAAAGCGCCCGTTCGATCTACGAATATTGTGTCGATTTCGTTTCCATCGCAAGCTGCCAACTTGGCTCGTCTTCCGTTGTACTACAAAGGGAAGAACAACCTTTATTTGGGGTTGAAGTAATCCTTCACATCCTGGACATAAATTGTTTCAACTCCTATCCTCAAAATGATGCTATAGGGCACTGCACACCAGAACAACTAGACCCAAGGAACAGTTTTCCCCCGAAAGCCATCACTCTGCTAAACAACTAATTCCCACAACACTGTCAAATAATTTTCTAAGGCTGTATTACTATTCATCTTCTCTTCCTTACTACTATCTATCTCTTCCCACTTATTACTATAACCATGTTGCTTGTATCTTTTAATTTATATTGTTTTTACTTGTTTCCTAGTATGATTTGATAGCTTATTAATAACCTTGACTATCACTAAGTGTTGTATCATTTTATTCTTGATGAATGTATTTTATTCTCCTTAGGTACACAGAGAGCATATACACCAAAGATAAATTCCTTATGTGTCCAATCACATTTGACCAATAAAGAATTCTATTCTATTCTATTTCTTTAAAGGTTCCCAAATGCCAGATTCCCAGGATAGGATGGAGAAGGTAGGGGAGAACAAATCAGGGAAACCAATTTCTAATTTTTTTAACAGGAATCCTTGACTTGTGACCACAACTGAGCCCAAATTTTCTCTTGCCAGACAGTTGTTAGGTGAGTTTTGCCCCATTTTGCGACCTTTCTTGCCACAGTTGTTTAAAGGAATCGTTGCAGTTTGTCAAGTTAGCAACCCAGTTGTAAAATGAATCTGGCTCCCCTGTTGGCTTTGCTTGTCAGGATGTCGCAAAGGGTGACCACGTGACCTCGAGACCCTGCAACCGTCGTATATATGACTCAGTTGCCAAGCGCCTGAATTTGGATTGGGTGACCACGGGGACGATGCAACAGTCGCAAGTGTGAAAAATGGTCGTAAGTCACTTCTTTCAGTGTGGCCGTAACTTCGAGCGGTCAATAAAGAAATGGTTTTAAGTCGAGGACTACCTGTATTGGGATAAGAAATAGCCTGGAAAGAAGTCTGGGATTTGGGACTCCTAAATTCCTGGTTGGTGTTTACTCACTTCTTCCACTAGCCGAGCCTGTCCTTGAAGTAACATGGGCATCAGAGCCTTCTGCAGCAGGTAGACAGAGCCTGGGTAGAGCATACGTCGTCCGAAGGTGTGTGCCACTATAAAGCTGTCAAGAAATAGGTGGGGAAATGAAGGACAGGAGTCTCAACATTCAACATCTCTCTGACAAAGTTTACTCTAGGACAGGGGTGTCAAACTCAATTTCATTGAGGGCCGCATCAGGGCTGTGGTTGACCTCAAGGGACTGGGCAGGCGTGGACAACTGGGCGTGGTCGATTGGGTGGTCGTGGCCAGTTTGACACCACTCCCCAAACTGCTGGCATGTTTCCTCTTTGCACTGGGTAGAGCGGGCCGAAGCCATGCTAGCCTGGTGTTTCATCTTCGCTTTGGGTAGACTAGGCCGAAGCAACGCGGGCTGGCCCTTTACAATTTCCAGGATGGCACCACAGATCGTATTTGACCACATCTTGGGCCTTGTGTTTTGACACTCCTGCTCTAGGAGCTCTACAACCTCAGACAGAAAACCTCAATCGTTAAACCTTCACATCCTGGACATAAACTGTTGCATTGTAAGCCAAAATAATCAGACACAAGGACAGTTGTTTCCTTCATGCCATCACTCTGCTAAACAACTAATTCCCACAACATTTGTCTTATGCCCCTGGGATGTCAAACCACCTAGTAGGGCTGTATTACTATTACTGTTATCCTTCTCATGTTTCCCATTATCTATTTCCTTAGCTTCTTATGACTATAACTTTGTTGCTTGTATCTCATGATTTATGTTGATTGCTTTTATTAGTACCCTATTATTAGTACCTCCGCCACTCAGGAGCCTGAGTGGCGTAAGAGGCTAATGACTCCTATTAAGGCAGCATTTAACATCCAGCTGCCTGCAATTACTGCGAGTTCAATTCTCACCAGGCTCAAGGTCGACTCAGCCTTCCATCCTTTCTAAGGTGGGTAAAATGAGGACCTGGTTTGTGGGGGCAATAAGCTGACTTTGTATAAAATTTACAAAAGTATGAAGGCTATTGCTTAATGCATTGTAAGCCGCCCTGAGTCTCCGGAGAAGGGCGGCATATAAAAATAAATAAAAATAAAAAAATAAAAAATTATGATTTATGTTGATTGATTATAGAACATTCAATGACTATCACTGAGTGTTGTATGTTATGATTTATGATGATTGTATTTTATAATTGTTTTATCACTTTTTTTTTTTTTTTGGCTTTAATTTATATGCCGCCCTTCTCCGGCGACTCAGGGCGGCTTACAATGCGTTAAGCAATAGCCTTCATACTTTTGTATATTTATACAAAGTCAGCCTATTGCCCCCACAATCTGGGTCCTCATTTCACCTACCTTAGAAAGGATGGAAGGCTGAGTCAACCTTGAGCCTGGTGGGATTTGAACTTGCAGTAATTGCAAGCAGCAGATGTTAATAACAGTGCTTTAGTCCACTGTACTACAGGCTCTGTACTGTTGCTTGTATGTATGAAGACTTAGAGCTTATTCCTTGTGTGTCCAATTCCTTGTGTGTCCAATCACACTCAGCCAATTAAGAATTCAATTCAATTCAATTCAATTCAATTCAATTAATTCAATTCAATTCAATTTATGCCAAGTGCTCATAATGCGATCATGTGATTGTGTGGTATATGTGCGACCATTGAAACTTTGAAAACAAGTAGTTCTGGGGTGATCTGTTATAACTTCGAATGACTGCTAAGTGATCAGTCGTGAAGCGACTGTATTCATTAGCTTCCAATTAATCCAATCCATTTTCTTATCCCAACATTACAGGCGTCTTTTCTTTGGGTCAACCATCAAGCTTCCTATTTCCTTCTCTGTCGATACTTTTCAATATCGGCTAATCTCACAACTAAGTATGCAAGGTCTAACCCGGCTAGAATTTAAGGGGGCAACCACAAAAATATAATAAATTTAGAAAAATTAAAAAAAAAATGTACTGGCAACCATTTCCTTATTGTTCCCAAGAAACAACAAAGGCGTTATCTGTCTACTTATCAGGAGTCGAGCTCAACCTGAGGGAAATTTTTACCTTTCTCTAACGTGTCACAGTAGAAACATATTAAGTCTTTGGGATGGTACAGGATAAATTAATATCTATAGAGCTTCTCAGTCATCCCAAAGGTGCTTTTTCCAGAAGGCAACTGGACTTTCTTGGGGGGTTTTTTCCCTTTGAAAACATTTCACGTTTCATTCAAGAAAGCTTCTTCAGTTATAAGGTTGACCAGGAATCTAATATTTCTATTGACAGTCTTGAGGCAGCCAAAGTGCCGATGTCATCACTGCCTCTGCAGGCCTTCAAAGTCATGGAAAACTCCTCAGGAAACACCTAAAGTCCCTGAGATGATACCCAGGGGTGAAATGCTCTGAAAACTGCTACTGGTTCACTTTGCTACCGGTTCATTTTGTGCACGCATGCGCACCATATGCACGCTTTGTGTGCATGCGTACTGCAGACGCTGCCGTGCAGTGCTGAAAAAGGAGGCTTAAGAAGCCTTTTCTGAGTCTACAAACGCAAATAGAACAGCAGGGGGGGGACACAGGATTTCCTGCTTTCTAATGAATATAAATTGTGCAGCATAGTTGATCGTTGGAAATACCGGTTCGCCTGAACTGGTAGCATTTTTTACTACCAGTTCGGGTGAACCGGTCCAAACAGGTAGCATTTCACTCCTGATGATACCCAATGTCCTTCGAGGACTTTGAAGTGAGGTGGATGGCTATTTCTGTACTTCTTTATCCAGTGGTGAAATCTAAAATTTGTTACTACTGGTTCTGTGGGCATGGCATGGTGGGGGTGGGGTGGGTGGGTGGGCGGTAATGTGACTAGGTGGGTGTGGCCAGTTTTTTTTTTTAACTTTTAAAACAATTTTTTCTACAACCTCTTCGGGGAATGCTTTCAAAAGGCTCTGACGATCCAAGCCGAGTTGCTTGATCGTCAGAGACATTTAAAAGAAAAAAACCCTTTTTTTCTTTTAAATGCCTTTGATGATCCAAGCTGAGTTGCCTGATCATCAGAGGCATTTAAAAGAAAAAAGTCTCTGCCGATCAGGCAACTCAGCTTGGATTGTCAGAGGCACTTAAAAGAAAAAAAGGTTTTTTTTTCTTTTAAAAGCCTTTGACAATCCCAGCTGAGCCGCGCGATCATCAGAGGCTTTTGTTTTTAACTTTTAAAAGCATTTTTTCAGCCGAAGAGGTTGTAGAAAAAATGCTTTTAAAAGTAAAAAAAAGCCTCTGATGATCGTGCGGCTCAGCTGGGCATGGGGGGAGGGGGCAGGGATTTTTGCTACTGGTTCTCTGAATCACCCGCCTCCATTGCTACTGGATCAGGCAATCCAGTCCGAATCGGGAGCATTTCACCCCTGTCTTTATCTTATCTGGAGTGTGCCAGCTTGTCTGGGTGTGCTAATGTTTCTGGGTGGAGGAATGGACAATAGAGCAAACAAATAAATTTCAGTCTTAAAGTCTGTTCAGGGTTCTCCCTTGCTAAGGGGGGGGGGGAGGTTTCTTTATTCAGCTGAATAAACACGTAAAGCTTATCAAGGTAAATACCTGGACTCAGTCTCTCTTTATACCAAGCCACACCTGAAACCGGCAAAACAATAAGGTTGTTAAGTCTTTTTCATAAATCCTTCCTTTCCCCACCAGTCAGTTACAACCGAAGAAGCTTCTTGGATGAGGAGAGAAGCTTTTTCAAAGGAAAAAATAAAGTCCAGTTGCCTGTTGAAAAAAGCACCTCGGGGACTACTGGATAGGCATGCAGATGTTCATCGGTTCAACTAGTCTTTTGACATCTGCATAATTTTCTTGTGCCCTCAGCCATGTTTCACCTGCTTCACAAAGGTTAAAACCGGAACAAGACAAGACAAGACAAGATACCTGGCAATTTGGCAGGGCAGCTTCTTGATCGCATGGAGAAAACCATTGATTACACTTCGATGCTTTGGTTCTGACCGCAACAAGGGGACGTTTCCTGAATCTGACCTGCAAGTATTTACCAAACTGTTTAATTTATCTCCAAGGGGAAAGATTGTGTCTTCTTCCAAGACCAACAGAGAAAAGCACATGAAAGCCAGATCACTGAATGCATTGTCCAGTGACTGCCGAGAATATTGCGGGGAATATAGAATGGAATACATCATCCAGATGGAGGACATAACCTTCAAATATGACTGGCTGGTGCTAAAGTTTTCACAAAATGACCAGATATAGCAAAAGCAAGCAAGGAAGGAAAGAAGGAAAGAAAAGAAGGAAAGAAGGAAAGGAAAGAAGGGAAAGGAGAAGAGATGGAGGAGGCAGGCAGGCTGGCAATCCTGAAAACTGGCAAAGTGCACTTAAAAATCATGCATGTATATCCCCACCTATGCTATTCATACAAAGATTTAAGCTCTATTGTGAATGTTTGCCAATAGCCAGCTTTCCTCTGCATTTCTCCATTCAATATACATATGTTACCCCATAATATATTTCGTGATCAGCAGCCAAGTTTTTGTCTCTACTTGAAAGGAGAGAAGATGACCGAAAATGAAGGACAGAAAGGAGTTATTCCCCACTGTCAACTCACCGACTCGTGAACTCGTCCCACCGAAAGTCTACAGGCCAACTTCTGAAGTCAAAATTGTAGCTGGCAAGTTTCTTCTGTGAAGCATTATCAGAAAGAAAAAAAAATGATAAAAAAAAAAAAACATGCGGTGTAAGATTAATGCAACTTCTAAAGTCAGTACCTTTTTTAATGAAATACGGTCATGAAATAACCTTCCTTGTTTAGACTGTTTAGACAGTTTCCTTTTCTAGGTTCAGAGAACATTATAAAATATCTAGATCTGTGATGGCGAATGTATAGCACACGTGCTGGAAGTGGCACGCAGAGCCATCTCTCCAGGCACGCCAGCTGTCGCCCATTGCTCTTTCGCGCACGCGCTGGCCAGCTGGTCTTTGCGCCCGTGGGAGAGCTGGAAACTGGAAGAGCAGTTTCCTGGTGCGCATATGCGCACTGGAAAGCTGAGCTTGTGGTTTCTGGCATGCTGGTTTTTGTGTGCGCATGCGTGCCAGAAACTGGGAGACCAGATGGCCGGCTGAACGTGTGTGCTGGAAACTGGAAGCTCAGCTTCCCGGTGCGTGCATGAGCACTGGGGAGCTGCTCTTCCAGTTTCTGGCGCTCCCGCGTGCATGTGTGTGCGTTCCAGTTTTGGCACTCGGTGCCAAAAGGGTTTGCCAACACTGATCTAGATTAATGTAGGACAAAATACTAGCAACCCTCTCTTCAAGCCGCCCAAAATTTAGTCTTCTTCAAAAGAGAATGAATATTAAGGCTGAAGGTTGAGAGATGAATGGGTGCAACAGTCAACACAAATAAACATCTTTCTCGGGTTCTAACTAGGACTTTGTTTTGGTTTCCTTGACTTAAAAAGAAAAACAGCGGATATGATTATTCATAATCATAATTTCATATGCAACATGAATAATAAGCATCTACAGCTACCCTTACCTTGTGTTCAGGTGTGCCATACCGGTGAGCATCTTCAAGGATGGTGATGAATTGGATGTATTGAGGATTCGTCCAGCGCCCGATGCCTGAAAAGAAGCAGGAATCCTTTCAGTGACTGAGACCCTAAATGGTCCCTTTTGTTTGAAGTTCCCACCCAGGAGGCCTATGGGATGCTATTTCCTTCCCTTCAAATCCCTCCCTGAAAATTCAACCCTTCAACTTCAACTATTATTATTTCTATCAATGCTATCTCTATTGATGTAGGAGAGATGACCACGCTGAGCCTGAGGGAAGGGTTAAAGGCTTCAACAGTCTCGAGTCCCTTCGGCGCCCACAAGAGATCTAAGTCCAGCCCACCTTGAAATTCCGTTGGCTCTTATCTGCTGCCAATTTAGTGGTTCAGATCCTTCTAGAGAGCGTTAAACCTGTCGCCATTTGAACAGGTCTTGCTTCCTGATTTATTACACTGGACAGTTGTATTAGTAATAGCAGTAGCACTAAGACTTATATACTGCTTCACAGGGCTTTACGGCCCTCTCTAAGTGGTTTACAGAGCCAGCATATTGTCCCCCAACAATCTGGGTCCTCATTTTACCAACCTTGGAAGGATGGAAGGCTGAGTCAACCTTGAGCCTGGTTATATTTGAACTGCTGGCAGTCAACAGAAGTAGCCTGCAGTACTGCATTCTAACCACTGCGCTACCACAGCTCTTATCTCTCCCCTTCCCTTCCCTGTCGATGTTTAGAATAGAAGCAACTTCAGGGCTTAGTTTTTGGCTCTTACAAGTAATCCTCGATTTACGACAACTTGATTAACAACGCTTTGGAGAAAGTAACGTATGACCTGTCCTCAACTTTATGGCTAATCATCACACCAGTCTTGTGGTCATGTCACAATTTGGGTGCCTGCCAAATGGCTCACATTTATGATGGTTGCAGCATCTTGCTGTTATGTGATCCTGTTTTACCACTTTCCCAGCCAACTTCCAATAACGAAGTCAATTGGGGAAGCCAGAATCACTCAATGACCATGTGATTTGCTTAATGGCCATGGCAAAAATGGTTGTAAAATTGGGTCTGCTCCCATGATGTCTGGCTTAATGACCACATCACTTAATTCTGGCCCCAAATATGGTTGTATGTCACCTGTATAACTATGAATACAACTCAACTCAGGTACAACTCAACAAGCACAGAGATCAGATTCCAAACCTAGTTAAAAGTATGGCTTCCCGAGTCAGTAGACCTACCACCCAATGTCCACACTGTCAAAGCACACACCTCTTAGACAGGCAATCCCAGCCAAGAGTAGTAGCATGGTCCCGGCATAGTGAGAAATAGCAACAACTTTCGGCATGGTTAAATACCCTGGAAAGAAAGAAAGGAGAAGAAAGGGAAGGGGTTCAGAGCCAGCAGTTGGCACATCAAAAGCTAAGAATGCATTGTTGTTTCTTAAAGGAAGAGAGGTTGATTACTGACTTCCCTAATCTGCCTTCCGGATGTTCTAGGGTGGCAACTCTATGACTTTCCAGCCAGTAGGAGTCTTTTAATTGAGGAGAACCGATGTGGAGGAAACCTACTTTCAGACAGCTAAAAATAAAATGAGATATAATTTTCTTGGCTATTCTTCACCCTAACCAAAGTTCTTAAAAAAAAAAATGATCCAACGCTACCATTTTGAAATACACCTCAAAATAGCATTCACATCTTTAAGAGGGAAAATCTTAATAGTATATACCCACAAACACTTACACATTTGTGTCAGCGTTCCAGAAGAACCCAACTCCAATTAAAAAGAGGCATTTTCTCAAAATTCCCATGAGTAGGTATACTGGCACATCTGGGAAAACCCGAATCTGAGACTTCCAGGTTTATACAAAATCCCCCAAATCCATCCCCTGCATCAGTCCATCACGTGGCCCAATCACCATCCGTCCCAACTTGAAACACCACTGCAACCACTCCTCCTCCAGATGCAGGCATACCATGACCTTGACGGAAAAGAAGAATGCTGTTATGTCTAACTACATTCCCTCTACTAAATCCCCCACTCCTAGTTTCCCAAGCACAAGAATGTGGCAGCTTGGAAGCTTCCAGTGTTAATATGGCTTCCAAAGCTGACAGTGTGTGTGTGTGTGTGTGTGTGCGTGTGTGTGTGTGTATTGGTAAAGGTTCCCCTCACACATATGTGCTAGTCGTTCCCGACTCTAAGGGGCGGTGCTCATCTCCGTTTCAAAGCCGAAGAGCCAGCGCTGTCCGAAGAATGATTTAACCCAACTGGGTGACTTTGGGCCAGTCCCTCTCTCTCACTTCTAGGAAGAAGAAAGCAAAAGCGAACCATTTGTGAAAATGTTGCAAAGAAAATAGCAGGGAGTTCCTGCAGTCAGAAAGAATTGGAGTTGATTCAATGGACCATAAAAATTTACATGTCCAACCACCCTCAAAAAAAAAAAGTTCTTGCTTTAGCTTTGGCTGTTGCAAAAGTGCTTTTTTCAGGAGGCGACTGGACTTTCTTGTTTTTTGTTTTCTTTTGAAGTTGTTTCGCTTCTCATCCAAGAAGCTTCTTCAGCTCTGACAGAATAACAGGGAAGAGCTGAAGAAGCTCCCTGTCAGATCTGAAGAAGCTTCTTGGATGAGAAGCGAAACATCTTCAAAAGAAAAAAAAAAACCATACAAGAAAATACTTCATTCACTTTGAGGTACCTTAACACAAATCAAAATGAAGGACATATACAGTTAAAGCCCAGCTAAGTGGCAAAACTGAGCTGATCTTGGCAGGTTTTCAAAAGCCCATCAGGGTCTGGCCTTGTTAGTGCTTGGGACAGGAGACCACAAGGAAATCCCCAGAGAAGTTGGAAAAAACCATCCCGGAAAAAGGCAGTGGCAAAGAAGCATTATTTGCCGAGAAAGCTACATGGAACCTGTCCATGTCATTGCCAGCAGCTGAGTTTGATAAAGAAAACATCATCTCTTTAAAGGGAACGTTCCAGGGATCGATCCCCATGTTTCCCAATTTTTTCCATTCCGCTGTGATTTAGGAGCAGCTCCTGGAGAAGGTTTGGGGGTGGCCAAGTAGGCATCTCGCCCATCAATAATGGCCTTGGGGCAAAGCCAAAGCAAAGAATCAGCAATTTCCTTTGGAAACTCCAAGATGCTTTTTCAGGAGGCAGCTGAACTTTCTTGTTTTTTTAAATTATTTTTTATTGTACAATTTTCTTCGTTACGTATAAAATTTCTATATTCACAATAACAGTATACTGTCTGGGTACAATCTCTACAACCTGTTGAATACAGATAGTGCATATTATACAAACAATAGTTGTGACTATTATTCTCAAAACCTATTCATCCTCATCTTCACTTATCCTTGTTGAGAATTTCGTGTTATTTGATTATGCCTTCTGTTCGATTTTATCTATAATCCATTGATAATAATATCAAACATTATAAAACATCAAATAAACATCACATTTGTAACTATTAACCTCCGAATAATCTTAGGGTTTACTTATCTTAATTATTCAATATTCATTATTCAGTTAAAATTAATTACTTCATCATTGTTTACATATCCAGATTTCTAACTTCTGCTACCATTTCCTACCCATTAATAGAATACTTCCCAGATTAAAAAAAGTAATCTTTTCCCCATTTCTAATTTCTATCTTTATACTAACTCTTAATGGTATAGCTCCTATCAGGGTGGATTTGATTTAAATCGAGTTGATTTAAATCACAATTTAAATCATGATTTAAATCACTAGTAAAAAGGCTTGATTTAAATCAACTTGATTTAAATCATAATTTTTAAAGAGCAACTGTCATCTCTGCTACTCCTTTGACCCACTGTTGACTTACAGATAGTCCCAATGTTGCAGAATATACAGCCTCATGCTACATAACTAAGCTCCATTTCATGCTGAATAAACTAAATTATTTATGTATCTTAAATAGAAAACTATCTTACAATAGATTATTACCCCAAAAGTTTTTTATTAAAATAAATTCAATAAAAATCAAAAAAATCCAATTTAAATCAAAAAAATCCGATTTAAATAAAAAAAAATCGATTTTTAAATTTTTTTTTAAAAAAAATCATTGATTTTTATCCACCCTGGCTCCTATGTTAAAACAGTATTCTGCATTTATCCCTCATCTCTTGCCTGTTTTCGTATCTCAACTCCTGACTCATCTTGGTTTTTTTTCTTTTGAAGACGTTTCCATTCCCCCACCATCCTGTCAGAGCTGAAGAAGCTTCTTGGATGAGAAGCGAAACATCTTCAAAAGAAACAAACAAACAAACAAACAAACAAGGAAGTCCAGTTGCCTCCTGAAAAAGCACCTTTGGGACAAGATGGATGACTGAGAATATCTACAGACGTCAAGGCAGTGATGAGTTATCAGCATTTTCATTCAAAGCATCCTCTGGTCCAGAGTCTGGAGTGGGCAGCTGGATCCATCCAGCCCATCCTAGGCCATGATGATGCAATCTTCTCCTGCCTTCATTGATTGTTGGCAGTGGCCCAAGGTATCCTGCAAATGCCAGGAACTGAGCGAGTGACTTCTGGTAGCATATAGATAATCCTCAACTTGCAAAACTATTGGTTTCGTGACCATTCAAAGTTACCGTTTTTCACACTTATAACCACTGCCGCATTCCCAGGGTCACGTGATCAAAATCCGGGCATTTGACAACTGGCTTATATTTATGACAGCTGCAGTGTGTCCCCCCCCCGGACATGTGATCCTGTTTTGCGACATTTTGACAAGCAAACTCAATGGGGAAGCCAGATCCTCTTAGCAATAGCACTTAGACTTATATACCGCTTCACAGGGCTTTACAGCCCTCTCTAAGCGGTTTACAGTCAGCATATGGTCCCCCCACAACAATCTGGGTCCTCATTTTACCCACCTTGGAAGGATGGAAGGCTGAGTCAATCTTGAGCCTGGTGAGATTTGAACTGCAAGCAGCCGGCAGTCAGCAGAAGTAGCCTGCAGTACTGCATTCTAACCACTGCGCCACCTCGGCTCTTCACAACTTAACAACTTCAATTTCAACAAACTGCAGCAGTTCACTTAATGATTGTGACCAGATAGGGTGCAAAATGGGGCAAAACTCACTTAACCAATGTCTCACTTAGCAACAGAAATTCGGGGCTCAATTGTAGTTGTAAGTTGAGGACTACCTGTATACATGACCGTGAGGCTGTGTGTGCCTCCCGGCATCATTTCCAAATCACAGAACCTGTCCAATTGTTTTGGCCCTCCAGCAGCCTGCGCGGATTGTGGCTGATCCCGACGATGAGGAGGCTGGTGTGGGGTCGCGCCAGCAGCCTGCGCAGCCGGCGCTCGCGTCGGACAGCGAGGAGGCTGAAGAGGATGCGATGCCAGAGGCAGAGACTCAGCCAGGGCCTTCAAAACCTCCAGAGGCTCCTTCAAGTGGAGAGAGCGAAGTGGAGGAGCCTCTTCTCAATGCTCGAGCATGCAGGGCTGCCAAAAGGCAAGAGTGGCTACTCAGGAGGAGGAGGTCTCCTTGAGAGTAAGGTTTGACGATAATTGGCCACTCCCTTAGCCTATTTAAGTCGCAGGCAGTTAGTAATTTCTTGCTGGAAACAACATGTAATTATTAAAGAGCAGTTTGGATAGTGAGTGTCTTGTCGTATCTTGTTTTCTGGGCTGGTTGCCAACCTTTGCCGGACTTTGTTTATTCTTGGTACATTATAACTTTGATAAGGACCGTTGGTGTGTGTCACAATCCTTGGGAATCCGGAGCTGGGGCAGAACACCAGTAGAGCAGCCCCCTGCCCCCGATTTGGTGACCTGCAGTGGCCACCAGAGGTGATAACTGACCTCTCCTGAAAGGGACCAGAGCACGCAAAGGATAACCATCCTACAACTATGGAGCAGAGAGGCAGCCTCTAACACCCAACGATTCACACAGGACCAGCAGCCCATACCTTTTCTGTACAGGTAAAACACAGCGAGCGGGGAGGAGTAATAGGAAATGGACCACAGCACGGAAGCCTGCAAGGACAGAGCAAAGGGAGGGGTGAGTTACACAAGAGAACCAACGTTTCCAAGAATCTTTGCAAAGCCGGGATGTTTGTGCACCCTGAGAGAGGAACTGGGTGAAAAAGCAGCAGAAAGAGAACTGAGAAGGCTACGGAAAGCGGAGTGGTTGAAGCCAACAGGGAACCGAGTCTGGAAAGAGCGACGTTGCTCAGAGAAGGGGTGTACCCATAGCTACTCCTGAAAAACCACTAGGGACTGTTACTGTGTGTAAACATGCTTTCATCATGCTCCTAATGAGCTCTCTCAACAGCTTCCCTAAAGCAGGCAATATTCCAAATGAGGGAGAGGTAGAATCCTGTTTTCTCTGGAATGGACTTCAGCTCTCCTTCACCCCACTGCAGAATAAGGTGGCAGGACTCAATGCAACTCCTGTTTCATAATAAGAGGTCCTCCTATTTCCGCATTTATCCCTCCTTTTATTATTTTTATCAATAACTCAAGGCGGCAAAAATACATAATGCTTTTTCCTCCTCCTGTTTTCTCCAGAACAACAAACCCTGCGGGGTAGGTTGGGCTGAAAGAGAGCCACTGGCTCAAAGTCATCCAGTTGGCTTTCGTGCCTAAGGTAAGACTAGAACTCACTCTCACCTGGTTTCTAGCCTGGTGCCTTAACCACTAGACCAAACTGGCTCTCAAATAAATACCGGTAAATAAAAGTAAATAAATAAAATCAAATGGACAGCAAACATTCAAAGCATTCTCATATAAAATCCAGTTCAAGGGCTCTCTTAAGGAGAATAAAGCATATAATGATTTCACCATCCAGTCAGCTGTAAATGAGACATAAGAGCAGGGGTGAAATGCTACTGGTTCGGGGCGGTTCACCCGAACCGGTAGTAAAAAAAATGCTTTAAAAAGTAAAACAAAAGTTTCGACGATTGTGAGGCACAGCTGATCGTCAGAACCTTTTTTAAAGCATTTTTTCACTACCAGTTGGGGCGAATAGGTAGTAATAAAATGCTTTAAAAAAGTAAAAAAAAAAAAAAAAGGTTCCGACAATCAGCTGTGACAATCAGCTGTGCCATGTGATCCTCGGAACTTTTTTTTTTATTTTTTAAAGCATTTTTTTACTACCTATTGCCCGAACTGGTATTTTTGTGTAAAGTGTGATAGTTTATTTTTTTGAGCTCTCTGCGACTCTGTGAGGTTCCTATTTGTTGCAGGGGCCATTTTGTGTGAAGTCCAGCTGTTTTTGCATGGTGTGTGAGTCAGTTGTGCAGCTTTTGTGTTATTTTTCTGTAAAGTGTGATGGTTGGTTTTTGAGCTCTTTGACTCTGTGAGGTTCCTGCTTGTTGCAGGGGCTATTTTGTGTGAAGTCCAGCTGCTTTTACATTGTGTGTGAGTCAGTTGTGCAGCCACGCCCACTCGGTCACATGACCAAGCCACGTCCACCAAGCCATGCCCACAGAACCAGTAGGGAAAATGTTTGAATTTCACCACTGCCTAAGAGAAAATGTTCTAATCCCAGTGTGATGAAGGTTATTTTACACTTATTTAACAGCTGTAAAACCTGCGTCGAAGTGTAGAGCCTGGAGAAAGGGTCTGACAGAAAATATTTAAGATATCCTTTTCTGATATACTCTACTGGTAGTCCTTGACTTACAACCATTCATTCAGTGACCAAACAAAGTTATAACAGCACTAAAAAAAGTGACTTATGACCGTTTTACACACTTACAACCGTTGCACGCTTATGACCTGATGGTCATGTGATCAAAATTCAGACGCTTGGCAATTGGCATGTATTTATGACAGCTGCAGTGTTCCAGTGTCATGTGATCCCCTTTTGCGACCTTCTGTCAAAAAAAATCAATAGGGAAGCCAGATTCACTTAACAACCATGTTACTAACTTAACAACAGCAGTGATTCGCTTAACAACGGTGGCAAGAAAAGGTTGTAAAATGGGGCAAAACTCACTTAAAAACGGTCTTGTTTAGAAAGTGGAAAATTTAGGCTAAATTGTGGTCATAAGTCAAGGAGTATCTGTAATATTATACAGGGGGAAAAGAAAACAGAGAAAATGGCGAAATAGTTACAACAAAATGTTTTTTTCTTCTTTGAGGAGGATCAGTCTGGAATGTGACTTGCACAAGCACAAACGTGTACAAATCACTCTAGACTGTGAGGTTGTTATTTTCCTCTATCTCCCTCTCCCCAAAATGAAATGGAGGAGGCACTCACCAGCGCGAGGATGCTGTCTGCATGTTTTTCAAGGGTCCGTGGCTGGTAATACGATTCCTGTTGAAAGAAACAAGACATTTGCTGAGCTTGGTTTTCAAGTTATCAACCAACCAACCCAACTATCAACTTTATAGCGAAGAACCGCGGTGGCGCAGTGGTTAGAGTCCAGTACTGCAGGCTACTTCTGATGACTGCCAGCTGCCTGCAATTTGGCAGTTCGAATCTCACCAGGCTCAAGGTTGACTCAGCCTTCTATCCTTCCGAGGTGGGTAAAATGAGGATCCAGGTTGTTAGGGGGCAAAATGCTGACTCTGTAAACCGCTTAAGAGAGGGCTGTATATAAGTCGAAGTGCTATTGCTACATGTCATGCAGCAAGTTACACAAAATGGCTGGTTCTTAATTTTACATTTCTGAGGCTGGCATGGACATGTAATGGGCTGAGGTCTACTCTCTGAAAACCAATGAAAAATGGTAATATATGGAGAAGGGGAAAATAGCTATGGAGTTCTATGAGCCACAGGCCGGGGTTAATCATATCCACCAACACAAGCCTGGATCTGCATTACTATGGAACTGGTTTTCCAAATCGCTACTGTTAAAACAACTGCAAGTCAGAAATCCTACAAATCAACCAGAGATCTACCTGTAGTTCAATTCCAACCTCTGCCCAGTTCTGTGCAATTTATGCCTCATGCTTTATATTTCTGTTTATATGCTCCACAACTAGCAACACCCATTTTTTTTCTGACTCCTAGGGAATCCCCAGATCAAGGTTTCCCCCAACAAATATTTTGCATCTTGAAATCTTCTCCAACATCTAAAAAGACCAAAAGTGAGCAACAAATAAGCTTTCCACTTTATCCCCTGTGGTGCTGGTAGATCACCGGACTCTGCAACCCTCAGAAGAAAAAAGGAAGCTAAAAATGAAAAGTGGGGTCCATATTAACTGGGGGGGGGAGGGAAAGCATCTGTTCCCGTTTTAGCCATAGAGTGGTAATCTGGGGTTCAGACATCCTATTCATTTTAGGATCAAAGACCGCCTGCTAATACGTAAAGCTGGCCCCTGGCACTTTACAACTCTTTCTAAAGCCATGTGTAATCCACACACAAGCTACTGTCTGCCTGAATGACAGTAGCAATAAGGTAAACCTGGCAGATGAGCAAGAATTCCTTGCGCAAGCATCAAAAAGTTTGCAAAGCATTATTTCTGAAATTATATGCAGTAATCTCAAGCATTTTGCCCTTTGTTCCCTAGAGGGGAAAAAAAAGATACGGGTATGTATTTTAGACTTCCCCTGCAAAACTCATTTTCACCTATCTTGTGTGTATCATCCTGTCGAACAATATGTTGCTTGCACAAGATCATTTAGATCAGGGGTGTTAAACTCAAGGCCCGGGGGCCGGATCCGGCCCACGGGGTGCTTAGATCTGGCCCAAAAGGCCGCCCTGGAAACAGAGAAGGACCAGCCCGCGGGGCCTCTGCCAGGGAAAACGGAGCTCGGGAGGGCTGCGTGCGGCCCTCCCGAGCTCCATTTTCAATGGCAGAGGGTTCCAGGAGATCATCGCAGCTGAAAACTGATCTTGTGAGGGCCACGGGTGATACTCCCAAGCTCTGTTTTCCCTGGCAGAGGGTTGCAGGAGACTGTCTGCAGGAGGCAGAGCGCTCGGCCACCACAGTGTGACATCACCCGAGTGACGTCTAGCTGACCATGCTCACCCTGGCCATGCCCACTCTGCCCCCCCCCCCGAGATCAAACACAACCCTGATGTGGCCCTCAATGAAATCGAGTTTGAAACCCGATTTAAATGATATTTTTCCAACCTCCTGGTGCGGTGGATATATATACCTTCTAGAATCACCATAAATGTTGGGCTGGCAATCTGGGACATTTTAAGAGCTAGAAGATCTGGGAAGGAAACTACTGTAGAAAAAATATTTCCAACTTTCTAATTCATATCCCTTCTCTCTTACAAGCTTCTCCCCCCCCCCCCCCCCATGTAATTAAGATACCAATGTAAAAAGGTCAAGCACAGGTCTTTTATTATTGTTATAAGATTGGTAACAAGAGCTCAGGGGCTTTGGAGAAAGCACAATTGAACCTCTGACTCCAGGATTTATGCTTTTGGGAATATTTCTAGGAGGGTAATTTACTGTGTTCACTGGGGATATTTCCAATAGACTAAGCCTGAAGCTTGTTAAATACCTGGGCTTTGCAACTGCTCAGTTCCCAATTTACAAATGATTACCACAATCATACAAGGATAATTGCACGCAATTTATTGAGCTTTTTGACTCATCTTTTTTTTGGGAGTTCAAATGTTTTTGTTGCATGCAGAAATAAAAAAAATATTTTCTCTGTAGCAGTTCATTGATTGCATAAATGCAACACACTATAGTTCTTTTATACATAGCATAAATGTAAAAAAATAATATATGCAATATTATCTTCATTTTAGATGTCAAAAGGTTTTTGTGGCTCCCGGTGTTTTCTTTTCTGTGGGAAAAGTTTCCAAATGGTTCTTTTGAGTGTTTTAAGGTTGCCGACCCCTGACCTACAGGAAGCAAAACTTTTCTGTTTTCTTCTCTTTTGTGTTGCTGAGAAGGTTCAAGGTTCTGAATTTAATGCAGGAAGAAAAAGGAAAATAAAAACCAACACCACTGGAAATAAATACTTTCCTTGATAAAATAATTCAAGACTTGGCAAAATGGTCCAGCTATACAGCCTCTCAATCTACCAAGGTTGATAACCAGGGATTGCTACAGTAAAACCTACTAACCACATCTAAGAAGACAAGAGGTTGCCTACTCTGATGGAGCGGTTTTATCTCAAGAAAATCTGTGTTTTTGCACCATCACATCTGCTGAGCTGCCCTTTCATTCCTGATTCCTGGTCTTACAAAGCTTTGTTGTAATAAATTAATTAGCTGCTGTGTAGCATTCATCTTGTCTTTCTTAACCTCGTGACTCCCTCCCGTCAGAAACAGAACATAAATCTCAGTGCTGCAGTTGACAGATGATGGTAACTGAACCTCAATCCCTATGCAGTGAGTATGTCTGGTTTAGGAGGCATAAGGCCTTAAAAACATGGTTTTGCCAACAGGTACGGGGAGCTGGAAGTATGGTAGAGATTTTGCATTGGCTGTATTGACTGTTACGGAGGAAGTTGATTAAAAAGGTAAGGTAAAGGTTCCCTCGCACATATGTGCTAGTCATTCCCAACTCTAGGGGGCGGTGCTCATCTCCGTTTCAAAGCCGAAGAGTCAGCACTGTCCAAAGACGTCTCCGTGGTCATGTGGCCGGCATGACTAAATGCCAAAAGGGCATGGAACGCTGTTACCTTCCCACCAAAGGTGGTCCCTATTTTTCTATTTGCATTTTTTACGTGGTTTCGAACTGCTAGGTTGGCAGAAGCTGGGACAAGTAACGGGAGCTCACCCCATTACACAGCACTAGGGATTCGAACCGCTGAACTGCTGACCTTTCGATCGACAAGCTCACCATCTTAGCCACTGAGCCACCTATAATTTTTCCCCCTGATTTTATATGGGTGTTATTGTTGTTTTGTACTATTGGTTTTCTGCTTTTTATACTGTTTTTAATTATTTGTGAGCTTTTACGCAGATGGGCACCTTTATAAATTTGATGAAATAAATAAAATAAACCAAACACCAACAGCATACTTGGTTTAAATCGCCTTTTTTCCTTCCTGGTAACTTTTAACAGTTTTTCTTATGATCTGTCACTTTTATATTCTCTTTTTTTATACAATATTCTGCAGTGACAGGGAAGAAAGAGTCAAGATTAAGGGAATAAGATTCGTATTCCTTTCCTTAACGTCCTGTTGGTAACACACTCATCCTCACACAAGATGTTGTGCTGCAAAAATGGTGATTCTAACCCATAATACTATTGCAACTAATATGGGGGAGGGGGGGCTTTGGGGGTGGTGGTGGTACATGTGACTTCGAATCAGTTTATGAGTCTGAGTTACTTCCTGGACAGGTCCCTGCAGTTTTCTTGGCAAATTTTTTAGTGGTTTGCTCTTCCTTCTTCCTTGGGCTGACACAGAGCAATTGGCCCAACGTCACCAGCTGGCTTTGTGCCCAAGGTGAAACTAGAAGCCTCAGTCTCTTGCTTTCTACCCTGAAGCACTATACTAAACTGGTTCTCTATAACAGATAAACGGATCTATCACTGTCATCACCAACAGCCCTGGTCGCGCGCAGTGGTTAGAATGCAATATTGCAAGCTAACTCTGCCCACAGTCTAGAGTTCGATCCTGACCGGCTCGAGGTTGACTCAGCCTTCCATACTTTCAAGGTCAGTATAAAATGAAGACCCGGATTGTTGGGGGCAATGTACTGACACTGTAAAATTGCTTAGGGAGAGAGTTGTAAAAGCACTATGGAGCGGTATACAAGTCTAAGTGCAAACTATGATCATAGTTTGACATATATGCAGCTATGAACGGCATGTAATCTGTGGCCTCAATCTAATCTAACCACCGCCAGCTACCTCCCCCATATTGACAAAATGTAAACATATAAAAAGAGCCTTGGTGGTGCAGAGGACTAAAATGCTGTTAAGTGGCACTTAGCAGCCAGCTGTCTGCAATTACTGCGAGTTCAATGCTCACCAGGCTCAAGATTGACTCAGCCTTCCATCCTTCGGAGGTAGGTAAAATGAGGACCCGGATTATGGGGGCAATAAACTGACTTTGTATAAAAAAGAACACCGTTTAGGGTGGGCCAAAAGCCCTACTAAGCAGGTATATACAAAAGTATGAAGGCTATTGCTTAATGCATTGTAAGCCGCCCTGAGTCTACGGAGAAGGGCGGCATATAAATCGAACCAATAAATAAATACAATAAATAAATTAACCTGCCCTTTCTCATCCAGATTCTTCTATTTTTGACTTCAACAGCATTTTCCAACTCTGGGATGCAATTTATGATCTAGCAGCCTTCAAAATTTCTGACAGAAGATCTAACCCTGCTATCTGAAATTCTGGAAATATATATAGCGCCTCTGAGTCTAATTTTTACACACACCCACACCCACCAATACAAAGACAGACAGTTTGGTGCAGTGGTTAAAGACACTAGGCTAGAAACTGAGAGACTGTGAATTTATTTATATTTTGCCTTTATTTTATAAATACAGGTAGTCCTCGACTTACAACAGTTCATTTAGTGACTGTTCGAAGTTACAACGGAACTGAATAAAGTGACTTATGATCATTTTTCATACTTATGACCATTGCAGCATCCCCACTGCCACATGATTTATATTCGGATGCTTGACAACTGACTCGTATTTATGATGGTTACAATGTCCCCGGGCTCATGTGATCCCCTTTTACAATCTTCTGACAAGCAAAGTCCACGAGGGAAGCCAAATTCACTTAACAACCGTGTTCCTCATTTACAACCGCAATAATTCACTTAAGAAACGTGGCAAGAAAAGTCGTAAAATGGGGCAAAATTCGCTCAACAAATTTCTCACTTAGCAAATATAAAGTTTGGGCTCGATTGTAGTCGTAAATCAGACTACCTCTAATTCTTTTTTTTTTTAAGAATTTTTTTTATTTTTAAACAAAACATAAAACATAAATCCATCATCCATTACAACTGCAAACAGTGTGTCGGTCGGTTACAAGTCTTTTGTGCTTCATCCCCATATTCAAAATTTACTAATTATCTAATTTCTCATATTATCAAACAAATAAGTATCCTCATTTATCATTTATTTAACTATGGCTTTATCGTTTCATAAAAATTATTTTCAAATATTATAACATTCATTTCATGTTTCATTTCCATGTTTTATTATCTAGCCATTTATAAAATAAATCCCATATCTTATAATATTGTTTATCTTCTTGTTCTCTAATTTCAAATGTCAATTTACTCATTTCACCACTACCGACTACCTGTAATTCAAGGTGGCAAGCTAATACTCCTTCCTCCTTCTATTTCTCCCACAACAACCCAGTAAGGTGAGCTGAGCAAAGAAAAAGTAACTGGCCCAAAATTATTCAGCGGGCTTTCATATCTAAGGTGGGACTAGAACTCACTGTCTCTTGGTTTCTAGTCCAATGCCTTAATCACTAGACCAAACAGGCTCTAGTGAATTCTGAATTCTCTGAATTCTGATCCTGCCCTAGGCATAAAGTCAGCCAGGTGACTTTGGGACAGTCTCTCTCTCTCTCTCATGGAATGATAAACACCTTCCAAAAAATATTGCTAAGAAAACTATCAAGTGACTGCATAAAAAGACATTTGTATAAGATGTTTTACAGATGGCATTTACTACTGGCGAGGTTGGCAAAGATGTTTAAAGATAAATCAGCTAAATGTTGGAAGTGTCACCAACTACTGGGATCTTACTATCATATGTGGTGGGCATGTGAAGAAGCAAAGAAGTACTGGGAAAAAATTAAGACATGGTTGGAAGAGAAGAAACAACATCGTATTGAGTTGAAACCAGAAATATTTCTGTTAGGACTTTTACCGGAAACCTATAATAAAGAGGATGTATATTTAATTATTCATGTACTAACTGCAGCTAGAATTGTATATGCACAACATTGGAAAAGTGGAGAGATTCCTATTGAGGAGGAGGTGATAAGGAAAATATTAGAATGTGCAGAAATGAATAGATTAACGTTAGCAATTAAGGAGAAAGAGCAAACTGAATATTATATGACGTATATGGCGAAGAATTAGAAGTGCTGCCCTGAATGAACCAAAAGGCCATGTGTCACTCGGATACTAAAACAGAAATCCCCATACGGAGTGTTTTCATCATCACAGAGACTGATGGAGTTGGGTGTCTAACAACAACACTAATTAAGGCAGCCAAATCAACATGGAAAGAGTCCTCTGAGGTTTAGGAGGCGTCACTTACATATTTAAGAACAAATTTTGCAGCTTGTTGGTATTGTTAGTGCTGGCTCTTACTACCAAGATCGAGGCAGATTCTGTGACCAAAAAGTGACTTTGAGAATGTTATTGCAACATCTTCTGGAAAGTGCTAGTTTTATGAGGGTTACTGCCCTGACACACTCCCCATTCAAGCCTGGGTGATTAGAATTTAAGTATTTTTATTATGGCATTTCAGTTTGTTCGGAATACAACCTCCAGGCAAACTACTGTATTTATTTATCTATTTAGAACATTTGTACAGCCGACTATCTTCTACTAACCAACTCTGGGCGGCTCCCAATTAAAAGTTAAAACAACACACACGATATGAAAACTATAAAACCAAATAGCTTAAAATGTTTCAAAGAACAAAGACCTGGCAGCCATTCAGCCTTCTAATGTGCAAATTATCCAATCTTATCCCAGTGCTTGGAGGGAAATTCAGGCCTTCAAAGCTTTACCGAAGGGTGGGAAGCCTGCCTAACTTCAGAGGACAATGCTCCATAGGGCAGGAGCTACCACAGAAAAGCTTGTCTCAGACAATAAATAAATCATGGAAAGATCTTAAGTTGCTAAGGGACACAGTTTTTAAAACTATTAAAAGTCCTAAGAGTCTGCTCTTAAGAGAGGAAAGGCTCTTTTTCTGGTTATGCATTCCAACTTCCCATTTGAGGGGCCCTTGGTGCTCAGTGGCTAAGACGCTGAGCTTGTCGATCGAAAGGTCGGCAGTTCAGCAGTTTGAATCCCTAGCGCCACATAACGGGGTGAGCTCCCGTTACTTATCCCAGCTTCTGCCAACCTAGCAGTTCGATGGCATGTAAAAAATGCAAGTAGAAAAATAGGGACCACCTTTGGTGGGAAGGTAACAGTGTTCCGTGAGCCTCTGGCGTTTAGTCATGCCGGCCACATGACCACGGAGACGTCTTCGGACAGCGCTGCTCTCTTCGGCTTTGAAACGGAGATGAGCACCGCCCCCTAGTGTCAGGAACGACTAGCACATATGTGCGAGGGGAACCTTTACCTTTACCTTTGGTGCTCCCTGAGCTTGGTTTGTTTTCTTGCAGACGTATCATTACCCAAACTAGGAAACATCATCAGTGCTAGTACTGGTAGTTAGCGATGTTACCTAGTTTGGGTAATGAACCGTCTGCAAGAAAACAACCAAGCTCAGATTACCCAAGGACCCCTCATTACAACGCTGAGCTACACACATTCTTCCTATTTGTTTCTTTACTTTTTACCTCATCCTTTTTTCAAAGTAATATTATCAGTTCAATTTATTATTAGTTCAATTTATATATGCCGCCCTTCTCCGAAGACTCAGGGCGTCTTACAATGCACTTCTAGCAATAGCCTTCATTCTTTTGTATATACCTGCTTATTAGGGCTTTTGGCCCCCCCATAAGCGGTGTTTCTACAAAGTCAGCTTATTGCCCCCACAATCCGGGTCCTCAATTTACCTACCTCGGAAGGATGGAAGGCTGAGTCAACCTTGAGCCTGGTGAAATTTGAACTCACACTAATTGCAGGCAGCTGGCAGCTAAGTGCTACATAACAGCACTTAGTCCGCTGCACCACCAAGGCTCTTGTGCATAGCATTTACTTCTATTTACTTCCATTCCCCCCCCCCTATGAAATATTCCCCCAAGGATGGAGGGACGGACGGACAACAATCCTTACTACCATCCCCTCTTTGAAAGACCCTGAATAAAAGTAGGAGGCAGCCAGCCTAATCATACCCAGCAAATAAAATTCTCAGTGATGGCATCCATTTCTGGATTTTCATCTCAGAAATTTTGGAATAAAATCCCAAGCTTTACTGGGTTGCCAAGAAAACTCATTGGGTTACCAGAAACATTTGGTTGAGATTGTAGGGTTCCATGTATGCCCTGAAACAATGCTTAATAAAAGCTGTTTTATTTACAGCTTTGGTTCTTATAGGATCGCAAGCTGTTTGGAAGGCTCTGCAGGAGAAAGACACACACAAAACTTTAAAACTGAAGGAGAGGTCATTTTTAGATGCATAGCAGGCAGATATACGACCTTTTATACGCTTTTGCCATTGCAGCACACATCACTCACATTAACATACATACACACACACACACCTCTTTTCAGAAAAGGGCAGTTTTGCAAAAAAAACCAGAAAGATTTGTTAATCGCCTGCAAAAAATATATATGCTATTTTTAACCGGGCTATTCACTTTCTGCTTTGCATTTTTCTCTCTGGACCCTCAAATAAGGGTTGAGTTTGTTCTCCCCTTAAACCAGCTTGCAAGCGACCCAATTCTTCAATTGCACGCTGTCTTCATCAGGTCCCTTTCTTGCAGGTTAGTGTCCAGGAACGTCCCCCCCCCGTCCGGGTTCAATAATGGTTTCGCTCACCTCCCCCTCCCAGCATCTATAAAGGGTGACGTGGGCGATACCAACTATCTCAAGGGGGGACGTCAAAAGTTAGCGGGCTCACCCAAGAAGGGTCCAAGGAGGATTGGGACCCATCGTCTGGTTCAGCCCTGAGTCGGCGCGATCTGGCGGGGCTTCGTTCCCGGTAAACTCGGTACAACCGAGGCCCCAGTACGCAGCTCAACAGCTTCGCCATCTTGGGGAAGGACCTAAAGCCGGGTAGCAGCGCGGGAAAGTGGGTGGGGAAGCCAGGGAAACTATACTTCCTGGTTCTGTACGGGAAGGAAGGAGGGTCAAAAACTCCGTAGCCTTTTTTTTTTAAAAAAAACCGCAATGACAGCATCTGGTCCTTGATGTAGCTCCCCCTTCAGGCGATGAGACAGGAATACCGGTAGCATTTTATTTCAATGCAAAATCCGGTGGGGTTTTTTTGGACAGGAAAAAGTAAAAAGATGAGTGTACAGGTAGTCCTCAACTTACGACCACAATTGAGCCCAAAATTTGCATTAAGTGAGAAATTTGTTAACTGAGTTTTGCCCCATTTTACGACTTTTCTAACCACATTTGTTAAGTGAATCACGGCAGTTCTTAAATTAGTAACACGGTTATTAAGTGAATCTAGTTTCCCCGTTGACTTTGCTTGTCAGAAAGTCACAAAAAGGGAATCACATGACCCCAGGACACTGCAAACATCATAAATGTGAGCCACTTGTCAAGCATTCGGATGTAAATCACGTGAACATGGGGATGCTGCAATGGTCATACCCAGGGGTGGGTTCTAAAATTTTTTACTACCGGTTCTGTGGGCATGGCTTATTTTGTAGGTGTGGATTGGTGGTCATGTGACAATTCTTTAGGATTTAGCAGAGGTATTGGTCTACCAGGCATTTAACTGCTTGCAGAGCTGTACCGATCTACTCATTTGTTTTTGGAGGCACCGGTCTACCCATTTATTTTTGCAGGCACCCATCTACTCATTTGTTTTTGGAGGCACCAGTCTACTCATTTGTTTTTGGAGGCACCAGTCTACCCATTTATTTTTGCAGGCACCGGTCTACTCATTTGAGTTTTTTTCCTTCTAGCCGATCAGTTGGGACTCAGGAGGCAGCAATAGATTGGGGGTGGGGCCAAATAAAAGGTAAAAATAACACGGGGGGGGCGGAGGGGGCAGGAGTGGGGGGGGCAGAACTGGTTCGGTGATGTCATATCGTCACCACTACCGGCTCGGCGGAACCGGACGAAACCGGGAGGAACCCACCACTGGTCATACCGTGTTTCCCCGAAAATAAGACCCTGTCTTATATTTTTTTGAACCCTGAAATAAGCACTTGGCCTTATTGCCATGCACTCAAAAGCCTGATTGGGCTTATTATCAGGGGATGTCTTATTTTGGGGGAAACAGGGTAGGTGTGAAAAATATTCACAAGTGACTTTTTCAGTGCTGTTATAACTTCGAATGGTCACTAAATGAACTTTTATAAGTTGAGGGCTATCTGTAGTAGGACAGGGGAGAGGCATCATACTGGGCAAGAGTACATATGGAAAAGATCGGGAGGTCTTGATGAACTGTAAGCTAAACAGGAGTCAGTGGTGTGATATGGCTGGGAAAAAAAAAAGCAAATGAAATCCTTATTTAATCCGTATTTTTATTCATTTTAATATTGTAAGCTATTTAGTCATATATATTCATTGATGAAATAAACACACTGTTTGAATGAGCTCTAAAATACGTAATAATTAAAATAACTTTTTCTAGTATGATGATGTTCTCCAGTTGGACTTCAATACCTAGCATTCAGTAGGGCAGGACTAAAATACAGGTAGTCCTCAACTTACAACAGTTTGTTTAGTGACCGTTCGAAGTTAACCGCAGCATGGAAAAAAAGTGATTTATGACCATTTTTCACACGACCTTTGCAGTATCCCCATTGTCACATGATCAGTATTCAGCTGCTTGGCAACTGACTCGTATTTATGACGGTTGCAGTGTCTCAGGGTCATGTGATCCCCTTTTACGACCTTCTGACAAGCAAAGTCAATGGGGAAGCCAGGTTCACTTAACAACTGTATTGATAACTTAACAACTGCAGGGATTCACTTAACAGCTGTGGTAAGGAAAGTCGTAAAATGGAGCAAAATTCATTTAACAAGTGTCTCGTTTAGAAACAGAAAATTTGGACTCAATTGTGGTCGTAAGTCGAGGACTACCTGTATATCATATTTTAACCAACAGGGCTCTTTAAAAAAAAAAAAAACCTCAGCTCCTGTTGTTTGTTGTTCGACAAGAAAAGGAAATGGGGATCCCTCCCAACTTCCTCCTGGTTGTAAAAATGGAAAAGTGAATCATGCATACCAAACATATTTCATCATGTGTCCATGACTAACAGGTTGATTTTCTTGTATGACCAGTGTTTGGTCAGGACTAGATATTTTGCACAGTGAACTATAGAGTTCTGAATATCAGCTAGATATTCCACAGATAAAACTGAGACTTACAGAATGCTCCAAGGAGAGAGAAAGCAATAACTTTTTGACCTCCTAAAACCATCCTTGGGAATTGTCAGTTCTCTCGGACTAGCATGGAGAAGTAATAAAATATCTGTCTATCATTGGCAGGAGTCTGTTCTATTCTTTTGGAAGTAAACTAATATCAGCTATCAATATTGATTGATTCATTCATTCATTCATTTATAGAATTTAACAGAATAACAGAATTGGAAGTGATCTTGAAATCTTCAAGTCCAAACCCCTGATCAGTTAGGAAACCCATTCCAGACAAATGGTTATCCAATATCTTCTTAAAAACTTCCAGTGTTGGATCATTCACAACTTCTGGAGGGAAGTTGTTCCACTGATTAATTTTTCTATCAGGAAATTTCTCCTTCGTTCTAGCTTCTCTCCTTGATTAGTTCCCACCCATTGCTTCTTGTCCTGCCCTCAGGTACTTTGGAGAATAGCTTAACTCTCTTTTCTTTGCGGCAGCCCCTGAGATATTGGAAGACTGCAATCATATCTCCCCTAGTCCTTTTTTTCATTAAACTAGACATACCCAATTTCAGCAACCATTCTTCATATGTTTTAGCCTCCAGTCCCCTAATCATCTTTGTTGCTCTTCCCTGCACTCTTTCTAGAGTCTCCACATCTTTTTTTACATCGTGGCGACCAAAACTAAATGCAGTATTCCAAGTGTGGCCTTACCAAGGCATTATAAAGTATATTAACACTTCACGTGATCTTGATTCTATCCCTCTGTTAATGCAGCCTAGAACTGTGTTGGCTTTTTTTGGCAGCTGCAGCACACTGCTGGCTCGTATCTAAATGGTTGTCCACTAGGACTCCAAGATCCCCCCCACAGTTACTACTGTTGAGCCAGGTAGCACCCAATGTATACCTGTGCATTTTGTTTTTCTTGCCTAAATGTAGAACCTTACTTTTTTCAACATTGACTTTCATTTTGTTAAATAGGGTCCAATGTTCAAATCTGTCAAGATCCTTCTGTATCTTAAGGCCACCCATCTTGCCTCAAGGACATTCGGGGAGGCTTACGGTCATAAAAAAATTATTTTTTTCACTTTCCGTAAGGCCCTGAAGACGTTTTTATTTCAGCAAGCCGGCCTGGCCTGAATAGGTTTTAGGGTTTTTTTAAATTGTATTGCTAGGGGTTTTAAATTGGGGTGGTCGTTTAATTTAATTTATTTTTAATTCTTTTAACTTTTATATTGTATGCTATTTTAATTCTCGGCTGTTCACCGCCCTGAGTCCCTTCGGGGAGAAGGGCGGGATATAAATCAAATAAATAAATAAATAAATAAATAAATAAATAAATAAATAAATAAATAAATAAATAAATAAATAAATAAATAAATAAATAAATAAATAAATAAACAAACAAACAAACAAATAAATAAATAAATAAATAAATAAATAAATAAATATAAACGAAAAGCATAAATAAATAATATAATCCAGAACACCATGGTCTAATTAAAAGATGGAGAGGACAGCAGTGGTGGGTTGCCCCCGGTTCGGACCGGTTCGCAAGAACCGGTAGTAAAACCGGCAGGAGGCCCCGCCCCCCACCCCGAATGTTGTCATTGACGATCTGCGCATGTGCAGAAGCAATGTACGCTTCGCGCATGTGCGTGCAATCCCATTGCTAACCAGTAGTAAAGGTAAGTAGAACCCACCCCTGGAGGACAGGAAATGAAGGGGAAGTGGGATCATGGTGAATTGATATTCCCCCATTGGGACCCCAAGCTAACTGGCAGAGCCATGTATTACTTGTTCAAACAAGAACTTCTAAATTGCTTAAGGGTGGTCAGAACTACAGAATTGAAAATATCAAGTGGATAATAATAATAATAATCTAAACATTTGTCTGACTGCGCAATGTACAGGTAGTCCTTGACTTACAACAGTTCATTTAGTCATGGATGAAGTCATATATACGTGCCCCAGGATAATGATGCAAAATAATGATATATAATAATAATGAAAATAAATAAAATAATAAAATAAAATAAAATAAAATAAAATAAAATAAAATAAAATAAAATAAAATAAAATAAAATAATAAAATAAAATAAAATAAAATAAAATAAAATAAAATAAAATAAAATAAAATAATAAAATAAAATGATGCTTGCAACAAAATACCAGATTCTTATGCCACCAGACTCGAAATTTTGGGCTTAGACAACTTAGAACTTCGCCGTCTTTGGTCTGACCTAAGCGTAGTACATAAAACCATCTGCTACAATATCCTACCAGCCAATGAATACTTCAGCTTCAACCACAACAATACAAGAGCATACAATAGATACAAACTCATGGTAAACCGATCCAAACTAGACTGCGGGAAATACGACTTCAGTAACAGCGTGGTCAACGCCTGGAATGCACTACCCGACTCTGTGGTTTTTTTCCCCAAATCCCCAAAACTTTAACCTTAGACTGTCTACTGTTGACCTCACCCCATTCCTAAGAGGTCTGTAACGGGCATGCATAAGCGCACCAGCGTGCCTACCGTCCCTGTCCTAATGTTTTCTTTTATTCGTATCCTTTCCATGTATTTATAATTAAATTTACACTTGTATCTGTCATAAAATACATGCTTGACAAAACAAACAAACAAACAAACAAACAAATAAATCAAATTTGGATCGGTCACTGGGACCAGAGATTTAATCTTCTGAGCTTTCAGAGTCATGCTGGAGCCCATCTTCAGGGAATTTCTCTACTGAAAATTCAAAAATTCATTTACTGACTGTTCAAAGTTACAGTGGTCCTGAAAAAAGTGATTATGACCATTTTCACAGTTACAACATGCTTTCAGATACTTGGCAACTGGTTCATTATTATAACCGGTACTGTGTCCCAAGGTCATGTGATCCCCTTCTGACAAGAAAGGTCAAAGGGGAAGCCAGATTCATTTAACAACCGGGTTACTAACTTACTGACTGCAGTGATTCACTTAACAACTGTGGCAAGCAAAGTCATAAAATGGGGTAAAACTCACTTAGCAAATGTTTCACTTAACAACAGAAATTTTGGGCTCAATTGTGTGGTCGTAACTCGAGGACTACCTGTTTCGTAATAATGAAATGAGTAGCCTCTTACCGACCAGTACGCTTCCATAGAGAGGATCTCCTCAGGGTGCCATCGGCCAAACAATGTCGACTGGCGGTCCCCAGGGGGAGAGCCTTCTCTGTGGGGGCACCCGCCATCTGGAACGAGCTCCCCCCGGAGATACGGAGGATCCTGGACCTGCGCGCTTTTCGCCGTGCCATCAAAACATTTCTTTTCCAGCAGGCCGGCCTGGCCTAACCTCTCTTTTAAACTTTTTAAAATTGTGCACAGTCACTCACGCCCTCGTCACCTCTCGCCTTGACTACTGCAACGCTCTCTACATGGGGCTCCCCTTGAAGAGCACCCGGAGGCTCCAGCTGGTCCAGAATGCAGCAGCGCGGGTAGTGATGGGAGCAACATGGCGCTCCCATGTAACACCGCTCCTGCGCGAGCTGCACTGGCTCCCGGTGGTCTTCCGGGAGCTTCAAGGTGTTGGTTATCACCTTTAAAGCGCTCCATGGCATAGGGCCTAGTTATCTCCGAGACCGCCTGCTGCTACCGATGACCTCCCATTGACCCGTGCGCTCCCACAGAGAGGGCCTCCTCAGGATGCCATCAGCCAAACAATGTAGGCTGGTGGCCCCCAGGGGGAGGGCCTTCTCTGTGGGGGCACCTACCCTCTGGAATCAGTTGCCCCCGGAGATAAGAAGAATCCAGGACCTCAATGCCTTCCGTCGTTCCCTGAAAACCCATCTTTTTCAACAAGCCGGGTTGGCCTAAGAAGAAATTTTTAAAATTTTTAAATTCTTTTAATTAGTCTGTGATTCTTAACTTTCGGGCCAAAATTTATATATATTTTTAAATGTTTTAATATTTGTATTCTATGTTTTTTATCTTGGCTGTACACCGCCCTGAGTCCTCAGGGAGAAGGGCGGTATATAAATTGGAAATTAAATTAAATTAAATTAAATTAAATTAAAATTCTTCAATTTTAAATTTGTCTTATGAATTTGGGGTGTTTTAAATTTCGTTTTCTGGGCCAATTATTTAATTGTATTTTAATGCTTTTTTAACATTTGTATTATATGTATTTTATCTGGCTGTTCACTGCCCTGAGTCCTTCGGGAGTAGGGCGGTATACAAATTCAATAAATAAAATAAATAAAATAAAATAATAAATTAATAAAATAAAAAAAGTAAATGATAATAATGAATATGAATAATTTAATTGTAATAATAATTCAAACAAATACTGGTCACATAACTTCCCAGACTTTAAAATGGTCAATAAGACAAAAAAACTGGATAGTGTATATACCAGTACCTGGAAACTGCCGATTAGAAGAGAAAGAACTGGGGAAAAAAAAATCACAAAATACAAAAATCAGCAAATAAAAGTAGAACGACTGTGGCAAAAAAAAAATGCAACAGGACCTTGGGTGCAATCCCAAAACAACTGGTTTAAAACTGTATTTTTAAAAACTATATTTTAAAAACAATGACCATTTGGAGGAATTAATGACTAGCAATTATTAAATGTCTTGACATTTAAATAACCAATTAAATGTCTCTCATTCCCTACTACTTCCCTTTATGGTGCAGTTTATGTCCTTTTGATAAGCTCCACCATCTGGTATCCTCTGAATGTGCCGGATGTAGATGCACTTGGATGTCTATGCTCTTTGTGGTGGGTTTTTTTTTTTAAACTTTTATCACGACTGTATTTTAGAAACAAAATAAATGTAAGCTAATAGATAATGCTGGGGATGTGAACAAAGAACCTCCGCTGGATCAGAGCAAAAAAATAATTTTTTTTTTTAGCCCAGTTAGCTCAGTTTCGCATAATGGTCCTTTGGAAGAATCTCTTCTCGGAAATGGATGCTGTTGTTCCAACTCCTAGGACTGCCACAGCTGTTCTGGCCATCCTCTTCTTACTTCTCCAACTTTGTGATGCCAACTGTAAGAACTATCTGAATTTTGTTTACCTTTTAGATTGGGAAAGATGCAGGAGGGGGAAACCATAAATACAGATCTGTAAGAATTGTGGGCTCCCCTGAATTTAGAACTTTTGGAGTTAGAATCGGAGACACCCAAAAAGCCATGTTGAGTGGAGGTGGTAGGACAGAAGACTGTTCTCATGTTCTCAGAGTATGTTCTCAGAGTAGAAAGATTGGGTTGATTCACCATCCCCCAATTTAGTACCCCTGATCCAGATGTTGAGAACATCATCTAAGAACTGGAATGAATCAAAATTAGGTGAAGTGTTAATACCATTTTATAATGCCTTGGTAAGGCCACATTTGGAATACTGTGTTCAGTTTTGGTCGCCATGATGTAAAAAAGATGTGGAGACTCTAGAAAGAGTGCAGAGAAGAGCAACAAAGGTGATTAGGAGACTGGAGGCTAAAACATATGAAGAACGGTTGCAGGAACTGAGTATGTCTAATTTGATGAAGAGAAGGACTAGGGGAGACATGATAGCAGTCTTCCAATATCGCAGGGGCTGCCACAAAGAAGAGGGAGTCCAGCTATTCTCCAAAACACCTGAGGGTAGGACAAGAAGCAATGGGTGGGAACTAATCAAGGAGAGAAGCAACCTAGAACTAAGGAGAAATTTCCTGACAGTAGAACAATTAATTAATGGAACAACTTCCCTCCAGAAGTTGTAAATACACCAACACTTGAAGTTTTTAAGAAGATATTAGATAACCATTTGTCTGAAGTAGTACAGGACTTCCTGCCTAAGCAGGGGGTTGGACTAGAAGACCTCCAAGGTCCCTTCCAACTGTTTTTCTTTTCTTTTCTTTTCTTTTCTTTTCTTTTCTTTTCTTTTCTTTTCTTTTCTATTCTATTCTCAGGAACTGATGGATTTCGGGGTGGGGGTGGGGACAGCATTTGAAAAGAAGCTGGATGATCATTTATCAAGGATGCTGAATTAGTGTCTTCCTGCAATGGATAGGAGCCTGAGCTAGGCAATCACAAGATCAATAGAAAAAAAAAGCTATCATTCTTTTCATCTGCAGGATTCTGAGAACGGTTTTCAAATACATCTAGAGGGGACCAAGTTGGAGAGGTAACTGAGCCAGAAAGGACAGGAAAATAGTAAAATACCCACAGGATTTCACGTCAATTAATTTTTCCAGGAAGGGCTGGAAAGATTTTCTTGGAGAGCCACTAACTATTCTTCATTGTAGACAATACAAGTGACGGCTGTTTGCAAGACTAATTATGATTCAGTAACTGTGAGAAGGATCTTGGAGTCCTAGTGGACAATCACTTAAATATGAGCCAGCAGTGTGCTGTAGCCCCAAAAAAGTCAATACAGTCTTAGGGTGCATTAACAGAGGGACAGAATCAAAATCACATGAAGTGTTAGTACCACTTTATGATGTGTTGGTAAGACCACACTTGGAATATTGTATCCAGTTTTGGTTTCCATGATATAAAAAGATATTTGAGACTCTTGAAAAAGTGCAGAAAAGAGCAACAAAGATGATTAGTGAACTACAGGCTAAAACATGAAGAGGGGTTGCAGGAACGGGGAATGTTTAGTCTAATGAAAAGATGGACTGTGGGTGACATGATGGCAATTTCCCGCTATCTCAGGGGCTGCCACAAAGAAGAGGGGATCAATCTATTCTCCAAAGCACTTGAAAGCAGGACAAGAAGCAATGGCTGGAAACTAATCAAGGAGAGAAGCAACCTGGAACTAAGGAGAGATTTCCTGACAGTTAAAACAATTAATCAGTGGAACAATTTGTCTCCGGAAGTTGTGGGTGCTTGAACATTGGAGGTTTTTAAGAAGGGATTAGACAACCATTGGTCTGAAATGGTATAGTTTCCTGCTTGAGCAAGGGTTTGGACTTGAAGATTTACAGATTAACAGAGTTGGAAAGGACCTTGTAGGTTATCTAACCCCCCATCCAAGCAGACCCTACACCATTTCTGACAAATGGCAGTCCAGTCTCTTCTTGAAAGCTTCCAGTGATGAAGCTCCCATAGCTTCCAAAGGCAAGCTCTTCCATTGGTTGATTTTCTCCCTGTCAGAAAATTTCTCCTTATTTCCAGGTTGAATCTCTCCTTGTTCAGTTTCCATCCATTATTCCTTGTCTGGCTTTCAGGTGCTTTGGAAAATAGCTTAATTCCCTCCTCACTGTGGCAGCCCTTCAAATATTGGAAGACTGCTATCATGTCTCCCCTGGTCCTTCTCTTCACTAGACTAGCCATGCCCAGTTCCTGCAACTGTTCATTGTATGTTTTAGTCTCCAGTCCCCTAATCATCTTGGTTGCTCTTCTCTTCACTCTTTTTGGTTTTTTTTTTTCATTTAGAGAAGACACCTGTGTAAATGGAAAAGGGGAAAGGGTGGGGGAGAAAGAAAATGTTATTATATAAATGTACATTTATGATGATATGTGTGAATTTAGTAAAATGAAAAAGTAATTGAAAAGAAAGTAAAAATGGGGATTGCTCGAATACCACTTTGGAAAATACTAAATTGAAAATGAATACAACAATGGAGAGAGAACAGAGGAGAGAAGAGAGGAAGGAGAGAGAAGGAAAGAAGAAAGGGAAAAGGAGAGGAAGAAAGAGAGGGGAAACAAGAGTAGGAGAGAAGGTTAGAAGGGAGGAAGAAGGGAAGTGTGGGGGAAAGGAAGGGGAAGGAGAGAAGGAGAGGAAGAAAGAAGAAAGTAGATGAGTAAATGGAAGAAGGGAGGGAAAGGAAAGAGAGGAGAGGGAGAAGAAGGATTGTTGTAAAACAAGGGAGATGAAATGGTAGAAGAGCAACCCCGAATATACTTAAATTGTTTAGGCTGAAGATTCTATTAGTATGAAAGTTAAAAGAAAATACGTATGTTAGATAAGAAATTGTACATTTAAGATATGTTTATGAGAAAAAAAAAATAAAAACCTTTTTTTTTCTGCGCTCTTTCTAGAATCTCAATGTCTTTTTTATGATCCTGTCAATGGGCCATAGCTTGCCTACCGATCCTTTTGCTAGTTAATCTCTTCTTAAGTTTGGGGACCTAATGATGTCTTTTCTTCTCATAGTTGTATACACAGAGAGAGGCTCTTCCCTAGAGTTGCCCTGTCCATGTCCATCTTGTTCTGGGAGTAAAGAAATATCGTGGTATTGTGTCCAGCAACACCAAACAGTTTTACTCTTCCGCAAATTCTCCAACAACCGTATACAACGTTTTCCAGTTGCCTGGAGCTGGCTCGAGATGCTTCAGAATAACTCGCTTCAATTTCGCCATGTGAAGGATAATGACACGGGTCGTTACTGGTGTGACATGAAGCATTTTTATGATCTCGTGGTGGTGAGAAGTAAGTGAGGTAGCATTTGAAAGAGTCAAATCCCAATAACACCTTTTATGCCTGAGGCTCTTCTGAAACTGGTTAGGTCACACTTATAATGGAATAACACAGATGGAAAGGAACTTGGAGGTCTTCTCGTCCGACCCACTGTTCAGGGTTTGGCAGATCTCCAAAAACAGGAATTTGTTGTCATTGTTAACAATGAGGAATATGGTTAATGTTCTGACCTAAGCTTCCTTAGAAATTAAACAGCACAAACTTTGTCCTGGCAAGCCTGTTTAATTCATAGTTTCATTTACAGTCCGCAAGGCTTGATAAAGAGTCTTTCAGAGGAAGGTTATCAACACCCACCTATCTCATGTGGAACGCTGCCGAAGAGCTAATTTCCATACGCAGGGCAAGGCCAAACTTGGCACAGAGTCACAAACAGAAGTTTCAAATCTTGAATCAGCCAGACGAACTAATTGCTTCCTGCAAAAGCTCACGTTCTGTTCGCTTCTCTTTTATGTCTTATGGGAGGGGCCAGTCATCTCCAAGCCTCACTCCCAAGTTGACCCTGTTTCCTTAATTGTCCCTGTCTCCTGGCATCTCTTCACTGGGAACAGGCTCACGCTGTTCTTCTGCCTCACCGGAGACTCCAGAGGCAGCAAAGAACTACCAAATGGCATTGGCCCCCTCTCTGCCTCCAACTCAGAGCACTCATCAGAGCCTTCCTCAGACTCCAGGATTGGCCTACGTTCCTCCTCAACCTCCCCACTGTCCGAATCTGCTGCCAACTCTGCTGGCCGCTGGTAGACCACAACAGTTAAGACATCTGCAGACTAAGCAGAAAATGGTGGATTTTTGCCACTCGTCACCAGATAGATCATGGGTGTCAAACTAGCAGCCCACGGGCTGAATGTGTCACACCCAGGGCCGGATTTTCCTATAGGCTAACTAGGCTTCAGCCTAGGGCCTCAAGATCAAGAGGGGCCTACATTCAAATTGTTAGCAAAATTAAAATTACATTTTCACTATAGGTGAAAGGGCCTCATAAGTGGAATAGCCTAGGGCCTCTTTTCATCTAAATCCGGCCCTGGTCACACCCAGGCCACACCCATCCCAACTCCGCGAAGGGGAAAAATGTTATGATACATCATGTAACGGCAATGTAACGTGGCAAGTTTGACACTCCTGAGATAGATAGATACTTGAGGCCAGACAAATTATCCTGGCACCAGAGGCAAAAAAACCTCCACTAATTGAGATTAGTGCAGCATCTCCTGGGCCAAAAACATTTCAATGCAGTACAGGAAGTCCTTGATTTATGACAATTTATGACAAAATTTCTGTTGCTAAGCGAGACACATGAGTTTTGCCCCGTTTTATGATCTTTTTTGCCTTCAGTTGTTAAGTGAATCATTGCAGTTAAGTTTATTAAGTGAATCTGGCTAGTAGTCATGCTAGAAATACTTTGAAAACTCCTTCCAGAGGGGAGCAACAGAAATAGACCGTGAAGTGGGTGTATGGGGTCTCTAACGATGCTTTGAGCTCTAAGCACATAGCACCTATAAGCAGTATCCTGAATAACAGGAAGCAAGCTTCTCGGCTGTCCATACCACTCTCTGTAGGGACTTTCTATTTGAGGCACTGCTAGCACCAAACCAAACAAAGATGCAGTTTGTTAAAACGCCTCTCATTTGTGCCTCTGTAAAAAGTGGCCAGGACAGAAAGAGAAAAATGTGCTCTCAACGTCCGATGCAGGAAATGCAGACACTGGTTTGCATGGTTCACTAAGGATGACATGTGGAGAGACGAATTCGGATTCTTAGATTGTGAGTTCTAGTCTTGCCTTAATCATGAAAACCAGCTGGATGACCTTAGGGCAATTGCTTTCTCTCTCTCTCAGTCCAACCCACTTACAGGGTTATTTGTTGGGGAAAATAGGAAGAGGAAAGAGTATTATGCAGTGGTGAAATCCAATTTTTTTTTACTACCAGTTCTGTGGGCGTGGCTTGGTGGATGTCGCTTGATGGGCGTGGCATACTGCAAAATCTCCATTCCCACCCCACTCCAGGGAAAGGATACTGTAAAGTCCCTATTCCCTTCCCACTCCTGGGGGAAGGATATTGCAAAATCCCCATTCCCACCCCACTCTGGGACCAGCCAGAGGTGGTATTTGCCGGTTCTCCAAACTACTCAAAATTTCCGCTACCGGTTCTCCGAACTGCTCAAAATTTCATCTACTGGTTCTCCAGAACCTGTCAGAACCTCCTGGATTTCACCCCTGGTATTATGTATGTTCGCTGTCTTGAGTTCTCTATACAAATAATAAAGGTGGGTTAAAATATAAACAAACAAATAAACAATCCAGTGCTGGCTCTGCTCCAGCTGCAATTGTCTACTTTGATTTCTTGTTGAACATGTCTCTTCCAGGCAGTCAGCAAAGGTTGGAGTCCTACCAGGCTGATAGCATGTGCTACATCTTGAGCTGTTTATTCCCATCCAAGGAATTCTACAGGGAAGTGATAACCTGGTGGGAAGGTGGAAAACAAATCCTGGATGCTGATCAGATAGGAAGACCCAGCATATTTAAAGGGAAAAGGGCCTCTCAACTCCACATTTGTGTGAAAAAGAAGACTTTGGAGAAAACCATGAAGAAGCACGTCCAATGTCGCTTTGCTCAGAAGACCGAAATCACGTTCAAGTTGATGGATAATCATCATGATCGCTGTGCTTGTAGCACCTTGATGCCTTCTTTTCAGGGTAGGTTTCTCCTCCTGAATACAGGTGGTCCTCAATTGACAACTGTTAAGATTAATGACTATTGACTGTGAAAATTGATTTACGTCCAATTTTCACACTTTTGCCCATTGCAGCATCCCTGCAGTCAGGTGATCAAGATTTGAGTAACTGGCATGTATTTATGATGGTTGCAGCATCCTGGGGAGTCTTGGGATTGTCGTTTGCAACCTTGTAGAGTCACTTGACAATCACATGATTCACTTAACTTTGTTTCCTGACTGCTTATTTGTACCCTATGACTTTCATTAAGTGTTGTACCTTATGATTCTTGATGAACGTATCTTTTCTTTTATGTACACTGAGAGTGTATGCACCAAGACAAATTCCTTGTGTGTCCAATCACACATGGCCAATAAAGAATTCTATTCTATTCTATTCTATTCTATTCTATTCTATTCTATTCTATTCTATTCTATTCTATTCTATTCTATTCTATTCTATTCTATTCTCAACTTCAGTGGTTCATTTAAGAACAATGGCAAAAAGGTTGTATAAAGGAGCACAACTCATTTAACAATTGTCTTGCTTAACAAGGGAAATTTTGGACTCAGCCGTGAATGTAAGTCAAGGACAACCTATATTTTGGAATGTTATAGGTTGTTTTTTTTAGAGCTCATTCTTTCTATTGCTAAAGTCTGGGTATAAGTATTATTTCTTTTCTGATCAAACAGCGCCACCTATGTGACAAGGAAAGGAATCCCATGTTTTGTAGAAACACAGGGGTCTTTGGGGGAAAAAGTTTGCAGAACATAGTTCCTTCCACGGTTTTTACTGATCATAAATTAATTGTGCTTTGTTTTTTCATTTATTTTGTAGTTTATGTTCTATGGTTTTATACTGATCATTATTATTCAAAATACAAAATAACATATTGACAGATCACCTAAATACAGTTTAAAAATCCCGAAGTTAAATGAAACAATCTTTAAAGAAATAAAAAAAGAAACCAAAAGCAAAGCAAAGGATAAAAAAACTTAAAGAAAAAACAATGTTGACCCAATTTGTTGATTGCCCCCAACCAGAGATATTTTATTTTTTATTATCTGATAGTTAAATTCCTCTTCCTTCCAGAGATTTATAAACTGCAATGTAACTTTTTATATTTATTCCTTATATTTGGCCACTTGTTCCTGAATTTTCCTCAAAGGCTAAAATGGGAAATCTATTAAGGATACCATCGCAAAGATAACAATGTTAAATTCTGCATGTTGCCACTTTGTGGAAAAAAAAAATCCAATTCTACTCTGCCTGTGTTGAGACAAGGAGTGATGTGTGTGTGTGTCTTTGTGTGTATGTATATGTGTGAACAAGGTGGGGAAATTGCACAGTATGATGTGGAATTATGTCCTTTCCTTCAAATCCCTCCACTCCATTATTAGCGACTCTTCAAAGTTATAACCTATTTGAAAATAAGAACTTATGACCCGGATCTGAAGTTCCAATGGCCGCCTCCCCCCCATGGTCATGTGACCACACTTGGTTGCTTGGCAACATGGCTGCAATTACAGCCATTTAACCCTGTAGTCATGTGATTGTGTTTTACAATGGTTTTGCCGAAAACCAACACTTCAGCAAAACTGTGTCCATCACAAAAATGGATCCACGCTTACGATTGCCATGCTTGCTTAGCAACTGAGCATTTGCATTTAAAACTATGGTGATTCGCTTAATGCTGCAAAAAGAACATAAAATCAGATCAGTCCCATAACCAATCCATTTTATGACCGTTATGACTTATGACTATAATGGACAGACTCCCTTACAGGGGTGAAATCCTACCGGTTCGTAGCGGTTCGGGCGAACCGCTAGGGATTATGGGCATCAGTTTGCTGAACCGATAGTAATTACTTCTCCTTGGCCCCACCCATGCCTGGCCGGTCGCCGCTCACCTCTTCCGGCAGCTCGATATTCCACAGAATTCAATGTTAAATGCAACAGAGAGAATGCTAACTTTTCTCCCTCCATTCAGAACGGAGCTGCTGCAGCCTGTCCCTTTAAGGTAGTCCCCAGCTTGGTGGGTGTGGCAGGGGAAGGATACTACAAAATCTCCATTCCCACCCCACTCCAGGGGAAGGATACTGCAAAATCCCCATTCCCTCCCCACTCCTGGGGGAAGGATATTGCAAAATCTCCATTCCCACCGCACTCTGGGGCCAGCCAGAGGTGGTATTTGCCGGTTCTCTGAACTACTCAAAATTTCCACTACCGGTTCTCCAGAACCTGTCAGAACCTGCTGGATTTCACCCCTGCAAATAATTCTACCTACTCAAGTTTTGAATCTCTCTAGGATTTCAGGGCTGAATTTGATGTAACCTCGCTTGAAATGACAGGATAATGGGATCTTAAATATATAAACCTTGATATGCTGTATTTTTTTTTAGTTTTTTTCCTGCTGATGTTCTCTCTTTCTGCCTTTCCCTAGATATCGGGACAGTGAAAAATGATTTATCGTCTCAATGCTCAAAAGTCAACATAAATGGAGTACCGTGGATTCCACTGGCAGTTTGCATTATATTGCAATTTTTGATCATTCTTACTCTGGTGGTATTGTGGAGGAGGAGTTGTAGGTAAATTGAAATCATATGAATTGGATCTTGGGAAGACATTAGGATTAGTCAAACTGCGGTGGCTCAATGGCTAAGACGCTGAGCTTGTCGATCGCAGTTCAGCGGATCGAATCCCTAGTGCCGCATAACAGAGTGAGCTCCCATTATTTGTCCCAGCTGCTGCCAAACTAGCAGTTTGAAAGCACATAACATAAAAAATACAAGTAGAAAAATAGGGACCACCTTTGGTGGGAAGGTAATAGTGTTCTGTGTGCCTTTGCCGTTTAGTCATGCTGGCCACATGACCACGGAGATGTCGTCGGACAGTGCTGGCTCTTTGGCTTTGAAATGGAAACATCCTCTAGAGTTGGGAATGACTAGCACATATGTACAAGGGAACCTTTATCTTTTTAAATAATGATAGTGACACGGAAAAATGCAGTGAAAAGTTCCAAAATAGCAAAAGGTCTAGAGACCAAGCCTTATGAGGAACAATTAGTGTGTCAGGCAGTTGGTGGGATTCAGCCAGTTCGCACCACTTCGGGAGAACCGGTTGTTAACTTTCTGAGCAGTTTGGCAAACTGGTTGTTGGAAGAAATCATTAGGGCAGAGAACCGGTTGCTAAATTACTTGAATCCCACCACTGGTGTCAATCATGTGAGATGGGAGACAAATGAACGAACGAATGAAAGAATCAATGAATGAATGATCTGGATATGTTTAACTTACCGAAGAGGTGACCAATAGGAGATATAATAGTTGTTAAATATCAAGGTTGCCCACCACAAAAGTGGGCACTGATTTATTATCTGTTGCCCCAGAAGGTAAATAAACTAAAATAAATGGTTGAGGCTGCAGAAATTTGATTCCAGATAGAAACTGCCACCATATGTGAACAGACAGCCAAGGAATTGGTCTGCCCTATGAAGTGGTGAGTTCTCCTTCATGGTAGGTCTTCAAACAGGAGTTGGATGACAAATCCCTTAAGGTTCCTTCCACTGCAATCCGTTATAGGGACTTGAAATTCTTACCTGAAATCTGGATGGATGAATCACTGGACATCAATACATTGGATATGGACACAGTTTAGGGAAGGGGTCTCCAAACTCGGCAACTTGTGGACTTGTCCACAAAGATTTGTGGACTCCCTCCCTCCCTCTGGAACAAATGAGAACCCAGAAAAATTTGTGGAACTCTTCAGGCTTTTAATCTTAAGAGGTTTAAAGGTAAAGGTAAAGGTTCCCCTTGCACATATGTGTTAGTCATTCCTGCCTCTAGGGGGCAGTGCTCATCTCCGTTTCAAAGCCAAAGAGCCAGCACTGTCTGAAGATGTCTCCGCGGTCATGTGGCCGGCATGACTAAATGCCAAAGGTGCACAGAACGCTGTTACCTTCCCACCAAAGTGGTCCCTATTTTTCTACTTGCATTTTTTACGTGCTTTCGCTAGCTTTTACTGCTAAGTTGGCAGAAGCTGGGACAAATAATGGGAGCTCACCCCGCTAAGAGGCACTAGGGATTCGAACCGCTGAACTGCTGACCTTTCGATTAACAAGCTCAGTGTCTTAGCCACTGATCCACCACGTCCCATTTAAGAGTCCCTGAGTCCTTCAGGAGAAGGGCGGTATAAAAATTTAAATAATAAAATAAAATAAATAATAAAAGAGATTTAGCTTTGGCCAAATCAGCTTCCTTTGGCAGGGAGCTGGGCTCTATAGACATTCAACATACTATTATCATGGTATAATAATGATCCTCCTTCCCACCCTCCCTCCCTCCCTCCCTCCCTTCCTTCCTGGCTATTTATTTATAGAAACATTTCTTTATTGCTTTTTTGTGTGTTGAAGATACCCTTCGATTTTAGCTTATCATCTACACATTGCCTTTTGGCCAGTAGAGGGTCCTTGATGCAAATCTTCACTTTGGATTCTGCTAATTTTTGCAATCTCTTCTTTCAGCCAGAAGTATACAGACCATCTGAAGAAGCCCCAGAAAGGTGGGTATACTGATATTCACAGCTTTCATGTCTCCATTTTTGGCTCTTTAGATTCTGTTCAAAAGGGGACCAAGTTTGAAAAGGAGGACATAAGATTAGATAGAAAACCCAGATCAAATGAATTTGAGGGGAACAATTTCTTCAATTAGTGTTGCTAAGGATGAAAGATGTGGGTGGGCATTACCGAAAAGGCTGGTTAGAACTATTCTTCCTAATTAGTTTGATAGTCTACATCAGGGGTGTCAAATTCGATGTCATTGAGGGCCGCATCAGGGTTGTGTTTGACCTCAGAGAGGCCGGGTGTGTGTGGCCAGAGAGGGAATGGCCAGCTTGATGTCACTTGTGTCGGGGCACCTGTGGCGGCCCTAGCGCTCTGCCAGTGAAAATGGGCTCCCGAGTTCCCTTTTTAGCCGGGACGGCCTCCTGCAACCTTCTGCCAGTGAAAACGGAGCTCGGGGTTTGGTGGTGCTCACTGGTAGAGGGTTGCGGGAGACCATCCCAGGCAAAAACGGAACTCATGAGGGCCACACGTAGCCCCCCCACTCCAGCTCTGTTTTTGCTGGCAGAGGGTTGCAGGAGGCCATCTCAGCCGAAAATGGAGCTTGTGAGGGCCGTGTGCATCCCCCCCCCCATGGCAGAGGCATCGTGGGTTGGTCCTTCGCTGTTTCCGGGGTGGCCCCGTGGACCAGATCTAAGTACCCTGTGGGCCAGATCCGGTTTGAAACCCCCTCAAAGAGTTGGGTTTCTATTGAGAAGTTGAGGCTTTATATGCCCAGAAGCTTCATCATGCATTACAGGTTGTCCTCAACTTACAACCACAATTGAGCCCAAACTATATATCACACACACAAAAGTACACCTTTTTAAAGGTTTCTAAAAGCCATCTGCATCCTTGTGGCTGAGAACTTCAGTTATATATCTTTATCTATCTATCTATCTATCTATCTATCTATCTATCTATCTATCTATCTATCTATCTATCTATCTTCGTCTGTCTGTCTGTCTGTCTGTCTGTCTGTCTGTCTGTCTGTCCGTCCATCTATCTATCTATCTGTCTGTCTGTTTGTCTATCTATATGTCTATCTGTCTGTCTGTCTGTCTACCTACCTACCTACCTATCTCTATCTATCTATCTCTATCTATCTTTCTGTCTGTCTGTCTGCCTTTCTTTCTTTCTATCTATCTATCTGTCTGTCTGTCTGTCTGTCTGTCTCTGTCTATCTGTCTACCTATCTATCTATCTATCTATCTATCTATCTATCTATCTATCTATCTATCTATCATCGTCTGTCTGTCCGTCCGTCTGTCTGTCTATATGTCTATCTGTCTGTCTGTCTGTCTGTCTACCTGCCTGCCTGCCTACCTACCTACCTACCTACTTACCTCTCTCTCTCTCTGTCTGTCTACCTGTCTACCTGTCTACCTGTCTACCTGTCTACCTGTCTGTCTATCTATCTATCTATCTATCTATCTATCTATCTATCTATCTATCTATCTATCTATCTATCTATCTATCTATCTATCTATCTATCTATCATCTCTATCTATCTGTCTATCTATCTATCATCTCTATCTATCTGTCTATCTATCTATACGTCTGTCGATCAATCTGTCTGTCTGTCTATATTCTCTCCCTCTCTCCCTCTCTCCCTCTCCCTCCCCCCCCCCCCCCCCCCCCCCCCCTCTCTCTCTCTCTCTTAAATAGACTTTAAGTTTCATGTTCTGCCCTTTGAGCAAAAGGAGGGAAAAAAACTGGCAAAAGAAGCAAACATCTATGGAATCTTTTATTCCATTAGAAAATCCTTATTTTAGGAATGCAAAGTTTTGGCTAATTTGGAACAACACAATGATTTTTAACTTGCTAGTGCAAACGGGTTTACTTACTCATTCTGCTGCCTCTGCTAATTACAGATATCCCCCTATCTGAATACACACCAGAGATCTACGAGAATATTTAACCAGGAGCACCACTGTGACAAAGGAAATATTTTGGTTCTCAGTGAGTCAAACAACCTTGGACCAAACCCAGCAACTCTTGAGCAATGTTATGGTTCTAACATTTTCCTGGCTTTTGTGTGTGTGTTTTTTTTAATCCTGCCAGGCCGTTCTTAATCCTCTGATCAACCTGCCAGGATTGTAGCTCCCATCATCTATTGGTTAGGTTGGCCGGCAAAGATAGGTTGATTTAGTATAGCACATCAGGAAAGCACCAGAGTAGATAGGTCAAAAAACAACAACAAAGCCTTGGATTTGGGGGGATTTCCTCTCATCTGAATTAAAACAGCCTCCACCCATCCTTGAGTCAGCAGAAAAACAATAGAGGGATGACATGTACTGTCTCCGCGGCTGATCTGTCTCCTGCTTCAGTGTCAAGTTCACGCAAACACAATGTGATTTTTCTCCAAGCAACAAAGCTGAATGGATTCAACGCACTTTGAAGCTGCCTTTGGTAGATATCGAAAATAGGAGGAAAATACTATTTTAAGATCAATACAGTTAAGAACTGTTTAAGCCTTATTCATGAGCTGGGGAATAGAGAACAATAACAGGGTGGGCTGCAGGAAAAAGAAAAGGAAAGAGGTAGCCTGGGCAGTGGTGAAATCCAAATTTTTTTTATTACCGGTTCTGTGGGTGTGGCTTGGTGGGCGTGGTGTGGCTTGGTGGGCATGGCTTGGTGGGCGTGGCAGTGGAAGGATACTGCAAAATCCCTCCCCACTCCTGGGGGAAGGATATTGCAAAATCTCCATTTCCACCCCCACTCTGGGACCAGCCAGAGGTGGTATTTGCCGGTTCTCCGAACTACTTAAAATTTCCGCTACCGTTTCTCACGAACTGGTTGTCAGAACCTTCTGGATTTCATCCCTGAGCCTGGATATATTTATGTTGTGTGTCATTGCAATAAGAAAAAAGTCCCAAGCTTTGGAGATTTGGATCTCCTGGTCATCCAAAATGGTCAAAGTTTGAATTGCTGTTCAAAGTAGGAGGAGTTTTCCAAAAAGGAACTTCCTCCACTGTGAAATATATTTTTCCTGGTTTTTGCATTTTAATAATTTTCTTTATATAGGTAGTCCTCAGCATACAATCAAAGTCAGCTTATTGCCCCCACAATCTGGGTCCTCATTTTACCAACCTCGGAAGGATGGAAGGCTGAGTCAACTGTTCAGAATCAAACTCTTGGCAGTCGGCAAAATTAGCCTGCAGTATTGCACTGTGCCACCACGGCTCTTATGACCCATTTGTGACCCATCCTTGCACTTCCAACCACTGCAGGTCCATGTCATGTGATTGTCATTTGGGTGTTTGGCACCTGACATGTATTTCTGGTAGTTGAAGCATTTCAGGGTCATATGATCACCATTTGCAATCTTCATCTGGCTTCTGAAGCAAATTCAATGGGATACACTAGAATTGTTTAATGGCCATGTGATTCACTTAATAATAATGGTGATTTGCTTAACAATCATGGCAAAAGAGGTCATAAAATCGGATGTGAACACATGATGATTCCCTTAATGGCCACATTGCTTAGCCACAGACAGTCCAGTCACAACTGTATTCGTAAGTCAAGGATAACCTGTAGCGTCATAAAACATGTGTCAGGGTTCTGACCGATGCCCTAATTAAATCATGAGTCTTGAGCCAAGCTTCAAAAGAAATCCAGTTATTTATTAGAGGCTTCATGTCGGCACGTTCCAAGTGAAGCCAACTCTGACCTCACTTAATTTATGTCCTGGTTCTGATCCTGTTTCCCCCCTCCCCCTAAGTTTTGTCATCAGTCACATCCTCCAATGAAGCAATTTCGTGGGTTGTAGAGATCACTCCCCTTCAGCCATAGTGGGTAACCAAGGAGATGGCCTTGACAGAGAGATGGCTGGAATGTGCTTTTTGTTTGACTGAAGTCAAATGAAAGGTTGGCAGTTCAGCGGTTCGAATCCCTAGTGCCGCGTAATGGGGTGAGCTCCCGTTACTTGTCTCAGCTTCTGCCAACCTAGCAGTTCGAAAGCACGTAAAAAATGCAAGTAGAAAAATAGAGACCACCTTTGGTGGGAAGGTAACAGCATTCTGTGTGCCTTTGGCGCTGAGTCATGCCAGCCACATGACCACGGAGAGATCTTCGGACAGCGCTGGCTCTTTGGCTTTGAAACGGAGATGAGCACCGCCCCTTAGAATCGGGAACGACTAGCACATATGTGTGAGGGGAACCTTTACTTTTACCTTTAACGTAATATTTATATTATGCTATATTTTACTTTTATATTTTACTTGTACGTCATCTAGAGTTGTGTTATGAGGGAGATGGGCAGTTTCTAAATTTGATATTTAATAAATAAATAAATGAGCAAGGAGAAAACTACACCCTCACCAACCTCAGCAAAACAAACCACTGTATATAAACAGAAAGCAAATCCCACACTCCCTAGCACAGATAATAGACTCTTTGTTAGACAGCTTGGAGGTGAGGACAAAATCATGGTCTCATTTGATGTCACAGACCTGTTCACATCTATAAATCCAGAATTAGCCAAAGAATCCATGACCGCATTGCTCAACAGCACACCTGACTCACTTAACCAAATACACAAAGATCGAAACATTCAGGATTATGGATCTCATAAACCTCTGCTTAACTACATACTTCCAATTTGATGGACAAATTTACCTACAAATTGAAGAGACACCTATGGGATCATTGCTTTCAGGACTTATAATGCAGGTCATCATTCAATGTCTAGAAGCCATAGCACTTCCACAAATACATCTGAAAATATGGATCTTTACCATAATATAAAAGGACCAATTAGAGAACATCCAAAGAACTATCAATAATATTCTTAAAGGAATCCAATTTACTAGAGAAGAAGAAAACTGTTACGATATTTTCAGGATCAGACTCAATAAATGAATTAAGAATTAGATATTCAAGTAAAGCACTGTTTATTTACAGAAGGCATTCTATATTCACTGAATAATCACAGATAGAAGCACAGAAAGAATGCATACAGCTCCTTATATATACATGGGGTGGAGCTGGATATGGGAGTGGTTAAATATGAATATATTAAGTAGTGAAGAATAAGTTAACCCCTGATATCCTGGTCATGTACTATTTACATAATAAAGAATAAGGCATTTACTTGTGACAAAAACAACAATTTGCTACTACCCTTCCTGGACATCCTGATCAGCAGAGATCACAATGGCAAACGAAAAATGCAAGTCTACAGACAAACCTCCCATACTAACCAGGTTCTCCATTACCAAAGCAACAACTCAACCTCCCACAAGAGAAACTGCGTAAGGGCTTTATTTAGACGAGCCCAAACTCACCGCAGCAACCCAGAATAGCAGGAAAAGAAAATAGAGCATCTATACAACATATTCCAACAAAATGATCTAAGTGCCAAAGCCCACTGTAACAACATCGCCAAAAAGGCATTAAGAGTTATAAACCTAATCTTGTGTAGCTTCTTCTCCGGTAATATTACACTACTAACAAGAGCATACAAAACATTTGCTAGACCAATTCTTGAATACAGCTCATCTGTCTGGAACCCGCACCACATATCAGACATTAGTACAATTGAACGTGTCCAGAAATATTTCACAAGAAGAGTCCTCCACTCCTCCGCTCGCAACAAAATACCTTATGCCACCAGACTTGAAATTCTGGGCTTAGAAAACTTAGAACTACGCAGCCTTCGATATGACCTAAGCGTAGCTCATAAAATTATCTGCTACAATGTCCTACTTACCAATGACTACTTCAGCTTCAACCACAACAATACACGAGCACACAATAGATACAAACTTAAAGTGAACCGCTCCAAACTCGATTGCAGAAAATATGACTTCAGCAACAGAGTGGTCAATGCCTGGAATGCACTACCTGACTCTGTGGTTTCATCCGCAAAGCCAGGGGTCGGTTCTACTTACCTTTACTATGGTTCGCAATGGGGCTGCATGCACGCTCTTCTGCGCATGCGCAGAAGCATTTTGATGACGTCGGGGTTGGTGGGCGGAGCCTCCCGCCGGTTTTACTACCAGTTCTATAGAACCGGTGCGAACCGGGGGCAACCCACCACTGCCCAAAGCCCCAACATTTTAACCTATCTACTGTTGATCTCACCCCATTCCTAAGAGGTCTGTAAAGGGTGTGCATCAGCATGCCTACCATCCCTGTCCTAATGTTTCCTCTATTTGTTTCTATTTTATGTATTCAATCTATGTTTATACTTATTACCTAATACATTCTTGATAATAATAATAAAAAAAGGATATCTATGCAGCTTTATCAAAAAGTCCCTGACCACTCAATCCAATACAGCACAACCAACACAAACCCTAAAAAAGAATTACGCTGCCATATACCAAGACTATCTCAGAAGCCACCAACAGACTATTACAACCACATAGAATCTGCATAGCACACAAGCCAACTAAAGCCTTCAAAACATCCTAAGCAGACCAAAAGACCCAGAACAACTCCAGAAGAAAAAACCCAGCAAAACTGGCTGGGGGAATTCTGGGGATTGAAGTCTACATATCTTAAAGTGGCTCAGGTTGACCAAGTCTGCCCTAGTCTAACTCCCCTACCCAGGGCAAAAATCATCAGACCATCCAAAATAAATAAGCTGTCCAACCTTGGAAATCTCCTGTCTTCCCCCTCCTATATTAAAAAAATGTTAAATACATTTTAGAGGAAAACACTACAGTGTTTATATGCTTCATGGCACAAAAGGACAGAGGCTCTGTCATAGGCTGGGAGGGGGGGCTCATAACGAGGATACAGCTGGCTTATATTTGGATTCCGCTGTAAGGGCAGGATGGAGGAAACTCGTGTTGAGGTCCACACTGAATTATTTATGTACTTATTTATTTCCTGCCTTCGCTTTAGACGCTCAGTCAGCCAAGGTCACGGAATTGTTGATGAATATAAAATCAAGAGGATGGAACATTGGCATACAGTACCCCGAGTTCCTAGAGGAAAACAAATACAGTGTAAAACTAAGTCAGTTTTCAGGCCAGGTAGTACCTTCAACCAGTGCTAGGATTCAAATAAT